CGGGTGTTGTATAGAGATTTGAAGCCAGACTGTTCAAAGCCCTGTTCAAAAGGCAAATCGCACAAATTGTCGAATTTCCAAATGGGTGTTGGTAGAGCGCGTTCGCTTCTTATGAACTAGTCGATATTTTCCGCATTTCCATCGTTAACCTTGTCGTTAATCTTGTCGAGAAGCGTCAGAACATAATTCGAAATTGCCACCACATTGATCACATTTTAATTCGCTATTGGAATAAAGCCAAACTTCCACAAGTCTTTGGGTCACACATTCGGGTTAACAAACGCTTTAACGAGATTGGCGCATTCTCTAAAGACGCCTTACTTCTTTTTTTTTGTTTATTCTGGCATGAGGAAAAATATAAAAAACAAAGTTGATTTGAAATTCTCGATCATTTTATAAAGTTGATTTAAATTTAAAGATTTTAATATTTTAAAAGTTATTAAAATTATTAAAATACAAGACCGTAAAATATTTTAGATTAAATTAAGAAAGTGTTTTGCAAGGATTTTGATTGATAAAACAACAAAGAAAGTCTTAAAATCCAAAATCGATTTGCCTAGCACTTTCCTGTGAAAATTGTATGGTGGATTGAAAAAAAAAAGCTTTGACGAATCAACAGCTTAATCACATTGGAGAAGATATAAAGTAAGTGACCTACAAGGGAATCTTTTAAGTCTAAGTGACCTACAAGGAAACCTTGTAAGTCTAAGTGATCTACAAGGAAACCTTTTAAGTCTAAGTAACTTACAAGGGAACCTTGTAAGTCTAAGTGACCTACAAGGAAACCTTTTAAGTCTAAGTGATCTACAAGGGAATCTTTTAAGTCACTTACTTTAGTTCCAAGTTACCCGCGAGTTACAAGATGTGGAATGGCGAAAGGAAAGCCTTTTGGAATGGCGAAAGGAAAACCTTTTGGAATGGCGAAAGGAAAGCCTTTCCCCCACCAAAAATCATTGTGACAGAAATTCGAGAAAAGCCTTCATTTTCTTCGAAATTCAAATGGCTATAACTTTGTGCGTTTTGCCGATTAGCCGTTTTTGAAAACATTTTTTGAATGTACATTTTCAGGCCTTTCTTTTGGCGCCTATCACATATTGTAAATTGTGGGTAACTTGCGGGTAACTTGGGAACGTTCCTTTGTTAGATTTTGTAAATACAGTTTTTTAAGGGTAATTGAAGATAGTTTAAGGGTAATTGAAGATATTCATAAAAACACGATCGAATCATTTTGACACCGTCTAAAGAAGTCGATCAAAGTAAAGAAACCTTTGAGGCTCTTCTGTCATCATACATTGTCCAGTTGTTTGCGAAAACGATAGAGAAATTTTTTCAGATTATTTTCCAGGCAATTAAGATATATTTTAAGTGACCGTTGTTTGTTGATCATGTATTATTAGGTTGACAACTTGTAAAAAATGTAACATGTTTGGCAACATGTAAAATTGTTGTCGAGATTTGACAAAAGGTAACCATGGAGACACGGTAACACTTAGAAGTTACAGTAATCGGCCTTATTCATTTCTCTGCACCCTTGGTTTCTTTATCATATCGATTCTTATCCATCTATTAGTGTAGATGATGTCCAGATCGTTCTCCCTTTGGCAAAGTAAAGCGCGCCAACAAATTTATTTCTTCAAGAGTCCTTTTTTCTTTTGTATCTTCACTAGTTATTCGTTTGATCGTTTTCACTATTTCGGCGTGTTTTGTGACATTGGGAATCCAATTGTATTTCTTCGTAGATTGATGTTGCGTAAGGTGATCGACAACTTTACTTTCCATTTCTAAAAAAATAACTAGAAAAGTTGCAACGATACACGAGATAAATCGAAAAAAGAAACGATTGAAAAATTATTACTCAACTATTATTTAAAATAAAAATTATTACTCATTAAACACCGAAGAAAGTATTTGGGAAACTTTTATAAACCCCCTTCCATAACTTTATTCTTCTTTTTTCCCTCTTTTTTCTCCATTATTTTCCCCTCTTTCTCCCAAATTTATTTTTCTTTTTTCCCCCAAAAACTTTTTTCTTTTTTCTATTTTTTTCCCCAAAAACCCCTCACCAACCAAAAAAAACCCCACCAACCATTCTAAAACCCCCTCCCCACATTTTCCCTCTTTTTTTTTTATTAATAATTTTATAAAAAAAAAAAAATATAAATTTTTATAAAATTATTTAAAAAAACCCCCCAACATTTTTTTTTTTAATTTATTTTTTTTTTTTTGGTAAAAAATTTTTTCTTTTTTGGGGGGGGGCGGTTTTTAATTTTTTTTTAATTTTTTTTTTTTTTTTAATTTTATTTAAACCTCTACAAAAAAAAAAAAAAATTATTTTTAGAAGAAGTAAAATTAATTTTTTAAACTTTTTTTTTTTTTCGCGCGAATAAACCCAACCCAATAATAGTTTGTGTGAAAGATGGAATGAGTGGCGTTGTTTTAATTTTTTTTCGAAAACATCTTTTTAAAAAGATTTGGCAACAGAAGGCAACAATTTGACAGCAGAAGTTACCTCCCGAGGTGTTAAAATATTTGGTCCTATTAACCTACCGTAAATACTGTAATAGTACCCCACCCCCATAATGACGGTGTGGAGCGTTGCGTAGTCTAGCTTTGGACGAGTTTTTCTCGACACTGGTTTATGCTACAATGCGCGCTTAGGTATCAAAAAATAGCCCTGAATTTCAGCTATTTTTTGATACCAAAGACGCGCTTTTTCAAAGTACGGGTGCTTTGAAAAAAATGAAATACTAAAAACTTTTGCGACTACGCGACTGTACGAGGGGGGTGGGGTACTATTACAGGATTTACGGTAACTTTTTTATTTGCATGTGAGATAAATCTGCATTGTATTCCAAATGTTTCATTAAAAAAACTTTCAATCACCATCGACTAGCCGATGGTGATTGAATCACTAGCGGCTGAAAATCACGAGCGGCTGCGACACATATATTAAATCGTGTTTCTTTTGATCGGCCCTTTTCGTGTTATGTGTGTGAATTCATGTGTATTAATCTTAAATCTAGCGTATGAAACATTATTTCACAGTAGGGTGTCATGTTTTTGAAAGGGTTTTTAATCATTTTCTAGAAATTTTATAGTGGTTTAACTCTGGCAACTTAGAACAGTCCGTTAGCACCACCTTTGCCCAAAAAAGTAGTTTATTTACGCGTTTTGACCTGCTTCTGTATTTTTTTATGTCTTTATGCTGTTTACCTTATTTTACGTTGTTGTTTTACAGATGGAGTCACGCTTCTACGAGAAATTCAACAGCTTCTTGCAGCGAAAAAAGACGAGCCAAATTCCGACAGCCGAATTCTACAAGCTGATGGTTGATAAAATTAAAAATTTTAACGATTCAACACTGGAGACTTCAAAAATGAACTATCATGAAGCCAACTTGCTGAAGCGATACACTCTTTTAATCGAAAACACGGGAGTCACGCTTTATCACGAAGACGAACGACGGAAAGCCCGTTAGCGAACCAGAAAGGCAACGAGTAATTCAACAAGAAGAACTCTTCAATATTCTTTACAAAACGCATGTTAAACTTGGACATGCAGGGATATGCGTGATGTGGAAAGGACTCAGAGATTTCAAAGTATGTAATTGGCTGTGCTTTTGCTTTACCTTCTTTTAGAGAAATAATTGCTCTATTCGTCAATCTCTGCGAAGAATGCGAAATGAAGCGTCAAAATCCAAAGAGAACAGTCGTGGTGAAACCAATACGGACGCAAAGACAGAATGAAAGGTGTCAAATCGATCTCATTGACCTTCAATCAACTCCGGATGGAGAATTTAAGTTCATCTTAGTAGACCAAGTATTATTTAAATGTAATATTTTATAACTGTGCCTTAGGATCATTTGACAAAATTTGTGACGTTAAGGCCGTTGAAAACAAAAACGGCAAAAGAAGCGTGCGATCAACTCGCGATGATCTTTGGAATTTTTGGACCGCCAAAAATTTTGCATTCCGTTTTATTTTGCAAGATTTCTATAATTTTTGAAAAGTTTAGACAATGGTAGAGAATTTGGATGGAACAAATGGACAATGGTAGGAACAAATGAATCGACGAGTTGGTCAATGTGTGGGGTCACTGCAAAGTTGTTCGTGGACAACCTCGTCATTCTCAATCACAAGGAAGTGTGGAACGAGCTAACGCCGATATCGAGGTAGCCACTTTCTTAAATGTTTTTTTTAATCTTAAATTTTAAGAACATCTTGTGCACATACCAGCGGGACCGGAACACTTCAAAATGGGCAGAATTTCTTCCGATGATTCAATTAATAAAAAATTAACGTTATCATCATGGAATCAAAAGGTCGCCATTCGCCGCTATGTTTGAAAAGAATTACGAAGATGCCAATGAAAGCGGGTAGATTTTTATACTATTATTTGAATAAATAATTGATTTAAAATGTTTTCTTTAGTGTTGGAATCCAGACAGCCTTAAGGTGACTGGAACAAATGCTGAAGAAATTATTTCTCCGAATGAAGATTGTATTGGACGAAAAAAGTAACGGATCAAGTTTATTTTAATTTTTTTTTGTCTTCTACATTTTAATTTAGTTACACAAGCATTTGCTGATAGAACCATGATAGAACAATCACTTTTGAGCGGGAAGACGCCAGAGCCGGTCAAGAAAAACAAGCTGAAAAGATGTTACTTGCTTCCAAGCAACGGTTTGTTTTGTTTTTTTTGCACTTTTTATATGTTCTAATAGATACCTAGTTGTTTTTTTGCTTAAGTCTACGATTTTAGATTTCAACCTCTAAATGTGGGAGGTGTGCGAATTGCCATTGATCCGGTTGATCGTCCGAAAATTGGACATCGCAATCTCATGATCGTCACGAAAGGTTAGCTTTGCTAAATAATTCTTTAAACTGTTTTTAGTGGTCGATGACTTTTACTCAATCGGAACTACAAATGGAGTTCTGCCGCAAATGTTTTCACGAAATCAGCTCCATCCTTGTGAAACGGAATTCATTGCCGTCGTTGATGTTCTCGATCGAACGACTTCTTTTCGTGCTGCTGTCGGTGAATCTTCGATTCACGGGAAGCAAGGTAGTTTAAAATTTTATTTGGTTAACTGATGGGTACGTATAGGTCACAGACACTGCTTATGCACTGGTGGATGTTCGTCAAACCGATGTGCCTGCAAAAAAGTGGTCTCCTCTGCGATTCCAGATGCCATCACAGTCTTAGTTGCAAGAACAAATAGTTTTTCCGTGTTTTCCTTTACATTATCACAATTACATTTTTGTTTAGTTACATTGTTTTTATCGTTTAAGGTGTAGTTTCATCAATTTGCTTACTTAACCAGTTATTTTATTGTTTATGATCATTTTAATTTACGATAAATTTGCCGCTAATTAAATAAAGGGTTTTGAATTGAATTCACATTAAAATACAGGAAAGCCTTTTTTGGGCAAAGATGGTGCTAACGGACTGTTCTAACGGCTAACGGACTGTTCTAACTGTTGCTAACGGACTGTTCTAGGTTGCCAGAGTTAAGCCAGTAGAAAATTTCTAGAAAATGATTAAAAACCTTTTAAGAACATGACACCCTACTGTGAAATAATGTTTCAATCCAAATCGGATACAACAATGCTTTAAAGCTTTTCTCTAAATGCTTTAAAGCTTTTCTTTAAATGCTTTAAAGCTTTTCTTTAAATGCTTTAAAGCTTTTCTTTAAATGCTTTAAAGCTTTTCTTTAAATCCTTTTTCTAACATTGCTTTTCATTACTTTCTCCGGATGAAAACCTTTGAGTCAAACTTCAGATGATAACTTTTGGCAAGAATCCCATTTCTAACAGTTTAGAAAGATGATTAATGGAATGTTATATAAACGAAAGAAAGTGGAAACATGAGAACAAAGAATAGCAAAAACAAAGACGCGTTTGGGGATGGCAAAACAAAAATGGGCCCCAGGAGCACTACCACTGTTCCACTGAGCCGCTACGCTGCTCCGACAAAGGCAACCGTTCTATACCCTGAGGAGTCAAATTTCAAATGCGCTTTTACAAAACTCTAGAGCGTTTGAGTAAAAACTAAAAACATTATCTTGTTGCTCGTACTCGACTTGTCTAAGTCTATCTAAATCGTTTGGGTAAAAACTAAAAACACTATCAAAAACACTAGTGTTGCTCGTATTCGATCAGTCATCTAACCGCAATACGTTTGCAGAGCATTGGAAATGAAAAGGAAATCGAGCGCACGTATCCTGTATAGCAGAAAAATCTTTGATCTATAAAAAAGCTTCTTTCCACCGTGCCTATTTCTCTAATTGAAAAATTATCTTTAATGGTTAAAAGAAAAGTTTCAAGAGAAATGAAAAGTGCGGCCGAGCCACAGAAACTTTTAGATCATTTGAGAAAGCTAAAAGGATTCTTCTTAAATAGGGTATGAAAATGTTGGAGAGATCATTAAACTCAAAAATTTTCATTTTCAAAAACTCTTTTCATTTCCATTTCCAAACTTATTGCAGAGTACGTCATAAGTTTGCAGAGTACTGAAAATGAAAAGAAAATCACGCGCACGTCACTAGCAAAATCAAACAAATTTGATTCCCTATCTCAACAAACAAACAAATTTGGTTCCCTATCTCAACAAACAAACAAATTTGGTTCCCTATCTCAACAAACAAACAAATTTGGTTCTCTATCTCAACAAACAAACAAATTTGGTTCCCTATCTCAACAAACAAACAAATTTGGTTCTCTATCTCAACAAGCAAACAAATTTGATTCCCTATCTCAACAAACAAACAAATTTGGTTCCCTATCTCAACAAACAAACAAATTTGGTTCCCTATCTCAACAAACAAACAAATTTGGTTCCCTATCTCAACAAACAAACAAATTTGGTTCTCTATCTCAACAAACAAACAAATTTGGTTCCCTATCTCAACAAACAAACAAATTTGGTTCTCTATCTCAACAAGCAAACAAATTTGATTCCCTATCTCAACAAACAAACAAATTTGATTCCCTATCTCAACAAATTTGGTTCTCTATCTCTACAAATTTGGTTCCCTATCATTCTATACTTTTCACGCAATTAAGAAGAGCATTTAAGAAAATGCTGCTCATGATTCAATCATTAATAAATTAAAGGTTTCATTTTTTCTATCAATCACTTTTTTTTCCAAGCTCATAAAATCACGTCCTCTCACTCGTATTGCCTTCTGTGCAAGCCAGGACCAAAGAAAAATCGAGAGAGAATTGTGTATTTACTTGAAATCACGAACAAATACGAGAGAGAGAGAGAGAGAGAGAAAAGAGAAATCACTTCTCTCTCGAGAGAGAAAATGGGAAAAGTTGCCGATTTCTTTGTACTCAAATTTCTCATTTCATTTGACTTTTACTTTAGGAGATTTTTTTCTTTTTTGAAAATTATATTTAAATTATATTTACTTTTTTTTCTTTTTCTTTAACAATTAGCTTTGTTTCAGTTAAAATCCAATATTGTTTTGACGATTTTTTTTTAAAAATCTCTTAGACACCGCCGCTTGGTCACGGATTTAATAGAATGTTTCAAAATTGTAAAGGGCAGGCAACCTATCCCTCTTTTTCGAGATTTATTCAAAGTTAATCCCACGGTTAGTTCAAGGAGAGGTTCTTTCGTTTTAGAAATTCCAGTCACCTCCAATAAGTTTGTTTTATAACTCTTTTCCAATAAGAACTGCCAGAATTTGGATTTGGAATTTGGATTTGGAATTTGGAATTTGGAATCGACTCCCCAGAGTTTTGAGAGAGTCCAATAGTCTCGAAATCTTGAAATTATCTGTAGATGATCTTGATCTTGATCTTGAGCTTGATCTTGATCTTGATCTTGAAGCTCTAGTGGATCCTTGACGTTATCTGTGCTGCCCATATATTCTTGATAATCTTGAAGCTCTAGTGGATCCTTGACGCTATCTGTGCTGCCCATATATTCTTGATAATCTTGAAGCTCTAGTGGATCCTTGACGTTATCTGTGCTGCCCATATATTCTTGATGATCTTGAAGCTCTAGTGGATCCTTGACGCTATCTGTGCTGCCCATATATTCTTGATGATCTTGAAGCTCTAGTGGATCCTTGACGTTATCTGTGCTACCCAAATTTTACATATATTATATCGTGTTTCTTTTGATCGGCCCTTTTCGTGTTATGCGTATGAATTCATGTGTTTTAATCTTAAATCTAGCGCACTTTATCTCAGGTCCTGAATAAAGTATCTATATACATGTTGTGTTCGATTTAGATTTCCGTCCGATTTAGATTACAGTCTATATCGGACGTCAGATTTAGATTGAATCTAAATCTTATATAGATTGAACAATAATACGTCTTTTATAGATTGAACAATAATATAAACATGCTATGTTAAAATAATACAAACAATAATATATGTTCTTAAGCGTTTTCTGTAGTTTTCTGCATTTTTCAAAGGTCTGTCTTACTGTCTGTTACTGTCAAAACCTAAAATGAAGTACTTAAAATCGGAAAAATTTGTGATTAAGGCAAATTTTATCATATCTATATCCATTCAATCTATATCATATTTAGATTGAATCTAAATCGGACGTCCGCGATAAGTTCAATCTAAATGGGACGTCCGATTTAGATTCAATCTAAATCGGACGGAAATCTAAATCGAACACAACATATATATATATATATAAAAACAAAATTATCTAAAACTCTTATTTTATTTCCCTGATGTGTACTCCAGATTGTTCAAATAAAAAAATTAAAATTGTTATTTCCTGAAAAATAATTCGAAAATCGAAGTGATCAGGGATTTTCTGGGGACTTTTTCTGGTGAATTTTGTAGAGTTGTTAAAATTGTTTAAAAATCGCTTTCTCTTTTCTCGTGGATTCCAGATTAAACAAAATTATTGAGAGAATTCAAAATTTTAGAATAGAAATCATATGAAATTGTTGGTGACATTGTTGCTTTCTCTACCGCCTGCACTGTTGCCGATTTTGTCGTGGGTTTTTTTTTTGAAACAAATCAACGATAAAAGAAAGCCACAGCATGCTGCAGCATCTAAATTTCAGCCTTTTCCTCATTCGCACGTATCTAGTTCACTCAGAAACGTTGGAAATTGGGAATTTCTTGTTGCCTGAGACAAATGGATGAAGAAGAAGAGGAAATGACAAAAATTTAACACCAAAAAACCGGTAAACAACTACCCTAAAGTCGCGAGTATAAGTTCTGTTTGGTTTTCGCATGCAAATTGACGGCTGTCTCCGGTGCGGTGTGTCGAGGGTTCGAACCCCGCTGCAGCATAACTTTTTTGCTTTTTAAGAACAATAATAGAAGTAAATCTATTGAGGGTTATAGCAATTTTATGCTGCAATTTTATGCGTTTGTTGCTCCGGGCGTGGCTCGGCGCGTCCAGCGTCCAGCGTCTTCTTCAACACTATCGTCTGTATCCATGCACATAACAATGGTGATAGGCTGTCAGCTAGCAATGGTGATAGGCTGTCAGCTAGGAATCGTGATAGGCTGTCACCCTGTAGTATCCCGCGCTCCAAGAACAATCATCAAAGTTTATATAACAATAAAAATGTATATAACAATAAAAATCTATATAACAATAAAAATGTATAAAAACCCAACAAAAAGAAATTTCAAAGCAATTAAAGCGAATGTAAATTAAGGCAGAACTTATACTCGGATCAACTTATACTCGAGACTTTACCGTAATCTCTTTTCTATGGTACCGTAATCTCTTTTCTGGATATCACACTATAATCTGAATCACTTATTTTAACTTTACCTTTAGTTTCAAATGTGCTGAGCTTTCTCGGCTGAGATCAATCGACTGCTCTTCTCGTGGCTTCACAACGATTCACTATCAGACTAAAACTAAATGAATAAAGATTTTAAACGAATAGAAGTCTACAGTGCATTCCAGAACGCGGAAAAATTATTGTAGAAACCTTGAAAAATCTCTTCCCAGCTCTAATTGAGTACGAAAGGGTACTATGCCATTTGTGACTCTGACAAATTTCGAGCTAACCTTTCAACTATACCTCCAATCTCTACTGTGCCATCCAGAACACCCGAAAAGTTCTTTCAAATGTTGAAAAGCTTATCGCTCAGCTCTGAATCAACACGAAGTAGTACCGTGCACATCCATGATTCCGACAATTTCAAGCTAACCTTTCAACTCTACCTCCAATCTCTAATGTGCCATCCAGAACCCTCGAAAAGTTCTTTCAAATGTTGAAAAGCTTATCGCTGAGCTCTGAATCAACACGAAGTAGTACCGTGCCCATCGATGATTCCGACACTTTCAAGCCAACCCCTCAACTCTACCTTCAATCTCTACCGTGCTTTCCAGAACCCTCGAAAATGACTTTCAATTCTCGAAAAACTTGTCCCCTGGCTTTAAAACGGGGACAACTAAGTGCTGTTGGAGGTGTTTGTTGTGGGGAAAAAAGAGAACTGAAATTTTTCCGATCACTTATCGCCACGAGTTCACTCTCAAAAGTTTTCCCTCTTCTTTTCGCCACCAAAAAAAGCGATTTCCTTCAAATTTTTCTTTTCTTTGAAAAACGTTAAAAAAATCTTTTTTTTTTGAGAAAATTGCTCCAATTTCTTAAGTGCTCAAATCACGAAATTTTCTCAATTTTAAAAATTCTTTAAAAAGTTGCATTTTTCAAGTGGTGTGATGTCCAGATTAGCTAAATTTGAAAGTTTTTTTTCAAAAGAAACCTCTTTTAGCAACACACCGAGCTTGGTAAATTTCACGAGAGAATTTGAGTCGTTACCTGAAATTTTCGCTTATTTGCACAAACAAATTCTTAATCCTGGAGCGCATTTTGGGTGATGAGCTAGTTTTTGATCCGATTTTGCTAAGAATTCTGAATTCTATTGAACGGGTGGCGCGGAAACGCACGCTTCCTGGGGCACTGGGGGAAATTTCGAAATTTTGCATTTTTGTTTAGTGCAAGCTGGAATACACGATACTTGAATTCAATGCAATACAAAACATAGCTCAAAATTTTGTAATTGTAGCTTTTATGAGAATTTTTAATTGGAAACTTGTTTTCTAATAAGACCGAATAAGACAATTGGTAGGATCAACCAGATAGCTGAACTAAGATATGCATGGCTTAGTCTTTCCGCCTGCGGTGACCACCTGGTAGGATCAACCAGATAGCTGAACTAAGATATGCATGGCTTAGTCTTTCCGCCTGCGGTGACCACCTGGTAGGATGAACCAGATAGCTGAACTAAGATATGCATGGCTTAGTCTTTCCGCCTGCGGTGACCACCTGGTAGGATCAACCAGATAGCTGAACTAAGATAATCAATAAAATTGAGTGTCAATCAAAAAGAGAACGCTTTTTTCCTCATCATTTCCTTTCGTTTATGAGTTTGCTTTCGTTTTTTGGATACTGAAATGCATCTCTTGTTCAGCGAGCATTTTGGATACTTCTAGTAATTCTGGAGCTAATACACGTGTGCACTTCGGTGTCATTTATTAGATTCACCAACCGCTTCGGCGTCAAGTGATGATTCTGAATATCTTGCAGACCGCATGCGTAAGCGGCATTCGCGAAATTAACTGCCCTATCAACTTTTGACGGTAGTTTAGTTGACTACCATGGTCGTAACGGGTAACGGAGGATCAGGGTTTGACTCCGGAGAGGATGCCTGAGAAACGGCAGCATCTAAGGCAGCAGGCGCGCAAATTACCCACTCTCAATTCGAGGATGCATCTCTCGTTCAGCGCAATAATTCTCTGCACAGCATTTTTAAAAAGATGAGCTCGAATTTGAGAATTGGTTAGAACTGAATCGGTTTAACTTTGTCTTTTTTTTTGTTCGCTGGCCAAAAGACCTTGAACTTGACCTGGCCAAAAGTCTGGATCTATCTTTTGATCGGCTTTTAAGCTGGAAAGCATAGTGAATGGCTTTTTGAAAATTTGCCTATTAAATTTGCGACATATCGATAATATGTCACAAAAGCAGAATTTAGATATAGGCAATGTTATTTTTAAGAAATTTGCTTCTCCATCTGGAAATAGCTTTCGCGAGTGTAATTCAGGGATGTCCGGATCCAGATTTGGATAGAGATGTCCGGATCCAGATTTGGATAGGGATGTCCGGATCCAGATTTGGATAGGGATGTCCGGATCCAGATTTGGATAGGGATGTCCGGATCCAGATTTGGATAGGGATGTCCGGATCCAGATTTGGATAGGGATGTCCGGATCCAGATTTGGATCTCTACGCAAGCATACAAAGAACAAAAAGATGATTACGCGGCAGTGCTATGAATTTGGAGTGTAGCGTAGTCGTCTTTTCGTTCTTTTTATGTTTGTGTAGAGATCTGGATCCGGACATCCCTAGTGCAAGTTATGCGGTGCCAGCTTTTTGTACAGCATTGTTAACAAGATGAGCTCCACAACTAATTCTGAAAAATACAACTTTAGAGAAATCTTAATAAATTTCCTACTTTTCGTCGGCGCTTTTGCCAAATTTGTGTCATGATCGCTGCCCAAAGCAACAATCTTTTTCTCAATGCCTCTACGGATTATGCAGTCCCTTACCACCCAGCAATTACTTCCGATCTTTCTCTAAATTTGAAAGAATAAAAAAATCAATGCTAATTTCAGCCTACCTTTCTTGAGCGGGTTTCAGTGCGAGCATTTTTCTCAAGAGTTTTAGTTCTTTTAGAACAAAATAATGCAGCAAAAGTCCTCGATACTTCAAGCGAGAACCAGCTATCAATTGAAAAAGCGACATGCGGAAAATCATTCAACTTTTCGTGTAGCTAGATAAAATACAGGGTGGCTGAAAATTACGTGCGCGCAGCATCTGACATAGTTTTAAACAATGTATAAAGCATTACTACTCATCTTTTTGTGTTTTAATATTCTTTCTATCGTTGTCTATTAAGTTTTCGTTAAAAAAGTTGTTTTCTAGGTCATGACGCAAGTTGGGACACAATCGCAAAGCTGGCGACGAGCGGCATGAAGAACTCGTCGATCGTCGGTCGCATCGAGGCTTGGGGTGGCTCTGAGGACCGTCCAGAAGGTCGTAAGGCAATGGAAAGAGAAGGGAGATGTTCAGTCCAAGCCCGTCCAAGCCCGGAAGAGGAGGAAAGAGGACCGTTAGCCCCCGAATGATGCGTGGGATCATCAAGAGGAGGATCGAGTGAAAAGACGAACTTGTAGCTTGAACAAGATGGCAAAACAGCTTCAAATTTCGCGTTTCTCGGTTCAATCGATAGTGAAAAATGAGCTCGGACTTCGAAGTTATCGATTTTTAAACGGACAAGTGTTCACCGATCAAGACAAGCTAAACCGAAAGGAGAAATGCAAGAAATTGCGTTTTTTTGGTCCGATGAGAAGATTTTCACCTTGGAAGTGGCTAAAAACCCACAAAATCACCGTCAACTTCTCAGTCCAGCTCTCAAGAGCACTCGTAAACGAAAAGTCGCTACAAAAGGTCTGTTTCCAAAAAGTTTGATGGTTTGGGGTGAAATCAGTGCTTCGGGCAAGACCCCGTTGGTTTTTATCGATAAAAATGTGAAGATTAACGCAAAAGTCTATCAAAAAGAGATTCTTGAGAAAGCTGTGGTGCCATGGAAGGGGAGCCATCCCAATTTGACCCTTCAACAAGATTGGGCGCCGGCTCACAGAGCCAAAACGACAATTCGCTTTCTCGAAGCCAAAATTGGCTCTTTTTTGACGAAGGATCAATGGCCTGCAAACAGCCCGGATCCGTTGGACTCAATCCGTTGGACTTTTCGCTATGCCTGATCTGCTATGCCTGATCTGCTATGCCTGATCTGCTATGCCTGATCTGCTATGCCTGATCTGCTATGCCTGATCTGCTATGCCTGATCTGCTATGCCTGATCTGCTATGCCTGATCTGCTATGCCTGATCTGCTATGCCTGATCTGCTATGCCTGATCTGCTATGCCTGATCACTAAATAGGGTCTCCGAAAAAAGTGGTCATCAGTTTGAGACTGGAAGAATTTTCTCGTTGATTTTTCAAGGCTCTTCGTTGTGTCAGAATTGGTTTTTTTTAAAAAAAACCCATCATTGATTGGATCATTGATTCCTTTTAGAACGACTCAAATGGCAGCTCGTTGGATATGAATCCGAATTTCAACTTTTTCGATCCATCCGATCATTTGCGTGGCGAGGGATGGGAGGGTCCATCTGTGGCTGAACAACCAGCCATGCCTGATTCTCAATCCGTTGAACTTTTCGGTTTGCGGTTTTATGGAAGAACAATTGAGAAATAGGAAAATCAACAATTTTAACCGTTTGCGTCAAGAATTGATCAAAATCTGGAACGATTTAGATGCAAATTATCTCCGCCGCACCGTCGATTCTGTAAAGAAGCGAATTAACGCCTGTATCAAAGCGGGTGGAGGCCACTTTGAAAATTTCTTGTAATTATTAAATGTTTTTGTTACGACTACAGTGCGTTTCAATTTCTTAAACGCACCCTCTAAAATAGCGAATTTTGCGGGAGTGGGACAAATGCGACCTTTTTTTTTGCGCACCCGGACATTTGCGCACCTTTTTTTCCGCACTTAGCCCATTAGCGCACCATTTTTCGCGTTTTAAAAAAGCTCTAAAGCGTAAAAAAAGCTCTAAAAAGCTAATATTAACGAATTTCTATTCCAAAAGTCGTTTTTCTAGGTAATTTTAGGGCGTAGAATCGAAATTTTGGCATATCAGAGCTTGTGGAAGCGAACGGACGGAGTTATACAAAGAGAAAAATCAACAATTTTCTGTAATTTGATCTAGCCGTTTTGTCTTTCAAATTGGTCTTTCAAATTGGTTCCACAAGCTCTGACATGCCAAAATTTCGATTCTACACCCTCAAATTACCTAGAAAAACAACTTTTGGAAGAGAAATTGGTTAATATTAGCTTTTTAGAGCTTTTTAAAACGCGAAAAAAGGTGCGCTAATGGGTTAAGTGCGGAAAAAAAGGTGCGCAAATGTCCGGGTGCGCAAAAAAAAAAAAGGTCGCATTTGTCACACTCCCAATTTTGCATTTTGAACACCGCTACAACTATTAATCTTTTTCTTTTAGAAAGAGCATGTCTTAAAGCCTAAAAAACACGAAAAATAAGCATACTATAAAAAGTAAAAATTTTCAAAATAAACACTTTTTGCTAAATCAACCGTTTCAAATTCTTAAACGCATTATGAAAATATTTTCATTTATCGACACAAATTAACAATCAAAGGTAAAAAAAATCAAAACTAATAATCTGTGCACGCACCAGAACGATTAATTACTTGAAAAATGCGGTCTGGCATTGAATTGATGAGGTTTTGAAAAGCAAAGACGTCGAGATACACTACTGGACAATGAAAAATCATACTTGAAAAACGATCGTCACTTTCGCGCGCCTGTAACTCCCTTGTCTTTACCGTATTTCTAAATATTAATATTACCATTGTGTAGCCCTTGAAAAGAGCTTTCAGAAAATGTATAACACTAATAGTTTAAACTCAAAGACAAAGGGATTTACAGACGCGCGAAAGTGACGATCATTTTTTCAAATATCATATTTCATTGTCTAGTACTGTAGCTGCAGGCCAAACGGATCGCTGTTTTAGGTACAAATATACGTCTTGAAACTGACGTTGATTTTTGTAGGCAGCTTGGACAAGTCTTCGGCATAAATTCCCTATCGGATTGACGCCAGGAGATCGAGCGGGTCAGTCCAAAGTTGCAATGTTGTTGTTGGTCAGCCAGTCTCGGGTGTCTCCGGCTCGATGAATTGACGCGTTGTCGTATTGAAAGAAATCGGGAACGGTTGGATTTAGGCGCAAAAGCGGCAACAAGCAATTGTTCAAGATATCTATCTAGTCATCCGATTCGAAACCATCTTCAGAGCGACCGTTCCATCAGCACAAAAGGCGGCCCAAACCATCACAGAACCACCGCCATCCAAGTTTTGAGTTCCAAACACCATCGGATCACGTCGAAGATCCCTCCAATAGTAGTCAACGCCATTGGGACCATCCCAATTCCATTTCTTTTCATCGGAAAAGATCACCTAAACGCAAAAAAAATAGTCGGATTGACGTCAGGAGATCGAGCGTCAGGAGATCGAGCGTCAGGAGATCGAGCGTCAGGAGATCGAGCGTCAGGAGATCGAGCGTCAGGAGATCGAGCGTCAGGAGATCGAGCGTCAGGAGATCGAGCGTCAGGAGATCGAGCGTCAGGAGATCGAGCGTCAGGAGATCGAGCGTCAGGAGATCGAGCGTCAGGAGATCGATCGTCAGGAGATCGATCGTCAGGAGATCCAAAGTTGCAATGTTGTTGTTGTTCAGCCAGCCTCGGGTGTCTCCGGGTCGATGAATGCCAAAATTAGGCTTTAGGGAAGTCATTCCGAACAAGGGAAAATCACAAGCGAAAATTTAAGATATTCAGTCATCTGTCTACAAAGTCATCGATTAATCGGTCCTTTGACCAACGTTTTTTGCTGGTTTTTGCTGGTTAACTGATTTCTTGGTTAATTTTTAATCAATTAATTTGTTTAACCAACAGGAGCCCACTCTAATTTCAGTACTCCAAGTACTGTAACTTGAACTACAAAGCCTGAGCAGTACTGTAGCTGTATCAAAATCCCTCAAGGCAAAAATGGACGTAATTTGAGCTTTTGCGTAGCGTTTTTTTTACAAGATTCACTTTGCATTATCAATTTTTAGCTAATAGCTAATTGAAAGCGGTGGTGCTGAATGTTTAGCACAGTTTTCATCGTTTTTCGAGTTTCCTGATTCATAAATGAGAAGTCCAATGTTTACATAACATTTAAAATTCTCCAGTAATCAAATCAGAATCATTGCTCCCCAACATTGCCCCAAATCTCTCAACAACTTCATCTCATTTCACCAGTTAACCCCAATAATTAGCGCATCATTGGATCCTTTTCTTGTCCGCCCCGTCAACACCTTTCCTGCCCATATGTTCATCTGAAATGGATCATAGCCTATTCGGCTTTCACAGCCTTCACAGATTGACTCTTTTCATTGCATTCTGTTGTTGAGAAAAGCCCACTTTTAAAGGTATCTTCATTCTTGAAGTACTGTAGGAGTACGGGTAGTAAAACTTTTTTAAGTATCTTCTCCCTGTTATCTGAGTAGGCCAAAACCGACTGTGACATCCAGGATTTACATTGAATTTGAAAAAATATAGCTATCTCCCTTGGAAGGCCAATTTTCTAGCCGAACTGTTTTTGGGGTACTGTAACTAGGTCGCTTTTTAGGATTTCGTTCAAATTTCAGGTCATTAAAAACTAAATACAGGAAAACCCTTTGTGACATCCAGGATTTACATTGAATTTGTGGAAATTAGGCTTTCCATTCTTTTAAGCCATTTCAGCCAGTAAATAGGAACGGAGCGAAACAAAGATTCTTTTTCTTCTCAAAAAGACAAATTCTCCCTCGGATCATCCATTGTGACATCCATTATGTCTTTTCCACTCAAAATTAGATGTGTGTTTAGTGGGGAAAGAGGACACAAATTGGACGGGAACTGGTGATGAGCTGGAGGTAGGGGGGGCGGGGCCGACGATGAATGGGTGAATGGACTCTGAGCCTTTCGCTCATCCCCTCCGGCAGCCACGACCTCAAGAATCATTTTTTCAGTCATACTGTAACGCATGCTAGTTGTTAGGTTATTTTTTCAAAAGATATTTTTGAAGTTCGATTTTTTCCTTTATACAGTAGTCGATCAAAACTCAAAATTAATTGCACGCTTGATTTTAATTCCTCAAAAGCTCGTGTGCCATCCAGTTTGCTTAAATCTCGCGAATGACTTTACAATCACAATTTAATTATCGATTTTTTTGATCCGAAAATTTCAGTGAGCCATTTCAGACAATTTCAGACAATTCCTATATAAAATTTCTTGAAATAACTCAAATTTTTGTCGTTTTCTTTCCAAATTCAAATCCAGGCTAGAAAATGAGCTTTCTTATCAGAGATTTCTATTTCTATTTCTACGTCGACAAGTGTTTTTGCTTTAATCCCCTTTTTATTCAAGCTTAATCGAGGGGAAAAATTTTGACGACCTAAATTTGGGTGTTTTCCCAGGGATACTCACGTGACTTTTTCAATATTCTTTCAAGCTGGAACGCACAGCAAAAGATTTTACTTTCAAATTTGAATTTTTTCTTTTTTAAAAAAATTCAAAATTTAAAAATTTAACCAATTTTTTTTTTGCTTAATTTTTTTCAGAATCAACTTTTCAGAATGGATATCGGTTTTAAACGAGCCGCCTCGCAAGATCCTGTCGATTACACGATACAGGTAAACGAAAAAAGCCTAATGCTTTCAATAGCCTTATGAAATTGGGCATTGGCAAATTGGCCAATTATTGGCCTTATGAAAAACTCGTCGACGATTTCAATAGGAGTTTCACTCTTTTCTTTTATCGAAAATCCCTAATGTGACTTCCAGATCGACCAAAAATCAAAAGAAATTCAATTTTCGAAAACCCCATTCCAGCCCAAACGAGCCCATCAAGATCAAGCTGCAAAAAAGCCCGACCACAGCCCCTCCCCTCGTCCATCACCGTCTGATTCAACCGCTTCCACGTCCAGCTCCACACATGACATCCAGCAGCCAAGCCGGCCCAACCAGAAACTCGGAAATGCTCACGAGAGTCCCCAGCGAGCCTCATTCTCCATCCATGACTTGTTGCAGTGAGTTTTTGAATTTCGAAAAATTCTCCAATTCCAATTATCTCAACCAGTTCTGTGACTTCCAGAACGAAGAAATATTTTCGAATTTTTCAAAACCGCACTCCAGCACCTCTGCATTTCATTCAAACTCTTCCCATCAACAAAAAAAAGAATTTCGAATTTCGAAAAATTATCCAATTCCACTTGCAACCAGTTCTGTGACTTCCAGAACGAAGAAATATTTTCGAATTTTTCAAAACCGCACTCCAGCACCTCTGCATTTCATTCAAACTCTTCCCATCAACAAAAAAAAGAATTTCGAATTTCGAAAAATTATCCAATTCCACTTGCAACCAGTTCTGTGACTTCCAGAACGAAGAAATATTTTCGAATTTTTCAAAATCGCACCTCAGCACCTCTGCATTTCATTCAAACTCTTCCCAAAAGCGCAAAATTTTTCTTTTCAAAAGTTTCTCTTCAAATTTTGCTTGAAAAAAGGCGCATATTGAGTGTCAAGATTTATGACTGAAAAACGGTTTTTTAAGAAATTTTTGATTTTTTTCGGCACACGTGCATTTTTCTTACAGCTTTTTTTTGTTTGAACTTTTCTTTTTTTCAACTCTGACATCCCATCAATCATCCCCAAAAAAAAACCCCTCAAATCATCGCATTTTCATTCAAATTTTTCTCTTATACTATCCAGGATTGCTATTTTGCTATTTTCGAAGAAAAATTTCCAATCCAAAACAATGACAGCGAGGAAATGCGAGATTTCTCGATTCGATTCGATTTTTGCCATTATACAGATCGTTTAGATGGACATTTCTAGAGTTTGACTCAATTTTTGGCAACCCTGGATGTCACACTTGAAACTTGTAAAGCTTTTTTGCGTAACACTTCGTTTTAAAAATTGCGTGGCAGCCCCAAATTTCTGTCGTATAGACTTTAGGCTTTCTATGTAGTCATACCTAAAAACTAATCTAATTTTTGGCAATCCTGGATGTCACACTAGAAACTTGTACAATTTCTTTACGTAGCAGTCCGTTTTTAAAAATTGCGTGGCAGCCCCAGATCTCTGTCGTATAGACTTTAGGCTTTCTATGTAGTCATACCTAAAAACTAATCCAATTTTTGACAATCCTGGATGTCACACTAGAAACTTGTAAAGCTTTTTTACCTAACACTTCGTTTTAAAAATTGCGTGGCAGCCCCAGATCTCTGTCGTATAGACTTTAGGCTTTCTATGTAGTCATACCTAAAAACTAATCTAATTTTTGACAATCCTGGATGTCACACTAGAAATTGGTAGCGATGCTTTCATGGGTTTCCTTAAAAGCTGCGTGGCAGCCCCACAACTCACCGCCGCTTTTGGTTCGACCGCCAACACTCTTTTGTCGTTGTTTCTAAAAGTTGACCTAATTTTTGGCAATCTTGGATATCAGTTGACACTTTCCGCCACTTTCCGCCACTTTTCCTCTTCTTTTTTTTCTCCCCAATTTTTCGCACCTCATTGTTGCCCGGAAATGAGTACGGTAAACAAGAGGTTGGCAATATTTACATTTCACACCCTTCAGCTAATCCATGCCTCTTCTGTGCTTCCCAGAATGGCCATTGGGCTCCAATGGCTCCCTTTCGGGCCCAACAAAGCCCGATTGATTTGCATTTTGCGTTGATTTGCATTCAATAGGGTGACACCTTTTATTTTGACAATAAGAAAATTTGAGCCAAATCGATGCCAAGGGTGACCTCCAGGATTAACGATTTTCTTAATTAGAGAATTCGAAGACTTTTTGTTTTTAAGAAATTTCGAGTTGAAGAGTCAGAGCAGTCAGTGAGAGACTACGAAAAAATTTTTTAAGCGATAAATCAAAAAGTTAAGTTACTCATTTATTGCTGTGACCTCCAGAATGAACGAATTTTTGTTTAAAATAATACTTCGCATCTGTCCAAGTCCACCAAAACGATCGGTTTCGTTTTGGGAAACGGGAGTTTTTTTTAAAATAACGAAAAACACTCAAATATTGTCTCTTTTTATAGCATGACATCCAGGATAATCAAAAAACAGAAACCAATCATTCCAGGCCACCGCTCATGCGCAGTTCTCTTCTGATCGATCCGTCGACCACTCCAAATCTCTTCAATCCCTTCCTGCAAGCAATCAATTTCCCACTGACCTCCATATTTCAACAAGTAAGTTTTAGATTCGAAAAATACCGAAGAATCGATTATTAATTATCGATTTACAAGCTCCGACAGTGAAAGGCTACGGTAACTCAGAGATATTTATAGAAAACGGGTTTTTTTTGCTATTTTTGAGCTGTTAAACGTTTTGGTTGTTTTTAGACAAAAATAACCGTAATCCAATTCGATTTTCCAGTCAAATTGCTAGATTTTATGTAAATTTTGCCTTCAGGGCCTTCAGGGCCTTCTGCCAATCAATCCCCTCATCGGGAATCCGTTTTTGGCGCAAATGGCCACCACGACGCATGGATTGCAAAGAATGGTATCCGAAGTGCAAAAGGGTTGGTTTTTTTTAGTCTTCGATTTATCCAAAAAAAAACACCCGGAAATCCCTATCCGACATCGAACCAGGGTCCCCTCGCCTCGAGACCGCGCCCACTACCACTTGACCATTTGTAAAATTGAAGCATTTTTTAATCTTTTAAATGCAAATTTCTCTGTGACCTCCAGGATTGCTTTTCCGAGAATTTCAAATTTCAAATCGAAATTTTTTAGCGGTAAAAAGTGTCAGAGTCCGATCGAAATCTTGATTTTCTTAAACTTTCCATACAAACCAAATTTCCATACAAACCAAGGTGAACAGTCTGTGCCCTCCAGGACTTATAAAAAACGTGTTCCTAAATCGAAAAACTCGCCACCTGTCACGCTTCGGTGAGCCGACACAAATCACCTCTTTGTACTCGAGAGTCAATCATTTGGCATCAAAAAAAAATTGACCCATTTCGGGTAATTAGCTAGAAAGAGATGCAATCTCAAGACAATTGTCGAACTCTGCGGCACTCTGCGGCACTTGAAAGTTCGCCGATTCTTTGTCTTTGTTTGTTTGAAAGTTGCGGTGATAATTTGCGCTCGGAAAACAGCCGGTGATGAACGAATATCGAAAACTTTATTTAATTCCGCGATCCTGGAGCTCACAGTAGATTCTGGGCCCAAAAAGAAGCTAATAGGGAAACTTTTTAAATCAAATGCTCATAGGTACTGTAGCGGGGTACTGTAGCTAGGTGATACTGTAGTGAGATCCCTAGCCCCTTGAACCCTCAAAATTCTTCTCTGTGCACTCCAGGATGCCCAGATTACGAATCAAAATCAAATAGGGCAATCCCGGGCAAGCCAATCCCAAACCAATCCCGGCAACACGTGCCATTATGTTGAGTGGTGATGAGTGACGGGTAAATCCCTTAAGAATCTCCTGTGATATCCAGGATTGCCATATCCGAGATCAGGCGAAGGTGGTGGTGAGGGCGGAAGCCGGCAATTAAGCCCAATCCGACTAATGATGTTCGGAGAGGGGGAGCGGGTGTCGATGAACCTGTTCATCCATCAAATCCCCCCTTCTCAATAATAACATATCCCGGGCGCATCAAATGACTTCTAGACAATCATTTTCTCAGCACCTTTTAGTTGATTTTAGCGTGGAAAGGTTGATCCCCTCCCGGATTACGGTAATTAGCGACAAATCGTACAATTTGCATAGATCGACTATGAATCCTTATGAAAACCCAAGTGTGACATCCAGCATTGACTTTAGTGGGGCGCGTTTTAGAAAGTGATCATCAAAAGAGCTACAAAAGTACGGTAACTCATCCATTCAAATCCTGTAATTTGTAAAGATCGTTTTCTTGCCATGAATTCTTATGGAAACCCAAGTGTGACATCCAGAATCGCCCTCAAAGAGATGCATTTTAGAAAATAGCCACCTATCAGAGTGCTAGGAGTACGGTAACGTTCAAGCATTTTTCAAATTTCCCCCAAATCCTTCAGGCCCCGTTTTTTCTAAGCAAAGGCTAAGTTGCCATCCAGAATGAGGATTGAGTGCAAAATTTTTGCACAATTTCAAATTCCAGTAGTATTTTTGGGGTCGATAATTGAAATGGATGAAATAAATGTTTTTTTTTTTTTTGAAAGTATTCCACTAATCCACTAGAACTCGAAAAGCGAGAAATTCTCAAAATTCGAAATTGAAAAAAGAAATTCTCATTTAAAACAAGAGGAAATTGTTTTAGTGGTGGAAATGTGAATTTGCGCCAATGGCTACAGTAATCCGGCCACGGTACTGTAGCCTTGTTGAAAAGTTGAAATTTTCAACAAAACCGGTCAGCATTCACAGGTGTGACATCCAGGATTGCTGAAAATTCGATTGGTATCCGATTTGGTCCAATATATGACCCTAATCCACCTAGTAGAGCCGCAGGGATTACGGTAGCCAAAATAATTTTTTTTGAAAACTTATCAAATTTTTGTCTCCATTTTTCGCACTGACTTCCATAATGATCAGAATTTTAATCCCGGCTGGATTGGCTAAATTTTAAGCAAAAATTTCAGCTGGTAAACGTTCAGCCTCAATGCTTTACCATTTTCAGGCTATTTTCCCTCACACACAAAAAACCCAATCCACATTAGGCGGCTAATGCAAAAGACGTTTCCCCCTTTCTCGAAATGTGCGCTTTTTGAGCAAAAAGCCTGCTGTTGTTAACGATGATGGATTTTGAGGGGATTTTGACGAATTTAGCACATTTATGTGATCATTTGAAATTAGATTTGAGCATTCTGGAGGGCACACAAATCGTCTAAAAGATTATTCGGGTCAAGAAAGCATTTTGAGAAAAATCGAAAATTTTGCACTTTGGCAAAATGCGCCATTTTTGAAATCTCGAAAATTTGGCTACGGTATTTAAAAACAATCTCGATTTTTGTATTCAGCGCATTTTTTGGTGTTAAACGACATATCACACGTACTATACAAAATTCTAATTCAGCAGAACCGGGCTGAGCCTGGGGTTACTGTAGCTCGGATACACTATAGCCAACTTAAACAAATTTGTCGCTTTCTCTTTTTTATCGTTACCAGGCTCTTTCGTGCGCTCCAGTTTAGATTTTCCGCAGGTTACAGTAATCCCCAAGTTACCGTAATCCTTGTAAAATCAGGGGTACTGTAACCCAAGAAAACCAACTTCATCAAATTCGTCGCGTTCACTTTTCCAACTTCACCAATCTCTTAGCTGCGTTCCAGATTGAACTTTTTGCAAGTTACAGTAATCCAGAGTTACCGTAATCCTTGTAAAATCAGGGGTACTGTAACCCAAGAAAACCAACTTCATCAAATTCGTCGCTTTCACTTTTCCAACTTCACCAATCTCTTAGCTGCGTTCCAGATTGAACTTTTTGCAAGTTACAGTAATCCCCGTAATAGTTTATTCGCCCATTTATTCGTTTGAATCCCCCACACCCATAACAAGAAAACAATAGCGGGTGAATGGCAACAATGGGATTCTCTTCACCCTTTTCTCTTCTCCCTTTCCAAATCAAAGACATCCGGCTGTTGTGTGTGAAGAAGATGATTGAATAATCGGGGGTTAAAGAATAGAAAGACCGAATAAGAAATTAGGGGAACTCATTCGGCTAATAGGCTCCGCAAAAAGGGAAACATTGACCCAATGAAGTTGAGGAGAGAAAAAAAGAGGAGAAAAGGAGATGAGCGGCTTTCTGAGAACAATGAAACTCATGGAACCCATGGAACCCATGGGAGATCGGGGGAATCACATTCCAAGGACATTTTTTGAGGCTGCGACTGGACACATCAAGGATTTAGGCATCTTGGAGTACACAGAAGGGAATTATTAAGAAAACCAACTTCGTCAAATTCGTCGCTTTCACTTTTCCAACTTCACCAATCTCTTAGCTGCGTTCCAGATTGGACTTTTTGCAAGTTACAGTAATCCCCAAGTTATCGTAATCCTTGTAAAAGCAGGGGTACTGTAACTCAAGAAAACCAACTTCTTCAAATTCGTCACTTACACTTTTCCAACTTCACCAAGCTCTTAGCTGCGTTCCAGATTGGACTTTTTGCAAGTTACAGTAATCCCTGAGTTACCGTAATCCTTGTAAAAGCAGGGGTACTGTAACTCAAGAAAACCAACTTCGTCAAATTCGTCGCTTTCACTTTTCCAACTTCACCAATCTCTTAGCTGCGTTCCAGATTGGACTTTTTGCAGGTTACAGTAATCCCCGTAATAGTTTATTCGCCCAAAGTTTGATTAATTCGAAAAATCTGATACGGTAAATGAGTTGCTAGCGTTTTCAAGGCTTTTCCCCATAAAAACTAGAAAATATTTTGAATGTTTTCTAAAAGCTGGCTGTCACTACAGTAGATTTTGTCATTAGAATAAAATTAGGAAAAAATTTAAGGTGAAGCACTTTTTAGGAAACAGATTTTCAATCAAGTGAAATCTGATGGCTTGCTTTAAAATGATTTTAAATCTTTTGTGCTCTCCAGATTGGCCCGTTGTGCCCTCCAGATTGTCCATGCCCTCCAGATTGGCCAAATAAATACCAAATTTCAGATTTGGACACATCGTCGTGCTCGGAGGGCGGCGAGAAAATCGACCAAGGCCGAGAAAATAGTCAGGTGTGGAAATTTGGGAAAAATCGATGATTTTAACATTTTCAATAACCCTACTGACCTCCAGGATTAACGAAAATATTATTCGCGAAATTTTCTTTCCAAATTTTAACCCTCGATTTTCCAGGAGTTCCCTAGCGACAATGGCAGCGATTGTGATGACGACGAAAATGGTGAGGGTGAAATTTGCTTTTGCTTTTTTCTTTTAGCTAGTGTGCATTCCAGATGAGCTGAGATTCGAATCAGAATTGAAATTTTATAAGAAAAACTTTTTGTAAAACGGCTTCAATTGTAAAAAAGGGAAATTTTCGTTAATTTTATATATATGTTGTGTCCGATTTCGATTTCCGTTCGATTTAGATTCAATTTAGATCTTATATAGATTGAACGATAATATAAACATGTTCTTAAGCGTTTTCTGTAGTTTTCTGCATTTTTCTGCATTTTTCAACGGTCTGTTACTGTCTTTTTTTCTGAAAAGAAAACCCAACTATGAAATAATCAATAAAAGACCTTTGAAAACTACAGAAAACTACAGAAAACTACAGAAAACTACAGAAAACGCTTAAGAACATATATTAAGCATGTTTATATTATTGTTCAATCTACAGGGTGGCTGAAAATTACGTGCGCCAAAGAAAAGGCCATAATTTAATTTTCTTTCAAAGAAAATGTAAAAATATTTATTTATATAATAGTTGTAACAAAAGCATTTAATAATTACAAGAAATTTTCGAAGTGGCCTCCATCCGCTTTGATACAAGCTTCAATTCGCTTCTTTACAGAATCGACGGTGCGGCGGAGATAATTTGCATCTAAGTCGTTCCAGATTTTGATCAATTTTCGACGTAAATCATTCAAATTGGTGATTTTCCTATTTCTTTCCTATTATACATTGTTTAAAACTATGATGCTGATGCTGCGCGCACGTAATTTTCAGCCACCCTGTATATAAGACGTATTATTGTTCAATCTATTAGGTTGTCCAATAAGTAATGCGTGTTTTGACACGATTTTCAAAATATCACAAAATTAACAAAAGAGAACTTTATTAATCGATATATTCTCCACAACAATCAGCAACATTTCTCCATCGTCCGAGCAAAGAGTGAAGTCCGTCATAATAGAATGAAGCTGGTTTCGATGAGAAGAAATCGTCGAGCCATTTTTGCCTTCCAGCGCGTTCCTCGTCCTCTAACGACTCGTTTCCGTCGAAAAATCGTTTAAACCAGCGCTGGCACTGGCTGATTGAAATTGAATCCTCTCCAAATGCGGCACAGATAGTTCGATGGCAATCCGCTGCAGTTTTGCCTCGTTTGAAATCATACAGCATTGATGCGCGGACAACAAACTTTTTGTCTTTCATCTGCAAAACAACATATCTATTATAAAACAAAGGCAAATGAATAAAATAATATATAAAAATAAACCCAAGTTGCTGATGATTAAAAAGAGCATATATTTGCTCGAAGCGATTTCACAATAGTTTCGAAATAAGTAACACGCATTACTTATTGGACAACCTAATATATAAGATTTAGATTGAATCTAAATCGGATGTCCGATATAGACTGTAATCTAAATCGGACGGAAATCTAAATCGGACACAACATACACTACTGGACAACGAAATATGATATTTGAAAAAACGATCCTCAGATCGATCGTCACTTTCTCCCTTGTCTAACTCCCTTGTCTTTACCGTATTTCTAAATATTAATATTACCATTGTATAGCCCTTGAAAAGAGCTTTCAAAAAATGTATAACACTAATGGTTTAGACTCAAAGACAAGTGAGTTACAGACGCGCGAAAGTGACGATCGTTTTTTCAAATATCATATTTCATTGTCCAGTACTGTATATATTCAGTTGAATAGCTCGAAAACAAAATCACAATAATTACCCGGGGACATCACTCAAAACACACCCAAAAGATAAATAGATAAATAGATACCTCAAGAAAGAATCACAGAGCAGTCAAATCAATTGCCGAAATTGCGGCTTTAAATCTAGCCAAGCAATGAAACAAAAACAAAATGACTGACTGGCATTTAGCTCGTTGACTGAATCGTACACTAACTCTATGACTAGTTCACACTATTTTTTACAGTACTCAAGCTTTTATCAGCTTTAAGAAAAACCCTCATCGTTTTAAGAGCAGAAAATCTCTAGAGATATCTCAAAAATTTCGAGTATTTCCATAAATGAGCTCAAAAAGAAATGATTGCTTTTTAAATCAGTCAACCAGTCAAATCAATTGCCGAAATTCCCAAATTTCCCAATTTCCCAATTTTTTCACGTTTTTAAAGCAAAAATTTTCCAAATTCAAAAGCAATAAATCATTTTGTTTTATTGTTTTAAATTGTTGTTGCAGGTGATTTACAAATCTCCGAAGACGACACACGAAACGAGTCATCGGATCCGAATCGAAAGAAGAAAACAAGGACAGTTTTCAGCCGGCAACAGGCAAGTACCGGAATTTCCTCAATTTCCATGATTTCCTCAATTTTTCCATCTCAAATCCTTTGATGACATCCAGTTTGGGGATTTAAATCGAAAAATTTCCTTTTGAAAATCATTTTCACTCGAAAATCCCTCTCCGAAAATTCGATTCAATTACCCAACTTTCCCCGTTGACGATTTCATTCGTTTTTCTTGACGCCAATCTCATTTGTGACCTCCAGAACTAAGATAAAAACAAAATTTAAAGCTTTTAGAGGTGTCTGTCTGTCTTGAAATGGATCCGATTCAAATACCCGACTTTTAAATACCCGAATAACTCTTTCCTAGAACTCGCCTTTCCTAGAAATCATCTTTCTCTGCTTTTAAACTCATAAATGAATTCCAGGTTTCTCAATTGGAAACGACTTTTGATTTGAAACGTTATTTATCAAGCCAAGAGCGGGCACATCTCGCTGCCGCACTTCGACTCACTGAAACACAGGTCAGTGTTCAAATCAGCTAAATGAAAAACTTCTAAAAGCTTCTAGCAGCTTCTAAAAGCTTCTAAAAGCTTCTAGCAGCTTCTAACAGTTTCTAAAAGCTTCTAACAGCTTCTAAAAGCCTCTTAAAGCTTCTAACAGCTTCTAACAGCTTCTAACAGCTTCTAAAAGCTTCTAAAAGCTTCTAAAAGCTTCTAAGAGCTTCTAAGAGCTTCTAAAAGCTTCTACAAGCTTCTACAAACTTCTATGACTTCCAGATGAATTAAAAATTTTGAAAATTTTAAGAATCCAACTCGCTAAACGTTTAAAACGATCTCATTTCAATTTTTCAAAAATTCCCCAATTCTAGGTGAAGATTTGGTTTCAAAATCGTCGAAACAAGCTGAAGCGCCAGGTGGTCACTGACGAGGGATTGCCGGGAAGCACAGTGGGCACAGTGGGCACAGTGGGTGCCGGTGCGCCAGGCACTCCATTCTCCCTTCGCCCCATCCTACCACCAGCTCCACCCCAACGGTAAACCCCGTTTTTTATGATTTAGAAATTCCAGGTGACATCCAGAAGGTGGATTTTTAAAATCAGTCTTTTACTAGCTAGCTTATTCCACGAGAAATCGAGGTGAACTCAAAAGTTCTCAAATTTCCATTTATACTCGATTCAGATTAGAATTTAAGACTCACAAAGGTCTTATAAGCTTATTAACTGAATATCTTTTTATATTACTTATTAATGATTGATGTTTAGAGTCCTTAATCCATTCCCGTTGGTACCCGGAACAACACCAAATCAGGTATTAAAAAAACTTATCGAAACTTTATAAAACTATCAAAATCTACTGTAGTGACATCCAGCTTTTAGAAAACACACAAAATATTTTATAGTTTATTTAACAGAACTTGAAAATATTCAGCCAACTCGTTTCGTGACTAAGACAATTTTTTTTCAAAGAAAAATCTTTCGTAAAGCACAGAATTCAATGCTGTGACTTCCAGAATTAAAGTTTAAAAGTCTAAAATTCTCGAAGCATACCTGGTTTTAAAGATATTCAGTCAAACTCGATTCCAGGCTACACTCGAGAACGCGGCCCGAATTTTCTTTAATCAACTCCAATGCCGCTTACGAAATTCAGGGCCACTAACGAATGAGGGTATTCCCGGGCATCGAATCAAAAAGTCGCCCACATAAAAAATGTTCATAATACATATATTTTATAATAAAATTTTTGAAATTAGCTCATTTGGTTTAGTAGAAAATTTTTCTTGATTTTCTACTCAACCAAAAAACTTGCCTAATAGCTCATTTTGTAGCCAATTTGATGTAGTTTCTTAAAGTAAAGCCATCGAAAACAATTTCTCGTTGAAAGTAGGAGAAAGAGGGCGAGGAACAAAGTCAGGGCAAAGAAAACCGCGACCGAGTTCAACTGAAGTTGTTCCTCGCCCTCTTTCTCCTACTTTCAACGAAAAATTGTTTTTGATGGCTTTACTTTAAGAAACTACATCAAATTGGCTACAAAATGAGCTATTAGGCAAATTTTTTGGCTTAGTAGAAAATTTTTTATACCCATTTTTGAACCTAAACTTTGGGGGCTCAAAAAAAATTTTCTACCGAACCAAATGAGCTAATTTCAAAAATTTATTATAAAATATATGTATTATGAACATTTTTTATGTGGGCGACTTTTTGATTCGATGCCCGGAAATACCCTCATTCGTTAGCGGCCCTGAATTTCGTTAGCGGCTGAATTTCGTTAGCGGCCGATTCGTTAGCGGCTGAATTTCGTTAGCGGCTACGACATATACAAAAGTGACATCCAGCTTTTAGAAAACACACAAAATATTCTATAGTTTATTTAACAGAACTTGAAAATATTCAGCCAACTCGTTCGTGACTAAGACAATTTTTTTTCAAAGAAAAATCTTTCGTAAAGCACAGAATTCAATGCTGTGACTTCCAGGATTAAAGTTTAAAAGTCTAAAATTCTCTAAGCATGCCTAGTTTTAAAGATATTCAATCAAACTCGATTCCAGGCTACACTCGAGAACGCGGCTCGAATTTTCTTTAATCAACTTCAATTCGCTGGCCTACCCCCATTCAAAGACGTCTGAAAAACCAAAAATCAAAAAATTTGCATATTTATCTTTTCTATTTTATGCTTTTTTTTTCTCTTTGTTCTTTCACAGGGATTACGGTAGCTATTCTGAAATTTAAAATTTTAACGTTTAAAGCTATAATTTTAAGCCCAACTTCTCCCGTGCATTCCAGGATTGCCAAAAAGTCATTTGAAAATCATTCTACACTGTATAGAAAAGGAGAAAAGTCGAGTTGTCGCGAACTACCGTAACCCGACCATCCGCAGTTTTCGATTTCGCGTCGATTTTTTCGTTACACTACTCACACTGCACTCCAGCTTGTCTGAAGACAAAGTTACCGTACCCTGAAAGCATTTCATTTCTAAGCATTTCATTTCTAACTTTTCTTGCCGTCAAAAAATTTCTCGAGATCTCTTTTCATTGTGATCCACCACTTTCCTATTTACGTTTTGTAAAAATAAACTATTTATTTCAATTTACAAATGCAAATTTTCTTAAATAAGCCAAAAAATTCGTTACCCGTACGGAAATTTTGAAGAAACAAAAAAAAAAAAAAAAAAAAATTGATAATATTCGAATTCTTGGCACTAAAGTATTGTAGATTTAAATTTTCAAAATATTAATTTAATTTTTATTCAATTCTATAGTGTGACCTCCAGTTTTACGATACATTTGATTAGATTGTTTAAAAGTTGTTTCAATTGTTTAAAATACAGGGTTTTCAGAAAAAAAAGTCGGTTCAGAGTGATTTTTTTCTATTTTTCTTAGTATTTCTTCTGGCTTCTAGTGGTTTTTTTGGTGAATATTTTAAGGGGATAAATTTTTAGATATTTTCTCACATTTCCCTGATCTCTCCCTGATTACTTGACTCTTAAAACATCAGATTTTGTGAGCCATTAAGATCTCTGATGATCTTGATGGTCTTGATGATCTTGATGGTCTTGATGGTCTTGATGATCTTGATGATCTTGAGGATCTTGAGGATCTTGATGATCTTGATTATCTTGATGATCTTGAGGATCTTGAGGATCTTGAGGATCTTGATGATCTTGATTATCTTGATGATCTTGAGGATCTTGAGGATCTTGAGGATCTTGATGATCTTGAGGATCTTGATTATCTTGAGGATCTTGATGATCTTGATGATCTTGAGGATCTTGAGGATCTTGATGATCTTGAGGATCTTGATTATCTTGAGGATCTTGATGATCTTGATGATCTTGAGGATCTTGATGATCTTGATGATCTTGAGGATCTTGATGATCTTGATGATCTTGAGGATCTTGATGATCTTGATTATCTTGAGGATCTTGATGATCTTGATGATCTTGATGATCTTGATGATCATAGTCGCTCAGAAATCTCGTGAGACTTTTCTGAGCGACTATGATCATCAAGATCATCAAGATAAATCTCGTGAGACTCGTGAGACCACAACAACCATCAGAAGCTACTAGAAATTCTGAGAAAAGATGCTAAACCCTTTTTCTTTTTTTTTGGAAATACCCTATATATTGGGTTGTTGAATTGAAAACTGTCGGCTATTCTCATATGTCCCAGTTCTCACACTTTCTTCAAAAGAAACCCATTCTGATATCAATGAAAAAGTTGTAGAGAATCAAAAATCAAGCTTATATCCAAATTTTCAGAACGATTCAAAAACTGGTTTCGAAGAAATGCGAAATTTACGAATTTTCACCAAAACTTGCATTTTAAGCGAAACTACTAAGTGTATCTTTTTGGAAATTTCGCTATAAGCCTCATTTTTGATTCTCTACAACTTTTCCATTGACACCAAAATGGGTTTCTTTTGAAGAAAGTGTGAGAACTGGGACATCGGACATCTCCAGTCCTCCATTTTTGAGTCTCACACTTGTACTGGGAGTTGCTGGATAGCAAGACGACCGTTAATGCAACCAAATACAGTGAAGAGTTGGGAAAGGTGAATGAATCCCTGAAGAAGAATAGGCCCTCCAAGTCAAAGATCGTTCCCAGCCACGACAAGTACAAAGATCGTTCCCATCCGCGCCCTCGTGTTTCAAAACTGACTCTCTCTAAAATAAATAGCCTTATTTGGGAACTTTTGACGCATTCCCCATTCCTGCATTCCCCATACAGTCTTGCCCCTTTTGATTACTATTTATTCCGGATCATGAGCAATGAGCTTGCTGGAGAACACTTCGATTCGGAAGAAGCAGTCAAAGGCTTCTTCGATTCGGAAGAAGCAGTCAAAGGCTTCTTCGATTCGGAAGAAGCAGTCAAAGGCTTCTTCGATTCGGAAGAAGCAGTCAAGGGCTTCTTCGATTCGGAAGAAGCAGTCAAAGGCTTCTTCGATTCGGAAGAAGCAGTCAAAGGCTTCTTCGATTCGGAAGAAGCAGTCAAAGGCTTCTTCGATTCGGAAGAAGCAGTGGCTTTGAAAGTTTTTCGATTCAAAGTTTGAAAGATTCAAAACCAAAATCCAACCACGAAAGAGGAATCTGCAAATTGGCTTTAAAATGAGCACAAGTCGTCAATAATAATGGAAATTCTTTGCAATGAATTCATGGTTTTATGTTGAATAAATTTTAGTTTAAAGTTCAAAGTCCGGCAGTTTTCAATTCACCAATTTCAATATAAAGTTTTAGCTCAAAATTTTAGCTCTTTCAGCCTTTTAAAAGGCTGAAAATGAAAGTTTTCCCTTTATTTTCTTTTTTTTTTTTTTTAATTTCTATAATTTACTCTACAAAAACGATTGTGCCAAGAGTAAAAAGCTTTAAAAGAAACAATCAAATACAGTAATCTCTTATTGAATATCAGCAAACCATTCAGCCATCGAACGATCGCAATGTGGATCGATTACCTGAAATGGGGAAATGGGGAAATCGAGAAATCATGTAAATCACGAATTTTCACGAATTTTCACGAAATTCACGAATTTTCGACTTTTCTTTGCTGAATTCAAATTTCTTTTCACTTTTCACATTATAGAACATTCATTCACATTCACACAATCAAATTAGCAATTAAAATTCTAGTGTGACATCCATAGTTGTCGAAATGCTACAAAGCACAATTTGAGCTTTAACCCTGGTCGAGATTTCAATGATTGATAATTTCAAACTGTCTAAATTTGGTTCCTTATCTCTCTAGATTTATTCCTTATCTCTCCAAATTTATTCCTTATCTCTCTAGATTTATTCCTTATCTCTCTAGATTTAATTCCTTATATCTCCAAATTTATTCCTTATCTCTCCAAATTTATTCCTTATCTCTCCAAATTTATTCCTTATCTCTCTAGATTTATTCCTTATCTCTCTAGATTTAGTCCCTTCTCTCTCTAGATTTAATTCCTTATCTCTCTAGATTTAGTCCCTTCTCTCTCTAGATTTAATTCCTTATCTCTCCAAATTTATTCCTTATCTCTCTCAATGATTTTTACAATAGAGATGTACAAGTGAATCCCTATCCCAACAAACAAACAAGTTCTAGTGTGACATCCATAGTTGTCGAAATGCTACAAATCACAATTTGAGCTTTAACCCTGGTCGAGATTTCAACGTGGTTAGATCGCGACACGATTTTTTTTTCTCAGAACTCGACTTTTACGAATTTCAACAAAAGCTAAGGATTATGTGACATCCATAATGCTCAAAAAGATATTTGCATTCATTCCAGCTTCGACCATTTTCAATATTTTCATCTGATACTGGTTGTGCTTGGAAAAGCGGCCGTAAAAGACGTGTGATTTTGGGTTAGTGGCAAAATTTGGTCAAGGAGAAATCATGTAAATGATATTCAGATCTGGAATGAATGCAAAACTACCAGGAAAATCACGAATTTCCCAAACTTTTCTTTGCTCAATTCAACTTTCTTTCAACTATTCACATTATAAAATTCGGAAATTCAAAAAAATTCAAAAAATTCAAAGAATTCAAAAACTTTTCAACTTTGACTTACTTGCGAGTGGATATTCGGATAAACGAGAAAGTAGAACAAACAAAAAATGACGAAACCGAAGAAAAAAGTCATCTGAAATGAAAAAAAAGATCAAGATTTACAGGGTTTTCAGCTTTTTTTCAGTTATTTTGAGTTATTTTGAGTTATTTTGTTTTTTAAAGTTTTTTAAAGCCTTTTTAAAGCCTTTTTAAAGTCTCGTAGTTTGGTGTAAACATTGAGATTTTGTTTAAATTTCAATTTTTACATCAAACTCACTCGATTCGAGTCACTCGGTAAACGTAAAGCTGAGTGAGTGTCGAGTCGACTCGAGTCACTCGACTCGACACTCACTCAGCTTTACGTTTACCGTATTTCCTTTAACCAAACCACATTTTATTAGAAGTAATCGAAGAATCGTTTGGATTACTGTAGCTAGTTGTTTAAGTAGTTTTGAGTTACTGTAACAGAAGCAAAGAGGATCGAATCTACCCTTATTCGGTCAAGAATTGGATCCAAGATCTGAACTACCGCTTTCAAGTACTTTTAAGTACTTATGAGTTGCTGTGGCTAACTGTAGCTAATCGAAGAACTGCTTGGACTACTGTAGCTAGCTGTTTGAGTAGTTTTGGATTACTGTAGCTACCTGCTTAGATACCTATGAGTTACTGTAGCTAGCTGTTCAAGTACTCTTGGATTCTTGTAACTAGCTGTTTAAGTACTCTTGAATTCCTGTAGCTAGCTGTTCAAGTACTCCTGGATTACTGTAGCTAGCTGTTTAAATACTTTTAAGCTACTGTAGCGGATCAAACAGGAACCAATCTACCCTTATTCGCTCAAGAATTGGATCCAAGATCTGAACTACCGCTTCCAACGTCTTGTAGGACTCTTGTGCGGGAAATCCTTGCTTTTCCCACCTGTGTGATCCAATGAAATCGATGCATGAAACGTGGAGTGAACTCGATCGTATTCTTCTTCTTCTCCGGTCGCACATACGTCCCATTCTTGTCGATTTGCAACGCCGTATACTGGGCTGGCGAGGAGGCTGATTGAAGAGCGCTAAAAATCTTTTGAAATCAATTTTAATCACCTGAATCTCTGCAATCTATATCCTTTTATCATGCCATGCAAATTCTATTAGTTTCTAGTTTTGCTAAAGCTATTTGTCATCTATTGGTAGCAATGAAATAAGCTGTGAAAGCTGTGAAAGCTGTGAAAGCTTGAAGCTGTGAAGGCTTGGAAGCTTGAAGCTGTGAAGGCTTGGAAGCTTGAAGCTGTGAAAGCTGTGAAAGCTTGAAGCTGTGAAGGCTTGGAAGCTTGAAGCTGTGAAGGCTTGGAAGCTTGAAGCTGTGAAGGCTTGGAAGCTTGAAGCTGTGAAGGCTTGGAAGCTTGAAGCTGTGAAAGCTTGGAAGCTTGAAGCTGTGAAGGCTTGGAAGCTTGAAGCTGTGAAGGCTTGGAAGCTTGAAGCTGTGAAAGCTGTGAAAGCTTGAAAGCTTGAAAGCTTTCTATAAAATAGTTTTAAAAAAGATTTCGAATTCGATTTTTTATAGAGAAGTTAGGTGATTTTAAAGTAAAAATTTCAAAAATGAGGATTTTTTGGAAACTTTTCTAGATAATGCTCGGATTTTTCATTAGAAAATAAAGGCAATTAAAGATTTCGTATGCAAAAATGAGCTGTTTTTGAAATAAACATTGAATGATGTAAAGGAGACATTTGTGTGATCGGAGGAGACGGAGGAGAGGAGAAAAGGGACGGAGTATTGTACTTTGTATTGCTGTAGTGCTTTGTATTGCTTTTCTTTGGGTTTAAAACATTGAACAAACGATTGATCATATTTATTGTATTTTCTCGCTAGATTAGTGATTGTGCTAGATTCGGAATAAAATATTTAAATAATCATTGCCCGATCGGTACCCTCTCATCCATCGGTAACCTCTCATCCATCGATCTCACCCATCGATACCCATCAGTACCCTCTCACCCATCAGTACCCTCTCACCCATCAGTACCCTCTCACCCATCAGTACCCTCTCACCCATCAGTACCCTCTCACCCATCAGTACCCTCTCACCCATCAGTACCCTCTCACCCATCAGTATCCTCTCACCCATCAGTATCCTCTCACCCATCAGTATCCTCTCACCCATCGATACCCATCAGTACCCTCTCACCCATCAGTACCCTCTCATCCATCAGTCCCCTCTCATCCATCAGTCCCCTCTCACCAATCTGTACACAGCACTAATATCGTTCTCCACTTAAAACCCATTTTCCTCATTTTTCAGTTGATTTGATAGGGTATTCAGTTTTTGTACTTTCAAAAAGGTGAAAATTAGAAGCTTTCATCGTTTACCCATTCGCGAGCGCTACAATTCATCGCTACAATTCATCGCTACAATTCATCGCTACAATTCATCGTGAGCGCTACAATTACAGTATTCAATTCTGTGGCAATTGCAAGTGATTCTTTGTTAAGAGCATCTTCACATTCTATGAACTATGGAACAGAAAGCCATGCTAGTTTACCGCCACAAACACACTCCACTTTCAATTACAGCACTTTCTCGCGGCACTCGTCGTCAAGCGTTCCATCGTTTGCCCTGAGAGCCCATTCGCGAGTCTCAACATCGGCAACATCCCGGCCACTATCGATGTGTCCCTATACATTAATATCTACACAAATTAGCAATTAAAATTCTAGTGTGACATCCATAGTTGACGAAATGCTACAAATCACAATTTGAGCTTTAACCCTGATCGAGATTTCAACGTGATTAGATCGCGACACGATTTTTTTTTTCTCAGAACTCGACTTTTACGAATTTCAACAAAAGCTAAGGATTAGATGATATCCATAATGCTCAAAAAACATATTTGCATTCATTCCAGCTTTGACCAATTTCAATATTTTCACGTGATACGGGTTGTGCTTGGAAAAGTGGCCGTAAAAACGTGTGCTTTTGGGTTAGTGGCAAAATTTCGTCAAGCTGGAGCGCACAGAGAATTTCTTGCGAATGAAATTTACCTCGTAATTCGTAATCGTTGTCGCATGTATTTCACTAGGGCCAACTTGATCAACGAAAAGAAGACAATGCAAAAGCAGACGCCTAAAATTTACATAGGAATTTGAGGGTTCTGGAAAGCAGCTCACCCAAATAAACATCCATCGCTTTGATATATGAAACCTGGAAATTCAAAGATATTAAATGATGACCGAGTTACCGTAACCCTTACTAGCCTTTTTCTAGCTACGTCAATTTCCCTCATTTTTTCAATTTTTTTATATTGTGCACTCCAGATTGCACAAATATTCAACAAAAGTAATTCTAATCATCTGAAAATTCAAAGATATTAAATGATGACCGAGCTACCGTAACCCTTACTAGTCTTTTTCTAGCTACGTCAATTTCCCTCATTTTTTCATTTTTTCTATATTGTGCACTCCAGATTGCACAAATATTCAACAAAAGTAATTCTAAGCATCTGAAAATTCAAAGATATTAAATGGTGACCCAGTTACCGTAACCCTTACTTAGCAACTACGTCAATTTCCCTCATTTTTCAATTTTTCTATATTGTGCACTCCAGATTGCACAAATATTCAATAAAAGTAATTCTAAGCATCTGAAAATTCAAAGATATTAAATGATGAGCGAGTTACCGTAACCCTCACTTAACAGCTACGTCAATTTCCCTCGCTTTTTCATTTTTTTATATTGTACATTCCAGATTGCACAAATATTCAATAAAAGTAATTCTAAGCATCTGAAAATTCAGAGATATTAAATTGTGACCCAGTTACCGTAACCCTTACTTAACAACTACGTCAATTTCCCTCATTTTTCAATTTTTCTATATTGTGCACTCCAGATTGCACAAATATTTAATAAAAGTAATTCTAAGCATCTGGAAATTCAGACATTTTAAAAGATAACCCAGCTACCGTAACCCTTGACTAACAGATTTGCCTCCCAGGGTCCGCTCCTTTGGACTACCTGTCTACTGCGCTCCAGCTAGCACAAATATCCAATAAAAACTTATTGAAACATGTAGGAAACGAGAAAAATAATGCCAAGTTAAAACTTTGATAAAACCAACCCTCGGCATCACTTCGTTGTAGGAAAAGAGAAGGAAAGTGATGGTTAAGATGATCGAAATCATGTCCTGAATGAGAGAAGTGAGCTCAGACGAGGCCCGACCTGTCTCTGGTCTTATTAGCATGCTTATATTTGCACTGGCTGCCAGGCCTAGATTTGAACCTGGTCAAGTTTTTTGTCTTGCTCAGGCTCTGACGGCTCTAGGCACGGCCCTGATGGCTCTGACGGCTCTGATGGCTCTAACGGTCATGCTCAAGATCTAGCCCGGCTCCTAGTCCAGTAAAGCTCCTGCTCCTGCTCTGATAAGTACTGATAGGGCAGGTCTAGTTCTGGCCGGGTCTAGTTCTGGCTAGGTCTAGTTCTGGCCGGGTCTAGTTCTGGCCAGGCTTACTAACCAGGCTTACTAACCAGGCCTGGATCTAAAACCAGCAGCAATCCCTGTTGAACAATAGGCAATTTCCAGAGCCCACCTGAAACGAGGTTTCATTCTCCATCCACAACGATACCCACGATGTGATGACAACAGCTGTTGACGGGATGATTAACTAAAGGTTTTGCTGAATTTTTTTTTGCCAAGGCTCAGGCCTTTTTTTGGCCAATTTTTGATGCTCTTCTGATAAGAAAATCTATAAAAAAACTGTCAAAATAGTCAAATGATCATAGAAAAAAAACTGTATTTTCATGGGCACACTGTACAAGGATACTGTAACTTCATGAGCTACTATCAAGCTTGCTATGATCGCATAGACTGTAGACTCAAAAGACTCAAAAGAGTCAGCTTGACAGGCTCAGTTGGCTTTCCGCTTTCCGCTCCGCTCACCTGCAAAAAGCAAAACCCAGCAGCACGTGTGAAAACGAAGCACACATAGAGACGGGAATAATCGCCTGAAAATAGGGTTTTTAAAAAGTCTAGCATATTTTAAACTTGTTCACTTGTTCACCTGTTGCATATCGTTCCATATGACTCGTCACGTAAGCCTCCGAAACCGAGAAATCAGGTAAACGAATTCGATGCAATTCAAGAGCCTAGAGTGGATTTTCTCTTTGCGTGAAAACGATTTCATTCTTAATCCTGGAGTGCACACTATTTGATTTCTTTTGGGCTCTCCAGAAACAGAAGCTCTCCGCCTCTAGAAACAAAAGCTCTCCAGCCTCCAGAGCTCTCCAGAAGCTCTCCAGTCTCCAGAAACAGAAGTTCTCCGCCTCTAGAAACAGAAGCTCTCCGCCTCTAGAAACAGAAGCTCTCCAGTCTCCAGAAACAGAAGCTCTCCGCCTCTAGAAACAGAAGCTCTCCAGTCTCCAGAAACAGAAGCTCTCCGCCTCTAGAAACAGAAGCTCTCCAGTCTCCAGAGCTCTCCAGAAGCTCTCCAGTCTCCAGAAACAGAAGCTCTCCAGCCTCCAGAGCTCTCCAGAAGCTCTCCAGAAAACAGTAAACAGTGATAACTGAATACCCCAAAAATAAGGCGATTTCTAAGAGTTTCTTATGCTAATTTTCCCAATTTTCTTATTTCTGGAGGTCATTCGAAATTTTGACACAGTTCTAACATCGTTTTCTCAAAAAAAAACCTGTATCGATCCCTTCGACCACGCGTAGCGCACTTGATCCGCTGTGTAGCCATCTGCAATTGGATTTTCAATTAAAATTTGGTCAAGCTGGAGCGCACAGAAGGCTTAGGAATTGTTAAATTGGCTAAATTTTGATATTAGAATAGATTGGATACAGTACTCAGCGACTGGTCCAGTTAAACTGTGATCGAACTACCGTAACCCGCTTAGATTGTAAATTTGGTCAAGCTGGAACGCACAAAAGACTTAGAAATTGTTAAATTGACGGAATCTCGAAATCTGAATTGATTGGGTACGGTACTCAGCGACTGGTCCGGTTAAATTGTGATTTAACTACCGTAACCCGCTTAGATTGCAAATTTGGTCAAGCTGGAACTCACAGAAGGCTTAGAAATTGTTAAATCTTAAAAGTTTTAAAATCAAAATAAGCTAAGTACGGTACTTGATAAAACTGTCGTAAAATTACTGTACTTTTTCTCAGAACTACAGTACTCACAGCTTTCGATGCCCAGCTTGCACAGCTGTGAATCGAACGGGAATAGCGTGAGATCCATCGAGCAAGAAACGACAAGCGACAGACGGCGACTGTACAAGATGTGACCCTGAACGTCCAATCTGAAAAATTGAAAGCATTTCGAATCTAGAAAAGTGAATTTCAAGAATTTTCGCCTTAAAACAAATCAGAAATTTCTGTGGATTGATGGATTTGCAAAAGGGATTTGCAGGGGTTGATCAAAGTGTTCAAAGTTGACACATCGCTTAGCCACTTTAGCAAAACAGGCAAGGCAAGTCCAAAATCAGAGCCACCTCTGGAGCTTCTGGCCGAAACCAGAGCCTTCTGACCTTGCCAATTTTGTCTGCATTTCTTTCCAAATAGTTTAGTTTATCTTTGAATTCCGTAAAACAGTTAAAGCCTACGCGACATTACGTCCAAAGTTTCATTTCTATTTACTAGCTTATCTGTGTTGATAAGCCAATCCAGCTTAAGCCAAAGTCAGAAGCCAAGCTAGAGTCAAGTCTGGACCAAGGCTGAGCCAAGTCTGGACCAAGGCTGAGCCAAGTCTGGACCAAGGCTGAGTCAAGTCTGGACCAAGGCTGAGTCAAGTCTGGACCAAGGCTGAGTCAAGTCTGGACCAAGGCTGAGTCAAGTCTGGACCAAGGCTGAGTCAAGTCTGGACCAAGGCTGAGCCAAGTCTGGACCAAGTCTGAAGCCAAGGCTGAGCTATAGACTGAAGCCAAGTTTGGACCAAGTCTGAAGCCAAGTCTGAGCCAAGTCTGGACCAAGTCTGAAGCCAAGTCTGAGGCAAGTCTGGACCAAGTCTGGACCCAAGTCTGAGCTATAGACTGAAGCCAAGTTTGGACCAAGTCTGAGCCAATTCTGGACCAAGGTTGAACCAAGTCTGAAGCCAAGTCTGGACCAAGTCAGAAGCCAAGTCTATAGCTTTCAGAGAGCCAACTGAAAGAGATCTCTCCCCACTCACCTCAGCAACGACCGATGTGTCATGGATTGTTTCCTGGGGTTTTTTGACGCGATCGCATTCGGCACAAAGGTGTCTGGATGCCAGAGGAAATTCGAGTACGACTCGTGCAGAGAGATCTCGGTCTAAACTTCGATCTCTATTTCTCGATTGCTTTCGTGAGAGCCAGGATTTTCAAAAACGTTAAGCGAAAAGGACAGTCTTTCAAGCGATTTCAAGAAATTTAGCTGTGCGCGGAAGTTCGCAAAAAAAAAAGTGGATTTTTAAGGAAAGGTTCTGCTCTGGTTATTCTGGTTGCCTATTTTGAGACCCACCTTCGGCGTTCCGTCCTGAAATTTTTCGACAATTTGCCTTTTGCGATCAAAGTTTACCTTGTTCTTGAATTTCTCTTTGTTGTATTGTAGCCGTGGGTCACGCCATTGCTCGCGATAGAAAAGCTCAAGCGAGTAATCCTGAAAAGTGGATAAACCACCGTAGTCCGAGAAAGTAAATCAATGTAAATTACAGTATCGCCTTTAGCGAACCCCTGGGTGCACTTTAGAAAACACACTTGTTTCAGCGCGATTCGAGTTCGTGCTAAAAAATCTGGATAAACTACAGTAACCCAAAGATTCGACAAAAAATTGGGTAATCCTGGAGGTCACTTTAGCGAATGAAACTAAAAGAAAAGTTGAAATTTGATTTTTGACTTTTTTTGACTCCAGCTACCGTACCCCGAAACGTCTGAAGAGGTTTTTATGTAGGTTTAAATGGAAATTTTGAAAAGCTTTTCAATTCTTTCTATAATCTGGATGTCACAAGGCGGGTTTTATAAAAGAATTTGATCAGAAAAGTTTATAGAAAATTTTCTAGAAAAACTCACCATCGTCACCTCAGACACAGCTCTCACGTTGCTGACGACAACGGAGACGTGAACGATTACGGGGCCTGGAAATGAAAGCTAAAGTGGTTCGAGCATTCTCGATGTCACAATTGACTTTGCACTTAAATCCGACAGAAAACACTCACCACCGCTCGCGTTCTCCGGGCACTGTCGATGATCGTAGCGAATTTTGCGGAGAAATTGCAGAAAGTCGCGGGTTTCTCTGAAAAATTCTTTCGTTCTGGAGCGCACAGCAGGCAATCATGGTTCCAAAACGGTTCTTTTTTTGATCTAATACGGTTCCGATACGGCTCCAATACGGTTCCGATACGGTTCCGATACGGTTCCGATACGGCTCCAATACGGTTCTTTTTTTGATCTAATACGGTTACAATACGGTTCCAATACGGTTCCAATACGGTTCCGATACGGTTCTTTTTTTGATCTAATAGGGTTACAATACGGTTCCAATACGGTTCCAATACGGTTCCGATACGGTTCTTTTTTGATCTAATACGGTTACAATACGGTTCCAATACGGCTCCGATACGGCTCCAATACGGTTCTTTTTTTGATCTCAAACGGTTCCAATACGGTTCTCTTTTTTGATCTAATACGGTTCCGATACGGTTCCAATACGGTGACAGCAGGCAATCCAGCAGTGATTTCACCAATTTAGCGCAACCTTTTTCGACACTCTCACCCCTGTTGGAAGATGCTATCCTTGTCGAGACCCTCTTGTTCGTAGTCCTGAAAAGTCATCGATGTATGTAGGGTTTTTAAAATATTCAAGCAAATTCATTTCTAAATCTAATCAATCTTGAACTTTTTTAAACAAAAAATACCTAAAATCACTGTTTTTTTTTGTATTTTTACCATCAAAACTTATCAGAACCGTTTTTTTTAAACTTATCGACCAACAACGAGATAAACTGAAAGTGATTTTAGTCAAGCTGGAGCGCACAGACGCCTTGGGAATTGTTAAACTGACAGAATTTCGAACGCAGAATAATTTGGGTACGGTACTCAACGAGTGGTCCGGTTAAACTGTGATCGAATTACTGTAACTCCTCTTAGATTGCAGATTTGACCAAGCTGGAGCGCACAGAAGGCTTAGAAATTGTTAAATCATAAAAATTTCGCAATTAGAATATTAGAATAAGTGAGGATTACGGTAGTCGAGTTTCTTTTTCTTTCACCTCATTCTCCTCATCCAATCTCTCCTCATCGCTTTCCTCTTCGGTGAATTGATTCAGCGTGTGCGTCTTCTTTATCATCGGCGCTCCACGAACCGCATGCAACTGGAATTGCAAATAAAATGGAGTGGTTTTGAATGAAAATGTTTCCAGCCATGTTTCAAGGATTCCAGGTTCAATGCTAGGTCTCACCCAGGGACTATTTATGAGCTAGCTTGTAGTAAAGCTAGGGAGATTGTCCAGATATGGTTTGGACAAGTCAGACAAGAACAGAAGCCAGACTAGGATTAAGGTTTTGGCTTGGTTACCTGACCAGGAGTAGACAAGGCCAGGAGCCAGCCAGTACCCCAGCCAGTACCCCAGCCAGTACCCCAGCCAGAACCCCAGCCAGTACCCCAGCCAGAACCCCAGCCAGTACCCCAGCCAGTACCCCAGCCAGTACCCCAGCCAGTACCCCAGCCAGTACCCCAGCCAGTACCCCAGCCAGTACCCCAGCCAGTACCCCAGCCAGAACCCCAGCCAGTACCCCAGCCAGAACCCCAGCCAGTACCCCAGCCAGAACCCCAGCCAGTACCCCAGCCAGAACCCCAGCCAGTACCCCAGCCAGAACCCCAGCCAGTACCCCAGCCAGAACCCCAGCCAGTACCCCAGCCAGTACCCCAGCCAGTACCCCAGCCAGTACCCCAGCCAGTACCCCAGCCAGAACCCCAGCCAGTACCCCAGCCAGAACCCCAGCCAGTACCCCAACCAGCTTACAGTAATCCTAAAAACAACATCAACCAACTGCAACTGGAAACTTATTCTATACAAATTTTGTCAAATTTGTTAGAGGAGTTCAATGGTTGACTATACCTTTGCCTAAAAACCTAAAAACCCTTTCTTTCCAAAAAAAACCTGTCGAATCTGTGTGCAGAAAAGGAGAAACGGGAAAAATATCGTCATCCGTGGTTTCATCATCTAGAAATAAAGAGATTTAAAAAATTGAAAAAAGAAATGGAAATGGAATTAGACGTGTAGCTAATTCGATTTCCAAGAAAGAAAATCAAGAAAGAAAAGATCTTCGGAAAGCATCGAAAGGTCGAAATGAAGAAAGGATCGAGAAATGAGAAATCAGTAGAAATGAGAAATCAGTTCTCAAAGAATTTCTGAATCAATTTCTGAATCAATTTCCGAATCCGGATTCTAATAATATCAATCTCAATAGATCAATCCAATCCGGCGAAACTAGCGAACCTGACCACCCAAAGATCTAGCCAAAGATCTAGATCTGATTTCAAAGTGGCACAACCTGAAGTCGTTGGGTAGATCTAAGATCAGTCCAGGATCAGCGCTAGATTCCACATCGATTTTAGAGTGGGATCGGCCTGGATTCACGGTTCTCTTTGAGTAAAAGAGAGACGATTCCAGCTCAATCTCCACTCCAACGTTAAGGTATAAACCAAAGAGAAACTGGGACAGATGACAGGTTTAAACAGGTTTAAACTAGAATAGCGCTCCATAGGTCTAATGGTGATGTTTATGCAAGGAAGCCTGTGATTTCTTTCCTTAAAACAATCATTATTCGATCTAAACCCATTCTGGAGACAAGATTGGTTTCGTAAGAGAAAGTAGAGATGAGAAGGGATGAGAAGGGATGAGAAGCGATGAGAAGCGATAGGAAGCAATGAGGAGTGATGAGAAGCGATGGGAAGCGATGAGAAGCGATGAGGAACGATGAGAAGCAATGAGAAGCGATGAGAAGCGATAGGAAGCAATGAGGAGTGATGAGAAGCGATGGGAAGCAATGAGAAGCGATGAGAAGCGATTAGGAGCGATGAGGAGCGATGGGAAGCGATGAGAAGCAATGAGAAGCGATGAGGAGCGATGGGAAGTGACGAGAAGCGATGAGAAGCGATGGGAAGCGGTGAGGAACGATGAGAAGCGATGAGAAGCGATGGGAAGCGATGGGAAGCGATGAGAAGCAATGAGAAGCAATGAGAACTAGCCTAATTTTGTTAGATAAGATATCAGAGTTAACTGTTGTAAGAAAATAGATTAAAATAGTAATAGTAAGCTTTAAATAGTCAGCTTTAAATAGCCGGTTTTGAAAAAAATTTATCAAAAAAGAGATTTTTATTAGAATCAATCTAAATCCAATCGTTTTTTCACTAAAAAAGAGAAAATTCAGAGAAAAAGAAAAGAAAAGAAAAGAAAAGGAAAAAGAAAAGAAAAGAATCACGATTGAAAACAGATGTTCTCATTGAAAGGAGCTTTTTTGAAAGAGTCAAAAATGGGATTTTTTTTTTTTAGGGGAAATCGATGAGGATTCAAGTTCGATCGGATTTTTGATTAATTTAATTCGAAAATCTTTTCGATAACTTTTCAAATCCCCATTCCTGGAAGGCACACGAGATTTTGAAAGCAAAATTTTTATCGAGAATGCAATTTTTCTCTTTTTTATTTTTAAGAAAATTTTCTCAAGGATCTTTTGAGAAAAAATCTTTCAAAAAAAATCAAAAAACTTTTCGAAAATTTGACAATCCTGGAAAGCACTGAAGATTTTGAATTGAAAAGTTTTCTTTAAAATCGAAATTTTCATTTTTATTGAATTCATTAAATTGGCTAAATTTTGATATTAGAATTGATTGGATACGGTACTAACTGGTCCAGTTAAATTGTGATCTAACTACCGTAACCCTTTTACATTGTAAATTTGGTCAAGCTGGAACTCACAGAAGGCTTAGAAATTGTTAAATTGACAGAATTTCAAAATCTGAATTGATTGGGTACGGTACTCAGCGACTGGTCCGGTTAAACTGTGATCTAACTACCGTAACCCGCTTAGATTGTAAATTTGGTCAAGCTGGAGCGCACAGAGGGCTTAGAAATTGTTAAATTGACGGAATCTCGAAATCTGAATTGATTGGGGTACGGTACTCAGCGACTGGTCCAGTTAAACTGTGATCTAACTACCGTAACCCGCTTAGATTGTAAATTTGGTCAAGCTGGAGCGCACAGAGGGCTTAGGAGTTGTTAAATTGATTCAAATCAAAATTTTGAATTTAAAAAAACAAAAATGATTTTTCAACAAATTCCCCCATAATTACCCTTGTGGTGAATCTGAAAATCCTTTTAAATTGATGAAAAAGAAATGAAATGCTTGATGGAATCCAGGAGGGACTAGGGGAAGAAGGGGAAGAAGGGGAAGAAGGGGAAGAAGGGGAAGAAGGGGAAGAAGTTCAGGATGTAAATTCGATTCTGCCAACGAAATGATTTCCGCTCTTTATGGAAAGCAGACGGGAAGGATTCGGAAGAAGGGAAGAAAGAAGAAAAGAAAGAAGGAAAGAAAGAAAGAAAGAAGAGCTTAGAATAACAGGAGAATTTTATAAGCTATTGCTTCCGTTGCCTTGGCAGGTCTGAAGTTAAAGCTGAGGTCGGAAGTTCGTGGCCTCTTCCTCTTCCTCTGGTTCTTTCCCTTTTCATCAAATTCTGAATTCTGATTGTTGCAAGGTTAGGCTTATTGCTTTAGGAAAAAAAGGGTAAAGTTGTTAAAGAAAAAGCAAGCTAGATCTCGATCTAGACTCGTTTAACACGTTTCTGAGCTGGATGATTGTCTGGTTTGGATTGAGATTCGGATTGGGCTATCAGACCAGGGCCAAAGCTGAGCTTGAACTCGTCTTGAACTCTGGAAGCTCGCCTTGAACTCTAGAAGCTCGTCTTGAACTCTGGGAGCTCGTCTTGAAGCTCGTCTTGAACTCTGGAAGCTCGTCTTGAACTCCTGGAAGCTCGCCTTGAAGCTCGTCTTGAAGCTCGTCTTGAAGCAACTCAGCCGATCCAGGTTCTAGCCTGCTCAGGCTTCTTGAACAAGTCCAACTTCCTTATCCAGATGCTCCTAAGTCCAAATTCCTGGGCCAGAGACCAGCTGAGTAAGACAAAGACTAAGCCACTCGGCCAATCCAGGTTCTAGCCTGCTCAGGCTCCTTGAACAAGTCCAACTTCCTGATCCAGATGCTCCTAAGTCCTGCGCTAATCCAGGTGGTGCGTGCAGATAAGCAAAATTCGATAAAGATAATCAAAATGAAATCCCCGATGCTTTTTACCTGGATAACATCACCTTTTGTAAACTCAAAATCTTTCACAAAAAAAACTTGAGATTATCAAAATCTCAAAACAAAGCAGACACCTGTTTTCCCAAGATCATCGAGATCCTTTTTCCCTCTCAATTTCCAATATCGGCTTCAAAATGAGGCAATTCTGCTTTTGTTTTTGTTCCGAAAGAAAGAAAGAAAAGCAGAAAAGCAAATTTCGAGGCCAAAAGCACATTTACAGCGTTGTGAGAACTCGAACATGTGCCTAAGAGAGATTAAGAGTTAAAACCTCCAAAAAAGGTCGATTTTTGACCTTTTTTTTTTTGACGCTTTTTTGACCCTTTTTTGAATGCAGGATGAGAATTGAAAAGGATTTAGCTGAAATCTCAACAACCATCCCAACAAATCTCCTCGGTTTATGGTTAAACTCGAACCCTATCCAAAAAACAAAATCCCAAAAAGAAATCAAAAAATTTTTTCAAAGATTTGACAATCCTGGATGTCACAGTAGGCAACGTTAAAGAAATCATGTTAAAGAAATCAAAACATCTCCTCGGTCTATGGCTAAACTCGAACCCTACCCAAAAAACAAAATCCCAAAAAGAAATCAAAAAATTTGTTCAAAAATTTGACAATCCTGGATGTCACAGTAGGCAATGTTAAAGAAATTTGAAAGCGATTTTAAAGATATTCAGTCATCGAGTCAGCGTTGAGAAGATCAGCAAAGGGAAAACTCGGTTAAATGTTAAGAATATGAAAATTTCTTCAAATTTCATCAATCCTGGATGTCACAATGAAAAATGAGCTTAGAATCGGCACCTAAGCATTTAGCTGAAAGATTTGGACCACTCAACCGCCTCTCCCCAAACAACAACAACATTTGGATGAAGAAAATGAGAAATTTCTTCAAATTTCATCAATCCTGGATGTCACAATGGAAAATGAGCTTAAAATCAGCACCTAAATGTTTAGCTGAAAGATTTGGTTCACTCAACCGCCTCTCCCCAAACAAGAACAACATTTGGATGAAGAAAATGAGAAATTTCTTCAAATTTTATCAATCCTGGATGTCACAATGGAAAATGAGCTTAGAATCGGCACCTAAATGTTTAACTGAAAGATTTGGATCACTCAACCGCCTCTCCCCAAACAAGAACAACATCCCCCATGTGGTACGCGTCATTTTTACGGCTCACCAATCGAGATTGTACGGATCAAAAACTCAAAAGGATTGTAAGGATTGTAAAATCGAGCAAAATTTTTGACTCCTTTACCCCCAAGCAAATCTTTCTGACTCATCGAGAACACGAAAAGCAAGATTTTCGAGATTTTTTCGAGATTTTCGAGATCAACGCGAAATTCTGCTCAGTTTCTATTTCGCTAAATTTTCATTAAACTTTTTTTCAATTCTGGAACGCATTTGAGAAAATACAAAGAAGTTTGAATCGAAAAATGAAATTTCAAAAATTTTCCTGTTAACTCCGCGACGAGATTGACCATGATTCATTGCTGAAATTTGCATTTATGGGGTTTTAAATGTAGATTTCGTAAATGCTGGAACGCACAAGGGATTTTAAGAGTAAATACAAGCCATATCGCTGGAGTTTACTCATATCTAGTGTGCTAGAGGGCGTGCGTTTGGGTCGCGTCTAGGATTCGGTGGTCTAGCTGGGGCTCACTAGGAGCTAGCTAGGGCTCGCTAGGGCTAGCTAGGGCTGAGCTAGGCTAGCTAGGGCTCTCTAGGCTAGCTAGGCTAGGTCTAGGGCTGAGCTAGGCTAGCTGGGCTCTCTAGGCTAGCTAGGCTAGGTCTAGGGCTGGCCAGGCTAGGTCTAGGGCTGGCCAGGCTAGCTAGGGCTGGCCAGGCTAGGTCTAGGGCTGGCCAGGCTAGTTAGGGCTGGCCAGGCTAGCTAGGACTAGTGTTTGGATTGCCACTGCACCGATAGAACTCTCAAATCTGTCTAAAATCTCAAGTTTCACTCCAGAAGACACAAAAATCATTTGAATGTTTCAAAATTTCAAAATTTCAAACAATGAGAAAATTGGGTAATCTTTTCCCGAAAAAGTGAAATTACACGTTTTCTTGAAGGTTTGATGAGCAAGAAAAATGAACAAAGAGCAAAAAAAAAATTCGGGAAAAGGAAAAGGCCAGGCCCACTTGAGGAAGAGATTGAGGAGATGAGGAAGACGATAAAATGAGAGAGTCGCTTTTTGAGGCGAGCTTTTTGCCTCGAATCTCTGAAAGCATCGAATCTCTCCGAAATGGGGAAAGCTTTCGGGTAAAATAGGCTGCCCCAACTCGCCTCCAATCTCGTAAACCAGTGGGCAAAGCCGAGAGTCAAAGTTCTCAAGTTAGGCTCAGTCATTTCAAGTTAATCAGTCCAAGAGCTGTCTTCAGATTTGGCGCATGACTCGTTTAGAAAGCCGAGAGCCGAGAGCTCTTGCCTTTGATAGTCTCGCTGCCAGATACAATGGATTGCTAGTCTCAGCTTTTGCTGGAATGCTTAAAGGAAGTTGATGCCTTGATCAGGGCCAGAAATTTAGCAGTTTGGGCAGAACACTACTGTTCGAAATTAGCCCTAAAAACTTCTTGAGCTCTGGAGCAGGTCTAACATTTAGAATGGCTTTGGTTCTGCCTTAGTTCTGGCGAGAAAACACTGCCTTTAAAACAAGCCTGTAATAAGTGCTAGAAGAGACTCGAGGCTTGAGAACGAGGCTTGAGAACGAGGCTTGAGAACGAGGCTTGAGAACGAGGCTTAAGAACGAGGCTTAAGAACGAGGATTGAGAACAAAGCTCTAGATGAAAGCTCTAGATGAAAGCTCTAGATCAAAGATTAAGCAGTAAAGTATTACGATTCAAAAATGTTGAAATTCTGTTTAAATTGTCAAAACCTTACCCAAAACTGCTACCCCAGAAACACTAATTTCAAATTTATTTATTTACCAAAACGAGAGGAATAACAAATTGGATTGGCGTTTGTAAAAATCGATTTTATGAAAGATAAAAGTGGAAAGATCGAGAAAAATACAGAAACTCTAAAAATTTAACAGATTTTAAAAACGAAACCGGAAAAGAGAGCGGTTGAAAAAAGAAAAGAAAAAAAAGGAAATTTTAATAATAAATAAAATTTTCTAAATTGATCGATTGAAAGGGGAAAATACACGCGCAAAAGACACGACAACGATTCAAAAAAAATACCGACTGGGGCTACCAGTGGTGAATTTATCGCATACACGAAATATATGAATCACAATACAACGACACACACAATATTAGGCTATATCTTAACTTAACCCACGTCATGACAGACGGCTCCCTAACCCTAAGCTCAATGGGGAACTAAATAGCTTTTTTGGTGGTGAAGGGAAGATGACGATGAAGGAGTGGCTTGTCACTTTAAAGAACTGGGGCCACAACCACCAGACTGCCCTCCAGAAAACCTCTCAACCCGAAGGGAAAGGAAATCCGAAGGGGGTGACCATGTCGCATGTGGGGTTCGAACCCTCGACCTTCCGATTAAGATAAAAGACACTTAACCAGTCAGCCACATGTGCCACACGAGCCACACGTGATTCTTTAAAAGAATCATTTTTAAAGCAATTTGACTTCCTTTTACAGACGAAAAGGGAGACGTCGTCGCGAGTACGGTAGTTTAAGTGTATTTTAGAATTTAAGTAGAATTTAAATAAAATTTAAATAGAATTTAAGATTGAAAAGTTTTCAACCCGGAATTGGAGTAGGATTAGAGTTTTACTAACTAGAGAGCGGCAAAAAATCAACAAAACAAAGCTGACAAAGCAACAAAACAAAACAAGGCAACAAAACAAGGCAACAAGACGAGGCAACAAGACGAGGCAACAAAAACACAACAAGAACAAGACGGGCAAAAACAAGGCAACAAGCCAAAAAACAAGGCAAAAAACGAGGCAACAAGACAACAACAAAAAAAACAAGGCACAAGACGAGGCAACAAGACGAGGCAACAAAACAAGGAAACAAAACAAGGCAACAAGACGAGGCAACAAAACAAGGCAACAAAACGAGGCAACAAGACGAGGCAACAAAACGAGGAAACAAAGCAAGGAAACAAAACGAGGAAACAAAGCAAAACAAAACAAAGCTGACAAAGCTTGACTTTAAGCCTATTAAAATCGCATCCAGATCGAGTTTGACACGGGGAATCCGAAATTGTTTTTTGGTTTTTTTTCTTGCTGATGCTTTAATCGTCAGATATTTGAATTTATGGCGCTCTCTAGCAAGGGAAAAAAAAAACCCTCCATCACTGCTTGATTCTCAACTGCTTGAGTCCATCACTGCTCTCTAGCAAGGGAAAAACTCTTGATCAGTTTTTGAAAAAAAGACTAAAGTTATAATTTTTAAACAAATAACTAAATTAGTTTACCTACATTTTATACTATGCAAAGATCTTTTAGAAAAAAAAAACACAAAAGAAATCGGCATTAGGGTCGGGCTTGAAATCATGATCGTGCCTATGAATACACTCCGTTACCTGACACCACTGATGACCTGCTTAACAGATTGAAACAGTAACCGTTTAACGGTTTGTTTCACAGAAGAGCGAAGGACTTCCTATATATATATATATAAAAGCCCTCTGCCAGAAAGTGCGCGATTGTGCGCGCGCAAAAAGAACACCCATCCGCCCATTAAGCAATTGAGTTTTTCGATCGTTTCTCAGCCATACTTTGACGGATTGGGCTCATTTTTATTTGAAAAGATGCGCATTGAAAAAATTGTCTTTTCCCTTGCTAGAGAAAAGAAAGAAAAGATCAGCAAGAAAAAAACTAAAAAACAATTTCGGATTCCCCGCATCAAAGTCTGTCTGGATGCGATTTTAATAGGCTTAAAGTCAAGCTTTGTCAGCTTTGTTTTGTTGCTTTGTTTCCTTGCTTTGTTGCCTCGCTTTGTTTCCTTCTTTTGTTGCCTTCTTTTGTTGCCTTCGTTTGTTGCCTTCTTTTGTTGCCTTCTTTTGTTGCCTTCTTTTGTTGCCTCGCTTTGTTGCTTTGCTTTGTTGCCTTGCTTTGTTGCTTTGCTTTGTTGCCTCGCTTTGTTGCCTTGCTTTGTTTCCTTGTTTTGTTGCCTTCTTTTGTTTTGTGCCTCTTTCTCTAGTTAGTAAAACTCTAATCCTACTTCGAGTCCGGGTTGGCAACTTTTCAAGTTTAAATTCTAAAATATACCTAAACTAGATTTAGGCTAAAAGTTAAGCTTTAATTTTTTTGCTTGCCGCTCTCTAGTTAGTCGTCAACTACAGAAAACATTTTTACAACGAGTTCAAGGGAATTAAAAAGGAACGGGAATTAAGAAGGAACGGGAATTAAGAAGGAACGGGAATTAAAGAGAAACGGGAATTAAGAAGGAACGGGAATTAAAAAGAAATGGGAATTAAAAACTCTCTCAAAAATCACCTCAAAAACTTGACGAAGAGACTTATTTGAAAGAAAAAAACGCAAAACTTTTTCATTTCAAGAGTTCTTTGACCCAGGAACGTCCAGAAACCCCCGTCTTTCAAATTTCAAAATTTCAAAATTGACACTTCTCAATGAAAAGATGGCCTTTATTTTTGTGGCTTTTTTGTGGCTTTTTGTGGGTTTTCCCTTGCAAATCCTCAACTCAAGGAGTCGAGAATCGAAGCGGTCCCATGGGGAAACGAGAATTTTTTGGAATTTGAAAATTTGGGAAAATTTTGAGTGAACAACCCGACTTTGACTGAAAAAAAGAACTGAACTCGCTTTCACTTGGAAACAACAATCTTTGAGTACATTTTTAGACACCCTGCACTCCAGCTTGTTGAAATCTAAAAATAGATTCTCGAAAAGCCCAGCGAGAACCCGAGTTTTTGCCTTCATCGAGATCGTCCCGTTTTCTCGTCGATTTAAAAAGAAATCCAGAACTTTAAGCGAATATCTGTCAATCCTGGAGCACACAGAAAGTGTAGAGGGTTTAAAAGTCGCAAAAATGATAATTCTAAAAAATTTATAAAGCCAACGACTCGAGTTCGGCTTTTTTTGACTCCGAGAGAGGTCAAAATTAAATGAAACAGTTAAAAATGGAAGAAAAACTGAAAAGAATGCTCTTTAGAAGAATCCATTTGAAAACACAACAACACAACATCACTTTCATTGCCCATCATAGTCCGGCTTTCGAGTTCAACTTCGCATTTCACCCTTGCTGAGCCATTGTCTTTTTCGAGAAGTCTTATCGAAGGAAACCTGCTGTTTCAGTTCATCTGTTGTTTCAGTCTGTTCAGCTAGAGCTGTTGAGATAGAGCTGTTGAGATAGAGCTGTTGAGATAGAGCTGTTGAGATAGAGTTGTTGAGATAGAGCTGTTGAGATAGAGCTGTTGAGATGGAGCTGTTCAGCTAGACCTATTCAGCTAGATCTGTTCAGCTAGATCTGTTCCACATCCAGATCTGTTCTGCAACATCCTTTCAGCAAGATCCTTTCAGCAAGATCCTTTCAGCAAGATCTGTTCTGAAGCTAAGAATTTGCAGTAATCAATTGAAATCCTTATAAAATCCCAGTCATATTTCCCAGTGATGTTTTATAATATTAATTTTCTAAAACAAATTTGATTTTCTGAATCAAACATTCATTTAACATTTGCAATTAATTGGAATGTCGAGTGGCAAAATCTTGCAAAGTTTCCGCTGGCTGAATAAACATTGGATGAACGTTGAAGTAGAGAAAGAAAAAGATAGACTATGAAAAGCCAATCGCTCTTGAACAGCGATTGAAATTCTCGATTTTGACGGGAAAGATGCGTTGCATCGTTTTCATTTCTTTTCTTCTCGTCGTTATTTTTGCGTAAGTAGTTTTTGATGAATGTTTTGATGAATGTTTTGATTAAATGGGTTTTGACGAATGGGTTTTTGACGAATGGGTTTTAATTCAATTTGGGAAATAGATATGCCGTAGCGGATTATGAAGCGAGAATTATGAATAAGCGGGTCTAGAAGCGTCCAACCATCAAGTGTTTGGTATCAAAAAACGAGTGATCCGTTAACGGCTAGGAATGATTCGTTAACGGCTACGAGCGATCCGTTAACGGCTAGGAATGATTCGTTAACGGCTACGAGCGATTCGTTAACGGCTACGATCGATTCGTTAGCGGCTATGATCGATTCGTTAACGGCTACGAGCTATCCGTTAACGGCTACGAGCGATTCGTTAACGGCTACGAGCGATCCGTTAACGGCTACGGAATGATTCGTTAACGGCTACGATCGATTCGTTAACGGCTACGAGCTATCCGTTAACGGCTACGAGCTATCCGTTAACGGCTACGAGCGATCCGTTAACGGCTACGAGCGATCCCTTAACGGCTACGAACGATCCCTTAACGGCTACGAACGATCCGTTAACGGCTACGAACGATTACGTTTTGGCTACGTTAACAACTAGCCGTTAAAGAATCATTCGTACTTTCGAAATCGAATCAAAAATTTCATTCGTTAACGGCTGAATTTCGTAAACGGCTACGGCATATAGGTGTCGTAATCGATTATGAATTTCAGCCGATTACGAATGAGCGGGTCTAGAAGCGTCCAACCATCAAGTATTTGGTACCATTCAACGCAGAATCATTAATAATTATGTTAAATTTTTGAAATTAGAAAGATTGGAGAAAAAGAGAAGCTTTTATGGAGCTTCAAAGTTTTCTCTCGAACAAACAGCTCTAAATCCTTTTCCTTTTATCCAATCTTTCTAATTTCAAAAATTTAACATAATTATTAATGATTCTGCGTTGAATGGTACCAAATACTTGATGGTTGGACGCTCCTAGACCCGCTCATTCATAATCGGCTACGGGGGTGCCGCCGATTTTGAATGAAACGCGTTGTAGCGCCGGTGATTTTTAACCTAAACTCACAAATTTGGTACAAATCGACGCAGAATTGAATTCGCTACAGGTTTGATATAATATTCTCCTCATACAATTGTCCTCATACATTAAAGGGTTGCTCTATTAGAAAGATTTACCAAAAAATTTACCAAATTTCATTCATAATCGGCTACGACAGATACAATAACTGGTAAAGCAGGTATAATAACTGGTAAAGCAGATACAATAACTTCTAAAGCTTTTAGAGCCGACGAAAGCTCTCAGCAAGTATGTTTGAGCTCATGTGGAGAAGCGTGCAATCAGCCGAGTTGTCTCAAGAGTTCTCAATGCTCTCAAAAATGTCTTCCATCTTGTTTACTTGATTGTGCAAAGGAATCGGTACTTTTTATGTTGAGAATTTGTTGAGAATTTGTTGAGAATTCATTTTATGTCGAGAATCGAGAGTTTTTCGTTCACTAACTATTCTCTCTCTGAGATCACAGGCCGGCAAGCCGTCGAAGCCGGCAAGCGGCAAGTTGATGCCCATTTTACAGTTCTTCTTCTTCACAGAAGGCTCAACACTCATATCCCCTACTGGATCTCATCGTCAGCTACATTTTCCGACCCCACATCGATAGGTTCTGATAAGCGGTTCTCAAGCTTTCAAGCAATTTAGGCAACGCTCACGGTGCACTACTTTTAGAGAGAATTCGGTAATCGAATTCTGTTAGAAGAATTGGTGATCAGATAAAAGTCAAAGCACTTGGGAATGATGTATTGTCGGAAAGCCGATGCCGAGCCTCGTTCCAACACTTTCGGAATGGTGATGAAAGTCTCGAGGATGATGAACACTCTCGTCAATCTCAAGCTGTAGACAAGGATCTTTTGAGGGCTGCAATCGAATCGGATCCATGTTCAAACGACGCGTGAACTTGCTTCATCACCATTCGGAATCAGGCTCAGCATCGGCTTTCGGACAATACATCGTTCCCAAATGCTTTGATCAAATCTCGATGGGATTCCGCGACTGTTTTGCTCAGTTTGAAGTCGTAAAGTAGGCAGAACTTGATGTTCGAAGTCGGTCATCTAAAGCAAGAAAAAAAGATCCTAGAAATAAGAAATTATTCGTTTTAAAAGCTGTTTAACAAAAAGCTGTTTAAAAGGAAGCTGTTTAAAAGGAAGCTGCTTAAAAGAAGCTGCTTAACAAGAAGCTGCTTAAAAAGAAGCTGCTTAAAAAGAAGCTGTTTAAAAAGATTAAAAAGCTTCCAAATATACAGAGCACGTGCTTTTAAATACAGAAATGTTTTAAAAAGCTTCTCTCACAACAAAAACTTTTGCAACTGTTTATATCCGAAAACCCCAATAGAAATGTCAAGATAACCGGAAAAAGCTTTGTGCAATTCCTTACGCTGAATTCTGAACGCTATGTTCTATTCTTTTCACTGAAATCCATAAAAGAAATGATTTCAAATGTTTCAAAAACGATCACTTTAACCCTTTAACTCTTTAACCCTTTAACTCTTTAACTCTTTAACTCTTTAACTCTTTAACTCTTTATAACTTTGGCTTCTTTCCAATTTCACATAAAAACTCTCGATTTTCACAAAACAGTGACAATTTCTTATTGCAAAAACAACAAGAAAACAGATTGGCGATGAAGATGGCCAGCAAATTTGTTTGAATGCATGCGGTGAAGCATGTAAACAAGAAAGTTGTGTCAATGATTCACAATGTGCAACGACATGTCTCCCATCGTGTCTCAACTCTTGTCCACAGGTTTTTCAATTCGATTTTAGTGTTTTCAAGATCAATTTTAGCAATGATTGACGTTTGAAAGGGATTTCAAAGCGATGAAAGCGATTTCAAAGCAATGAAAGCGATTTCAAAGCGATGAAAGCGATGATTATTCACTTCAAAAGCTTTTCAAATATTCTGTTTTTATAAAATTTCAGTATTACGTTTTTTTTGTAATAAAATTCATCAAAATAGATGAAAAAAGCTTAAAAATTAAAGTTTTCAATGAAAAGATAAACAAAATGAATAAAGTTTTTGATTGAAATTGAAATTTGAAATAGCAAAGTAGAGATTTTATACAAAATTTGGCATCATAGATCGAATGATTGCTAACAAATGGTTGACATTCGTTTCTATGTTCTATTCTTTTCACTGAAATCCATAACAGAAATGATTTCAAATGTTTCGATCACTTTAAAACGATCACTTTAACTCTTTAAAGAGTTAAAGAGTTAAAGAGTTAAAGATGGTTGACATTTGTTAGCAAATACGAATCATACAAAAACTATCACAATGTTAGACATTTTCTGCTTTTTTTTACACAGAAAGTCAACAGAACGGATCGGTGGATGAATTTGAAGAACTGTAGTATTAGAATTCTTCCTCAAGCCTCAAGCCTTGCCTCAAGAATCCTTCCTGTAGCTCTTGATGCCTCAAGAATCCTTCCTGTAGCTCCCCGTGCCTCAAGAATCCTTCCTGTAGCTCTTGATGCCTCAAGAATCCTTCCTGTAGCTCTTGATGCCTCAAGAATCCTTCCTGTAGCTCTTGATGCCTCAAGAATCCTTCCTGTGGCTCTTGATGCCTCAAGAATCCTTCCTGTAGCTCTTGATGCCTCAAGAATCCTTCCTGTAGCTCCTCGTGCCTCAAGAATCCTTCCTGTAGCTCTTGATGCCTCAAGAATCCTTCCTGTAGCTCTTGATGCCTCAAGAATCCTTCCTGTAGCTCTTGATGCCTCAAGAATCCTTCCTGTAGCTCTTGATGCCTCAAGAATCCTTCCTGTAGCTCTTGATGCCTCAAGAATCCTTCCTGTAGCTCTTGATGCCTCAAGAATCCTTCTCATAGCTTTGTGGAGTTGAATAATTCAAAAAAATGACACTTCTGTCGACTTTAAGACGCTTATGAATCTCGCCAAGACACTAAGACTCCTCGCTTATGCATAAACATTCAAGGAAATTGATGTCAAATTCTTTTAAGAACATTTTCAAACACAAAAACTTTTACTTTCAAATAATAACAATGATTTGCTTTTGCTTTCTGCATTGCTTTTGCTTTTGGATTCCTTTGGATTGCTTTTTCTTTTGCATTGCTTTCTGCATTGTACACCAAATTAATAGGACAATAAAGAGCGGAAAACAGATGATTAAATGATTTATAAAAGTTTTCTTAAAAATGTGTTGGAAAAATCGTTGTTGGAAAACTCGTTGAATCAGTTGAGAGGAGTGGTTGACTTGTGCAAAAGAAAAATCTCCATCCTAGACAATCTCGTAATTTCCACAACTGATCGCTAGCATCCAGCGTCACACAATCACCAACAGCAGCTAGAAAATAGAAAAAATGTAGAATAAATGTAGAACAAATGTTAGAAACTCGAAACGTTATTCAAGCTAATTTTTGGATGTTCAAGGATGCTAGAAAAGAAGAATTATCAAATCTAGATGAAAGCATTTATTGAATATGCTTTAACTTACTTGATCGTTGGAAATGTTGATAATCAAAGGGAGTCTCATCAATCCATCTCCATGTTTCATTCGATTCATGCTCAGCACCCAACCAGAACTCGGACGTGTGTCCGCTTACTGAAACGTTTATTGAAACGTTTACTTCACTAGCTTCTCTAGCTTCTCTAGCTTCACTAGCTTCTCTAGCTTCACTAGCTTCCTAGCTTCACTAGCTTCCCTAGCTTCACTAGCTTCACTAGCTTCTCTAGCTTCTCTAGCTTCTCTAGCTTCTCTAGCTTCTCTAGCTTCTCTAGCTTCCCTAGCTTCACTAGCTTCCCTAGCTTCACTAGCTTCTCTAGCTTCTCTAGCTTCTCTAGCTTCACTAGCTTCACTAGCTTCACGTTTCAATAAACGTTTACTGAAAAACTCGAAAGCTTAGCTTCACTTTTCTGTAAATCGGCCCAAATTCCATTTGTGAAAGCGTTATGAATAGATGGAAGATTTCCACCAGATTTCTGACAAAACAAGCTCGCTGTTTTCCAATCGATTTGATAGCGATTGCCTAAAGAATTCTTGATTCCTGAAAATTATATCTTTTAAGCAATGCAAGGTATTGTTGAATCCATTTGTGCTCAATCAGAAGCATTGCTTATGATTATTATAAGGCTTATTGCTATTGGGTTGGTGAATTGAAAACTGCCGGACTTTGAACTTTGAACTAAAATTGATTCAACATAAAACCATCAATTCATTCTAATTAATTTCCATTTATTATTGAAAACTTCTGTCCATTTTAAAGCCAATTTGCGGATTCCTCTTTCGTGGTTGGATTTTGGTTTTGACTCTTTCAAACTTTGAATCGAAAAACTTTCAAAGCCAATTTTTGACTGCTTCTTCCGAATCGAAGTGTTCTCCAGCAAGCTCATTACTCATGATCCGGAATAAATAGTAATAAAAAGGGGCAAGACTGTATGGGGAATGCGCCAAAAGTTCCCAAATAAGGCTATTTATTTTAGAGAGAGTCAGTTTTGAAACATGAGGGCGCGGATGGGAACGACCTTTGTACTTGTCGTGGATGGGAACGATCTTTGACTTGGAGGGCCTATTCTTCTTCAGGGATTCATTCACCTTTCCCAACTCTTCACTGTATTTGGTTGCATTAACGGTCGTCTTGCTATCCAGCAACTCCCAATACAAGTGTGAGACTCAAAAATCGAGGACTGGAGATGTCCGATGTCCCAGTTCTCACACTTTCTTCAAAAGAAACCCATTTTGGTGTCAATGGAAAAGTTGTAGAGAATCAAAAATGAGGCTTATATCCAAATTTCCAAAAAGATACACTTAGTAGTTTCGCTTAAAATGCAAGTTTTGGTGAAAATTCGTAAATTTGGCATTTCTTTGAAACCAGTTTTTGAATCGTTCTGAAAATTTGGATATAAGCTTGATTTTCGATTCTCTACAACTTTTCCATTGAGATCAGAATGGGTTTCTTTTGAAGAAAGTGTGAGAACTGGGACATATGAGAATAGCCGGCAGCTTTCAATTCAACAACAGCAATACAATTTGATACTAGTAACTGGATTGTTGGGAGCTACTGTAAAAGCTGATACTAGTAACTAGATTGTTGGGAGCTACTGTAGAAGCTGATAGTAGTGACTAGATTGTTGGGAACTACTGTAAAAGCTGATAGTAGTGACTAGATTGTTGGGAGCTACTGTAAAAGCTGATACTAGTAACTAGATTGTTGGGAGCTACTGTAGAAGCTGATACTAGTAACTAGATTGTTGAAAACTGCTTTCAAAGCTGATACAAGTAACTGGATTCTTCAAAACTACTTTAAAATTCGATACTAATAACTCGATTTTCTATCTTGATTTTACTTTGAGAAATTAAAAGAAAAGTACTTTTTTAAACATTGAAAATTTTAAATGAACTAAACTTTAAAAATAGTCTATTATTATTAAATAGTTAATGATTAAACAAATTGAACACAAACCATTAAAGATTGGATATTGTAGACAAAGATCGAGCTCTTCTTTATAGAAATATCCATCAAGACAATCCGGATCACAAAGAAGTAAATGAAAGAAAAGTAAAAGAAAAGAAATTTGAATAAAAAGCTTTTTCATTGATTTTCTTGATTTTCTTTTTCGTTTCTTGAAAAGTCTTATCTTTTCTTTTCAGTGTCTTTTTAGATCAATAGTTTCAGAGAAAAGAGAAAAGGAATGCAGTTGATTAACTGATTCAGTTGATTCAGCTCATCTAGCTCATTCAGCTCATTCAGCTCATTCAGTTGATCCAGCCCATTCAGTTGATCCAGCCCATTCAGTTGATCCAGCCCATTCAGTTGATCCAGCTCATTCAGTTGATCCAGCTCATTCAGTTGATCCAGCTCATCTAGCTGATTCAGCTCATCTAGCTGATTCAGCTCATTCAGTTTTCTTGAACTCCTTCACTGCTATTTAAACTTTCAACCAATAAGATGTTTACTTTAGTGAATAGAAGAGAAGATCTTGTCTTGTGATCTTGTCTAAATCCAATCCAATTCTGTATCCGATTCAATTTTGGAGCCGATTCAATTTTGGAGCCGATTCAATTCTGTATCCAATCCAATTCAATTCTGTATTCAATCCAATTCTGTATCCAATTCTGTATCCAATTCTGTATCCAATTCAATTGTAATCCTCTCCTGTGCACTCCAGAATCATCATTTCCAATATTTATTTTATGAAAATAACCGATTTTAGCACTAATTTGCAGTGCCAAATCTCCAAACCGCTTCTTTCTCTTTCTCTTCTTTCTCTTTCTCTTCTTTCTTCTTTCTCTTCTTTCTTCTTTCTCTTCTATCTTCTTTCTCTTCTTTCTTCTTTCTCTTCTTTCTTCTTTCTCTTCTTTCTTCTTTCTCTTCTATCTTCTTTCTCTTCTATCTTCTTTCTCTTCTATCTTCTTTCTCTTCTTTCTTCTTTCTCTTCTTTCTTCTTTCTCTTCTTTCTTCTTTCTCTTCTATCTTCTTTCTCTTCTATCTTCTTTCTCTTCTTTCTTCTTTCTCTTCTTTCTCTTCTTTCTTTTTCTTTTCATTCCCCTCGTAGTTTATAGTTTGTTTGCAAATAAATGATAAGAAAAGAATGAGAAAACGAATTTCTTTTGCTGAATCTTTTGCTGAATTTGCGAAAATTCACTTTCTAACACGATTTCTTTGAGTTAAAACTGATGGATTCTGTTCGGAAACGACGAAAATCGAAAGGAAAAGCGAAAGAGTTCAATTTCGATGATTCCTTTGATGAAAAACAGAAAACACAAGAAGATAATGGTCTGTTTACCTCTTTCTAAGAATTTTTATGCTTTAAAAACAAAAAAAATTTCTTTTGACAAGCGACGGACTCGAACTCGCGACCCCCCTACCCCGCCCGCTCGCCTTGTAACCAAGCGCACTATCCACTGCGCTATATGGAAACTATCGAATTTCAATCTAATTTTTTAAAATTTATCTACAGTGTGTTCCAGCTAAGCCCAAATGACAAGAGAAAACTCGAAATTTCAAAAGTTTTCGCGAGATTTTCGAAAGAACTCATTTTTCTCGATTTTTCTCTACAAATTACGCAAAAAATCACACTTTTTGCAAGAAAATTTCGCTAATTTAGCTAATTTCAGGCTTTGGCCCGCTAGCAGTCTCACTTTTCCTCGTCTCTCTGGCTCTGTTAGCCTATTTGACTCAGTATCTGCACTATTGCTTACCCGAGCCTTTGCCACCGAATGACGGTAGGAAACAAGGGAAATTTTGGGTTTTTTTAAGCAAACTGGAAGTCACAGAAAAGAACCCAATCCAAGGCTTACGGTAAAAAGAGCAATTTTTTAAAAAAAGTCGAAATTTTGAAAATTTCTCGAAAATTGAAAATTTTTGATTTCCAAATTTCTCTGTGCTTTCCAGCTTGAGCTTTTCTTTTTTTAAAGTCGAGAATTTTCTAGAAAACTCTCGTTTTTCGGAGCACAGAGCGTTTCCTCTCCTCCAGGAGTTGTCCGATTTCGGCCCAAAGCCCGCCGGCTCTTTCGCTTGCGAGGAATTAACGCGAAATCGGATTCTAAAAGAGCTACAGTAATTGGAAATCGTCTGCGATAAATGAATTGGAATCTATTTAGGTTAATCCAAAATTCAACGTCATCAAATGAGCTTTTGTATGAGATCTCGACTCAGGTACTTTTTCATCAATTCTTCTAATCTTTTTCGAGTTTTTACAATTTTTTTTGGCAATTCTGGAGCTCACAGAACCTAGAAAATTAATCAAAATTCAAAATTCAACATTTCTTCAATTTTTTAGAACCCTTCCGGATGCTTTGCTCTTCCAGCTCACGACACTGACGGCTTCTCGATTTGCTACAGAAATGTGAGTCCAGTTCTTTCTCATTTCTATTTTGCGCCTTTTACAGCCGTTAGATTACAGTAAGGCTTAGGCTTAGGCTTAGGCTTACTGTAGTTGTTTGTTTTATTCGAAAAGTTTCTAATTTGCCTAAGCCTAAGCCTAAGCCTAAGCCTAAGCCTAAGCCTAAGCCTGAGCCTAAGCCTAAGCCTAAGCCTAAGCCTAAGCCTAAGCCTAAGCCTCAGCCTAAGCCTAAGCCTAAGCCTAAGCCTAAGCCTAAGCCTAAGCCTAAGCCTAAGCCTAAGCCTAAGCCTAAGCCTAAGCCTAAGCCCAAGCCTAAGCCTAAGCCTAACCCTAAGCCTAAGCCTGAGCCTAAGCCTAAACCTAACCCTAAGCCTAAGCCTGAGCCTGAGCCTAAACCTAAGCCTAAGCCTAACCCTAAGCCTAAGCCTGAGCCTAAGCCTAAACCTAACCCTAAGCCTAAGCCTGAGCCTGAGCCTAAACCTAAGCCTAAGCCCTAACCCTAAGCCTAAGCCTGAGCCTAAGCCTAAACCTAACCCTAAGCCTAAGCCTGAGCCTGAGCCTAAACCTAAGCCTAAGCCTAACCCTAAGCCTAAGCCTGAGCCTAAGCCTAAACCTAACCCTAAGCCTAAGCCTGAGCCTGAGCCTAAACCTAAGCCTAAGCCTAACCCTAAACCTAAGCCTTTTATCAACGTTTCCTAAAAAGTGCCCCTTCCTAGTTTACGGTAGAAAAACTACCGTCACCCAGGAATCGAGCCGTAAAATTTTGTCGATAAATCGTAATCTAATTGCGACAAATTTTAGTGTGACTTCCAGATAAGGCAATGAAAAAATATCAAGCGAAATCGGTCCCTAGGGAAAGCGCAAATCGCTCAGGTCTCAAACGTGATCGCTCGAATCGGCAAAAGGGGCACCCGGAAATCGCTCGAGGACCAACCAAAAATCTCCGTGCTTCTCAATTGTCACTACGATTCGTGGCCAACATCCAGTGGTTTGTTTAGAATAGAAATCAAATCAAGAATTCTGGACTGGACACCGAACATGGGTCACTCGGGTCACTACTCGAAAAATAGCGCACTGCCGATTAAGCTATACTTCCATTTGGCTAATTTTGACTCAATACTATTGCCAAAAGCCATTGTGCGTTCCAGATTGAACCCTAATTGCGAAAGATTAGCTAAAACACAATTCCAACCCGATAAACCGCTCCCAGCATAACCCCCCACAAAACTCAACCATCCCTATTTTCTCATTTCTCCCAAATTCAAATTCTTAATCGATTCCGTGCCTTCCAGTATCCAATCTCCCGCTTTTGAAAGCTTCAAATCCTACAGCGATTTCCAGCCGGCGCCGATGATCTCTCGTCGTGCGCGGTGATGCTGGAGTTGTTGCGAATTTTCGTCGACCATCCCGAGTACCTGCACCACGACGTGATTTTTCTCTTCAACGGTGCCGAGGAGAGCTCACTTCTGGTAGGGTTTTGCAGGAGTTTTTTTGGGGAGTAAATCCGACTGATTTTGCTCAATCCAGGCGGCTCACGGTTTCATCACCGAACACCGGTGGCGTCACTCGATTCGCGCGTTCATCAATTTGGAGGCAAGCGGCTCGGGTGGCCGAGAACTTCTCTTCCAAGCCGGTTTGTCTATTGTCAACACGTTGTCTATGCAACAATTCCTCAACTCCCAGCCGGCTAATCATCAAAATGAGGAAAGCTTAGTTGTCAAAGTTTTTAAAAAAATCATTTAAATATTAGAGTTTTTGGCCGCAATTATGGAAATTAATCAAAAAAATCAAAAAAAAATTGCATTTTTTAAATGTTTACATGATAAAATACTAAAAATCGATGAGTTTTAATTAAACGAGTAAGCTAAAAAGCTTGATTTCACTGAAAAACCGATGAAAATCCATCAAAGCCTTTTGATAGGAGCTATAAATGCTAATTTGTTGCTTTTAAATGCTAATTTGTTGCTTTTAAATGCTAATTTGTTGCTTTTAAATGCTAATTTCCCTTCTTTATGCCGTTTTGCCGTGATTTTACGACAAATATGCAAATTTATTGCTTTTAAATGCTAATTTGTTGCTTTTAAATGCAAATTCATCTTTTTACTCCATTTTGTCGCGATTTTAAGACAAATATGCTAATTTATTGCTTTTAAATGCAAATTTATCTTTTTACTCCATTTTATCGTGATTTTAAGACAAATATGCTAATTTCCGTAAGAATTTTCGCTTCTAAAATGCAAATTATGTCCTTTCAGACAGATATGCAATTTTTACGCAAATTTTGCCTCATTTTCAGGCCCATCAAACGAATGGCTCCTCAACTCGTACCTTGAGGCGGCCGTTCATCCGCATTGCTCCGTACTCGGCCAAGAGATCTTCCAGGTGACTTCCAGAAGAGCCGAATTTGCGAAAAAATCAACATTTTGATGAAAGGATTACGGTAAAATGAGCCAGTCCTTAACTACAGTACCCCCGCGGAAATTCCAAAATGCAAAAGAGCTTTAAATTTGCAGAGTTTCTCAAGCAGTGACTTCCATAATGGCTAAAATATTGGAAAAATCTCGGCCAGACTACGGTTATCGAGGACAAATTTTAGAGTGGAGCCTACCCGGGTGACACGGACTATCGAATTTTCCGGGATTACGGTCGGATTCCAGGTAAATACTGTCCCGTGCGCTCCAGATTGTTTAAAGCTCAAAAAACTATCCAGGACTCGATCTGGCTTTCGTGCAAAATGGCTATTGGTGGCACACCGAGTTTGACGAGGCAACGAAACGATGATTTCATTTTTTCATTTTTTAAAATCCAAATTTAGGCCTCACGAATCACCCCGGGTGCTCTACAAAGAGCCGGTAAGCATCTCTAGCTCAAAAACTAGCGATATATCTTTTCAAGTAACCCCATAGCTACAGTACCCCTACAGTATCCCTACAGTAATCCAGGACCGTATAGAATACAGTAGTTGAACCGAAACTTATCACATCTCATCTACTGACCTCCATAATTGATAGCTTTAAAGTTTGAAAACGAGTTTACAACAAAACAATGACTGAATCGAGTCAGAGTCGGCCCGACTCAACCCCGAACTTTTCAAAGTGACCCCTTTCCATTTCCACCTTCACAGTTTTCCTTTGTGACATCCAGATCGGCTATTTTCAATCTCAAAAACTCGAATTCTGTATTTGCAGGCGAGAACGTGCTCTCAACTCTAAAGCATCTCCTCGCTTCTCCCTACCTCACTTCGCCAGCCGAGTTTGCCGACGAAAAAGCCGGTACGTTGAATTTATGAGGGGGAAAGTTGAATTTTCAAAGAAATCTTTTAGTTTTCTTCGATTTTCTTGGTCTTTTCGTGATCGTTTACCCGTTGAATTTGGCGAATTCGTTGAATTTATTTTTGATTTTTATCATTTTTGCGAGAGTTTCGATGAAATTCGCGAATAAGAAAAGTTTCAAAGTTTCTAGATTTTAACTTTAAAACTCCAAATTTCAGCAAAAGATCTCGACAATTTATTGAATGGATTTGTCTGGAATTCCCTTTTCTTAATCTTCATTTTTATCGTTTCTTTCATCATTTGCTTTCTGGTTGAGGCGATTTTCGGGCAAATGTTATGGTTGAGTTTTTTCTTTTGTCCAGCTCTTCTCCAGCTCCAGCTTTGCCCTTCCCCAGCTTTGCCCTTCTCCAGCTTTGCCCTTCTCCAGCTTTGCCCTTCTCCAACTCTTCTCCAACTCTTCTCCACCTCTTCTCCACCTCTTCTCCAACTCTTCTCCAACTCTTCTCCAACTCTTCTCCAACTCCTTTTAAATCCAAATTTGAGGTATTCAAATCATTTCCTGGTGATCCCGTTCTACGGCCTACCGCTAGCGATCGCCTCTTTACTTTTCGCCGCATACCTCACGACGAGATACAACAAAACTCGGGAAGTAAGCAAAAATGAACAAATTTTAAGCTAAACAACTACCGCTCCAGACTACACATATCAAACGTCAAAATGAGGCTAAATGCAAATTCCGAGGTTCTAAGGCCGCAAACTCTAACGGGGCCGGACACTAGTTATTGGAAAGCTAGCTGGCGCTCAAATTTTAAGCTAAGCAACTACAGTGCACTCCAGATTAAACATATCGAACGTCAAAATGAGGCTAAATGCAAATTCCGAGGTTCTAAGGCCGTAAACTCAATGACCGAATTTTCAGCAATTCGCCGAAAGCTTCGAGACGATTTCGGATCTTGGGTTGGCCGTTGTGCTGCTTTTTTTGACATACAAAAATATCGCCTCATCGTATCTGATCTTCTTTCAATTGTTGCCCGTTTTAGGCTTCATCCCAGAGAATTTAATCAAAAATGGTGGGTTGGGGAGGATTTTTTCAAATTATTCTCACCGATTCTCTTCTGTGTACTTTGTGCTCTTGTAAAAGCACGCAATCTGGTGCACTAGCGCCACCATTAGTGCGCCAGAAAGTGCACTTTGTGCTTTTTTTTTAAACGCGACCTTTCTGGTACACTAGTATACAAACGCACACTTTCTGGCAGACTAATGGAGGCAGACTAAGGTGCACCAGATGATGTGCGTTTATAAGACGATAAAGTACGCCCAAAATTTCCAGGCCGTCCCCTTTCTCGCGTCATTTTCGCCATTCCCTCGATTTGTCTCTCCTTCTACACGTCAGCTCTCCTTTTATCGATTTTCATCCCGATCATGGGTCAGTTAAATACTTTTTTCGCAAATTATGGAGCTCACATGAGAGCTGGACGAACTTTTTAAAGAAATTCCCCTTGAAAAGAAAAAAGTGATTTTTCCGAAGCGATCCTCTAGCGACTTTTTCTTGAGCCACAGTGCTCTGTTTGTCGAAATTTATAAATATTTCTCCAATCTGGATGTCAGGACAACGAATTACGCCTAAAGACACCTTGCATCGTACCTCATATGGAGCCCCTTGTAGCCGGCTTGACTTCGCCGCTTTTTACAGTAATCCATTGCCCCGATTGCCGAAATTTTAAAATATTCCTTCAATCTGGATGTCAGGACACTCAATCAGCGGAAAAAATTTAGGGCGTACCTCGCGTAATCCGGAGCCCCTCGTACTCGCCTTCGTCGCTTTCGGTGTGCTGCCGGCAATGCGAATTTTGGTAAAACTAAATAAACTCAATAAAAATTTTCTCGCAAATTTCTCTCTTTTGCATTCCATAACTTGCAGTTCTCGATTTCCCTTCGCTCCCAGCCGTCAGCACTCTCGAGAATCGCTTCGATCTCCGCTGCCATTCTTGCAGCTGCACTCCTACTTATCGGCCTCTTTGCTAGCGGTCCCTACAACTTCAAAAACGATTACCCCACAACGAAACGGATCCAATTATATGTAAATTTTGGTCATGAATTAGTTCTGAATCATGAATCAACCGTGGTTCTGAGATCACAACGTTTTAGCGAAAACGTTTACTCAAATAATGAAAGTATTCAAATTTTTGGCCAAACTGGAACACAGGAGAGATTTCGAGAGAATTTTCAGCACGTCAATCGCGAATTATACGGAAGAGATGGGCAACTTATAGAAAACAAATCACTCCTCTATGCGATTTCGGAGGATGATCGCGGAGCCGAGGACATTCCGTTTGTCGATGCGGAGAAAGGGTTTACGGTAAGTCGAAGGGGTACTGTAAAAGTAGAGATATCACGTAAAGTACGGTAGCTCCAAAACACCATTTGGGGGGACAATAGACGCGGCTCTGGCTACAGTAGATTATCGAGTGCAGTAATTCACGCAATTTTTGAGCATCCTGGAGTGCACCAGGGCTACTGTAGCTTTTTGGGGCACATCATAACAACATTTGACGTTAAGGGGTACGGTAGCTTTTGGCTATCCTGTAGAATTCAGACAAATTCAATTGTAAGTTTACATAAGAAACGAGCTTTTTGTTCGTCCTGGAGGTCACTAGGGGTACTGTAGCTTTTTGAGCGCATCATGGCAACAATTAGCGGAAAGGAGTACGGTAGCTTTTGGCCACCTTATAGAATTCAGGCAAATTCAGTTGTAAGTTTACGTAAGAAATGCCCTTTTTGTTCATCCTGGAGGTCACTAGGGGTACTGTAGCTTTTTGGGGCACATCATAACAACATTTGACGTAAAGGGGTACGGTAGCTTTTGGCTACCCTGTAGAATTTAGACAAATTCAATTGCAAGTTTACATAAGAAATGGGCTTTTTTGTTCATCCTGGAGGTCACTAGGGCTACTGTAGCCTTTTGGGCGCATTTTAGCAACATTTGACGTTAAGGGGTACGGTAGCTTTTGCCACCATTTAGCTCCACATTCAATTTGCATTTTGTCTCTAATTTAAAACGTGGATCTTTTTAAAGTACTGTAGCATTCTAGCCAATCGAATGCGTCTATCCGGAGGCTCCCTATTGCGAGATCCCGTTCTACTATCCAACGAGAGGGCGAATCCGAGAAAAGTACGGTATTTTAAGCGCATTCTAGCCGATAAAGTAAGAAAAGTTATCCAAGAGCAAAACTTTTCTCGCCAAAATACACTGTGACATCCATAGTCAACAAATATTTAGTCGCTTTTTCGTTTGCGTCAAAAGTCGAGCCCGTACATAGGTTGGCTATGTAACTATCGTAACCCCGACAACTTGAAATTTCTCCCATTTTCAGGCACATTCGCTACAAATCGGTACCTGCGTTCCAGATCGCCGGAAACGAGGTCTCGAATTTGGAAATCTTGAAAAAGAGCGCCTCTGGAGCCCATCTGAGCTATCGGATAAGATTCACAGGTAAACAGGGGTTTCAGGAAGCATAAGCGTTACACGTTACATACAATTTTCCAGGCACCTCTCAAATCAGTGCCTACGTGACAGCTGTGGACGGGTGGAGCATTACGAATTGCTCGATGACGAGTGAGGTGAGTGAATTTTGCGACTACGATAGTGTTTTGTATGAATCATTGAGTACAGTAGCTTCCACCCATACTTTATTGCCGTGACTATGTTGAACAGGGGTTACGGTAATTGAAAGAGACAAGCTGGAGCTCAGGAGAGAGTTTGGGCAAATTAGATCTACGAAATCGAGACTTTTGACCAAGTTGGTTATTGGGCGATCGAGTTACAGTAACCCTTACCCCTTAACAGACGACGATAAGGGTTACGGTAATTGAAAGAGTCAAGCTGGAGCTCAGGAGAGAGTTTGGGCAAATTAGATCTACGAAATCGAGACTTTCGACTAAGCTGGTTATAGGGCGATCGAGTTACAGTAACCCTTACCCCTTAACAGACGACGATAAGGGTTACGGTAATTGAAAGAGTCAAGCTGGAGCTCAGGAGAGAGTTTGGGCAAATTAGATCTACGAAATCGAGACTTTTGACCAAACTGGCCGAGTTATAGTAACTCAGTAAGTTACAGTAAGCTAGCTATAAGGCATCCGTGCTACAGTAGCCTATTCTTTCAGTTATCCGACGCAAATACGAATATGTTCTTGTATTTCACGTGTAGCGGCGAGAAATGCGGTGATTGGATTGTCGATTTCGAGCTTACTGTAAGTTGAAAGTACGCGTCGAAACAAATTCCACAGAGAAAGCTATTCAGCTAATAAATCTAGAGCTCATCATTATCTAGAGCTCATCATTCAAGCGCAAGCCACCCCCAGCCGACGTTGACGCAAAAGCGCTGTTGATCGGAGTGACGTCACACTTTTTGCATGGGTGAGTAGAGTACGTCGCATTTCTTTGCACCCCACCTCAACTTGACGCAAAATCATTCTTTTATTTGTCCATTCTGGAGCTCACTAGAGATCTCTGGACCTTCATTTCGACTGAAAACCGAAATTTGAAAAAATTTCAAAAATTTAACTCATTCAATTTTTTAAAATTTTCAAATTTACTAAATCCGGCAATCACAACTGTAAATTATCTCTAGTGCGCTCCAGGATTTACGAAAAAATTTTTAAAAAACCAAAATTCTATCTGCTAACGCGATTAAAGCCTTGAACTCGTAGCTACAGTAATCTCCGACTGAAGACTCTAACTTTAGCCTACAGTATTTAAGACTAATATCCATAAAGTCCAAATTTGCATTTTAATCTGCCCAATTTCCAGGCCAAACATGGAAAGCCCGTTGCTGAAAGAGCTCAATAGGGAGCTGGTGGAGCAGCGCGAAACGTCGAAGGAGTGGGCGATGACGGCGAGCGCCTGGAATGTCCATTTGATCTATCGATACGTTTAAAGACAATTCTGGCACGCACACAAAATCTTGTGATTAGTGTTTAGTGGCTTTTGATGGTTTGATAAAATAGCTAAAATAAAGGATATCTAAAATGTTTTCTTTTGGTTTAATCAGTTAAAGTATCATTGTATTAGGGTTTTTCGGATATAAACAAGCGTTGCAAAAGCTTTTGTTGTGAGAGAAGCTTTTTAAAAACATTTCTGTATTTAAAAGTAGGTGATCTTGCGTATATTTGGGAGCTTTTTAATCTTTTTAAACAGCTTCTTTCTAAACAGCTTCTTTCTAAAGAGCTTCTTTCTAAACAGCTTCTTTCTAAACAGCTTCTTTCTAAACAGCTTCTTGTTAAGCAGCTTCTTTTAAAGCAGCTTCTTGTTAAGCAGCTTCTTTTTAAGCAGCTTCTTTTTAAACAGCTTCTTGTTAAACAGCTTGTTGTTAAGCAGCTTCTTTTAAAGCAGCTTCTTTTTAAGCAGCTTCTTGTTAAGCAGCTTCTTTTTAAACAGCTTCTTGTTAAACAGCTTGTTGTTAAGCAGCTTCTTTGAAAGCAGCTTCTTTTAAAGCAGCTTCTTTTTAAGCAGCTTCTTGTTAAGCAGCTTTCTTTTAAACAGCTTCCTTTTAAACAGCTTCCTTTTAAGCAGCTTTTTGTTAAACAGCTTTTAAAACGAATAATTTCTTATTTCTAGGATCTTTTTTTCTTGCTTTAGATGACCGACTTCGAACATCAAGTTCTGCCTACTTTACGACTTCAAACTGAGCAAAACACCCGCGAAATCCCATCGAGATTTGGTCAAAGCATTTGGGAATGATGTATTGTCGGAAAGTCGATGCCGAGCCTGGTTCCAATGCTTTCGGAATGGTGATGAAAGTCTCGAGGATGATGGACACTCTCGTCAATCTCAAGCTGTAGACAAGGACTTTTTGAGGACTGCAATCGAATCGGATCGAAACGACGCGTGAACTTGCTCAACAGTTTCTATTGCTCGATATGGACAGTGCGCCGCGTTTTTCTCAATCAAAAGTCGGCAAAAACCTTGATCGAGACCTCAAGAGTGGCCGACGACCAATCACAACCACAAAAGAAGATCAAGTCGTTGACCAGAATGGTGAAAAACGATCCGAGCAAAATAGCAATTTCTCAACTTTTCTGGCCAATCTTGGAGATCCACGTTGCTGCTAAAGTCAAGATTCTGACAGATGCGTTCATCAAAGCCATCAAACAAAGAATAAACTTGAAATCTAAGCTGTCGATCGAACAGCCAATAAAGTATCTAAAAAAGATTGAGTCAACCCATCCCTTCAACAACGAATTTCGAGTTCAAACAACAAAATTTTCAATTCAACTTATTACTCATGTATAAAACCCACTAGAATGGCGATATAAAATGATCAGATTAGAGAAGCCTTTTTTTCAGCGATGTCTAACTCGAAACCAAGAAGGCAAAGCGGAAAGAAAGAATGATTCGGTGAAGAAACGATTGGTGTTCAGGCATTTTCCCCAGAAAATCTTATTCTTGGGTTTACAAATTAATTGTTGACAGGAGTAACAAACGTTAAGAATCATACTTTATTGATGGTGCATGAAAAAAGTGAACCGAATATGTAAATACATCGAACGAGCCGCTTTTGGCCTAGAAAACACAAACGCACAGAAAGGAATTGAACTAGTCTATTAGTTTTGCAATTTTGTAACAAAAGTTTAAAGCAAGCCAGCAAAATATAGTCATAAAATATTAATCAATAAAAGATCTTGTTGGGCATTTCATTGAGACTCAACTCAAGGAATGTGAAAGAGTCGGTTTTGACTAAAGTCAAAGCAAGATGATGATGAATTTCAGTTTTATCACAATGCTTTAATAAAGAATGATTGGTTGGGTTGATCTAAATTTCATCGGGCTTGATGTAAAAGGCGAGAAATTCATTAACGGTCAAGATGTAGATGCAATCTCGCATCGGATTGATATTGCGTCGGAAACACCGAGTTCTCATCGAGCAGGCGTGATAGCTACTTCCCTCCGTACGTTCGTTTGCGAGTGCAATCAATAGTTCACGATTTCTCCAGCTCATTCGTTTCATTCCTGGATATCCCTTGAGAAAAGCCATGATTGTAGCCTTCTTATCGTATAAAGAATCTTCGCAAATGCTCATAAATGCTGCAGGGTTTTTGCTAGGAATTCCGTCTCTGACAATACTTTGAATGGCTGGAATGATGAAATTTGGGTTGTAACAACTGAGATTAACATATTTGATGTAGGTCTTTATCAAAGCATTGTAGTAAAACTGAAATTCATCATCATCGTTAAAGCCAAAACAGCCGGTTTCACATTCCTTGAGTTGAGTCTCAATGAAATGCCCAACAAGAGCTTTTTTTGATGGAGCTTTTTGAAGGAAGCTTGGTAGACTCGCGTTTCTCTTGATCTTGATTGACAAATGAGAAAGCAACTCCAAGTGCTGAGGCGGACACGAATGCAAATAGAGTGAATCTACTGCCTCAAGTTGTTTCAGAAAAGCGGCGCGATCCTTGTCGATTGGGCTGTCGTAATCCTTGCCCATCAAGAATTCATTGCACGACCGAATGTTTTTGATGAAAGGAAAATGACGAATGACATCCCGACTGACCTCAAGTGATTTCCAATTCAGCTTCTTGATGTTGATTGCTTCAATTTCGTGTGGATCAAACCCAAATTCAATCTTATGGACGTGTGTTCCAAAAACGATCGATGGTCGACTCGAAAGCATCCCTTGGAATCCTTGATTGACTTTCACCAATTCAACGACATCGTTTGCCTCCAATTGCTCAAAAACCTCCAACTTCAGATCGAAGCAAAGACGTTCGATTGGAAATGTTGTCAGATTTCGCATCTCGATTGGCTTCATTCTATCTGTAAATAAAAAGAATTAGTCTTTGTAAGGAGCAGATCAATGCAATCGATCACTTTCAGCATTTCCAATAGTAAAAGCTTGTTTTCTAAAGCGTGAATGATGAATTTCCAATCAAAGATTTATTTAACGTACTAGACCCCATTTCAAAGCGCCTCACCTGTTTAAAATACTAGTTTTTTGAATTCATTTGTCTAGAGCTCAGTGTTTTTGTGCTATTTTTAAGATTTTTATAGCATACCGTGCCAAATTTCACCCAATAATGTAATAAATAGACCTTGCTTTTTGTTGAAATACCACTAGAGCACATGCTTTTATGCGTATTTCTTTCGCTTTGTACTAGACCCGTGTAATGGATCACTTATTTTAAGCATGAGTATTTAAGTCGTGAACTATTGATTGCACTCGCAAACGAACGTACGGAGGGAAGTAGCTATCACGCCTGCTCGATGACAACTCGGTGTTTCCGACGCAATATCAATCCGACGCGAGATTGCATCTACATCTTGACCGTTAATGAATTTCTCGCCTTTTACATCAAGCCCGATGAAATGATCGATCATTAATGTTTAGTTCAATTCCGTTCTGTGCGTTTGTGTTTTCTAGGCTAAAAGCGGCTCGTTCGATGTATTTACATATTCGGTTCACATTTTTCATGCACCATGAATAAAGTATGATTCTTAACGTTTGTTACTCCTGTCAACAATTAATTTGTAAACCCAAGAATAAGGTTTTCTGGGGAAAATGCCTGAACACCAATCGTTTCTTCACCGAATCATTCTTTCTTTCCGCTTTGCCTTCTTGGTTTCGAGTTAGACATCGCTGAAAAAATGGCTTCTCTAATCTGATCATTTTATATCGCCATTCTAGTGGGTTTTATACATCAGTAATAAGTTGAATTGAAAATTTTGTTGTTTGAACTCGAAATTCGTTGTTGAAGGGATGGGTTGACTCAATCTTTTTTAGATACTTTATTGGTTGTTCGATCGGCAGCTTAGATTTCAAGTTTATTCTTTGTTTGATGGCTTTGATGAACGCATCTATCAGATGCGACTTTAGCATCTGATCTTGACTTTAGCATCTGATCTTGACTTTAGCAGCAACGTGGATCTCCAAGATTGGCCAGAAAAGTTGAGAAACTTTTGGGCGGTTCAGTTCACCGAAAAACCGGAATTGAATTCTTACAAAGGTTATTATAGGGAAATTCGCAATGAATTGCGGCTCGTCGAGATCAATTTCCTAAAAAGGCACTAATTGGGAAATTATTGTTGAATTGGCCACTTTTTATAAGGAAACACATCTGCTCCGGGCTCCCGACTGGAATTTGGGGGGAATTGATGGGGAATCACTCTAACTTATTTATTCTTTTTATAATAAAATTAGCAATATTAAAATTTCGAAAACAGCTTGCCTCAAAAAAAAATTTTTTTTATGGTCATCCGGTCGCGACTAATACCCCCGCCCCCCAAAGGAAGTTTAAAGAAGAAAGGAAGAGATAGACTACTTTGCGCAACTCGCCATAACTTTCTTCTAAGTAAGCCAATCTTTATGATTTCTAGTGTCATTTTGTTACACTTATTGAGATATAAAAAATGAAACCAAAATCATAAAGATTGGCTTACTTAGAAGAAAGTTATGGCGAGTTGCGTAAACGATTCAGTTGCGCAAATAAAATGGCGCAATTAGCCTACCCCGAAAGGAAAGCGATTACGGATGAGAAAAGTGCTACTATATTTGGAGATTGCGTTGGATCTGGTGCGCCTACACGCTCGCCTACACGCTCGCCTACACGCTCGCCTACACGCTCGCCTACACGCTCGCCTACACGCTCGCCTACACGCTCGCCTACACGCTCGCCTACACGCTCGCCTACACGCTCGCCTACACGCTCGCCTACACGCTCGCCTACACGCTCGCCTACACGCTCGCCTACACGCTCGCCTACACGCTCGCCTACACGCTCAAGCCTTTTGGTGGGAAAAATAACGCCCATTCAAAAGTATTTTAACCCTTCTACCGTATCTTTTACATGCTTTTAGTTGCTACACTTTCCCCTGCTACAGCACATTGCCTTTCCCCCGCGAAAATCTTATCCCTTGCTTTGTTTACCGTACCCAAAAAGACGGAGCGCGGGCTGTGAGATAGACTCGATATTTTCCCTTGTCTCTTTTGTGTCGAATCTCCTTTTTTTTTCCTTTCTCCACGAAATATCTGTGAATGGCGGGGTGGTTTTTTTTTCGAGGACATGAAAATTCCCTAAATTTTGTGTGATAATTTGATTTTGCCTTTAGAAACATAGAAATCTACCTTTTTTTCCAAGATTTACCCAACTTTTACCCAAATTTCGGTGATTTTTGATACTCTTCCGACAATTTTTATAGTTATTTTATCGGTTTTACTCAATTTTACTCAATTTTACTCAATTTTACTCAATTCTTCCCTTTTCCAGGCGTTTCCTCCACTACTTTTCCTTTTCTGCTATGCGAAAACAGTGAAATGGAGTCATGGCAGCCGAATCAAGAAGAACTACAGCAGGTAAATTTAAAGGGATTTCGAATTTTTTGAATAAAATGATTAGCTTTGAAATTTTGCATCGATCTTTAGATGATTTTTTTTTAAATTTCCAGGTGCTTCTCCTCCTCCTTCACTCACAATCCACCGACACCGAGGTGCAGCGAAGCGTTCAACAGGTGTTTGCGATGATTTGACTTGGAAAATTGACTTGAACGGCTTAAAAGGCTTAAAAGGCTTAAAAAAAGCTTGAAAATACCTTAAAAAAACGGGCTGGATAGCATTATTTTAATGTTAAATCAATGAAAATTAAAGTTTTCGGAGAATTTTGATGAAATTTTCTTTTTAGCGTCTCGAGCAGTTGAATGAACACCAATATTTTTGCTGCTATCTCGTCTACATTATGAGCGATTTGAAAGATGAACAGGTGAGGTTTTGAAGCATTTAAATGATTAACTTGCATTCAGGTTGCGTCTCGATCGTTGGCGGGGCTGATTCTGAAGACAAACATTCGCACACAATGGCTCCGACAACCGGTAGAGATCCGCGATTTCGTGCGCATCAAGACGCTGAACTCGATTGGCGATCCGAATGTGCTGATTAGAGCAACGGTGAGTGGATTGAATTGAATTGGAAAGTTTAGCCAGAGCTCGAATTTCGTTCAACCCAATTCCAGGCTTGGTTGCTTGCTAAAGTTCAAACTATTTAGATACCTATTGGGTGTATTCCTAACAAGCTAGGGACGGGGTTGTTCCAAGGAAACCCAAACTCGACCATTTTCTTGGCGTTTGACCAGGCAATTGCTTTAGAAAGCGAAAAATGGAAAAATGGCCACACACGTATTAACCAAATTATTGAATTTCATTTATTGATGTGTCTTGCCAATTTTACTTTAAAAATAACCCTGTCCATGGAGATATTTAGCTCAAAAATATCATTCTTCATTCTTCCATTATTCTCATTTCCCTTTCCAGGTTGGCATCATCATCACGACGATCGTTTGCGAAGAGGGCATCCAGAATTGGCCGACCCTATTGCCGACATTGGGCGATTTGCTTGACTATCAGGATCCATATGTGCAAGAGGTAATTTGTAAAAGGAAATCTAAGATTTAAACCTATTCAGGGCTCGATCAACGCAATCCAGAAGGTCTTCGAGGACAGCGGCGATCGCCTCAATCAACACGAGCATATCGAACCGTTGTTGCCAAAGATTTTGCGCTTCTTTCAGCACGGGAACGGGAAAGTTCGGTGTGTTGGAGGTTTTTAAAGAAAAACTGGAAAATGCCTTAATGTTTTGCTTGATTTACGATCTAATCTATAAATTCTTTAGTCAAAGATCAATCATTTTGTATTTTCCAGGGGCTTGGCGATGAATTCGATTAACTCGATCCTCATGGTGCCCGACGAACCAATCAATGTCGTTTTGGACGAGTTTCTGACGGAACTCTTTCGAATGGCTCACGATCCGGAAGAGGTGAATTTTATTTTAGGGATTTTTTTAGTGTTTACGAACAAACTTTAAACCCAATGCACAGAATTAATGGCCAAGATTTTAAAAAATTTCACAACTCTTTGAGAATTTTGATTCATAGACAAACAAAGGAACTTTTCGCATCTAAAATTGAAGCTAAAGTTTGGTTTTTTCAAACGAAACGCTAAAAACTGAAAGATCTAACTAGTAGAGATCAAAGAAAGTACTTGGTTTAGATTATTAGCTCAAAACTTTAACGGTATTTCAAAATCCGAGCAATTTTTCATGTTTAGGAAGTGCAAAAGCAGTTGTGCCGTTCGTTAACTTTGCTCCTTGATGCTCACGTCGAGAAAATGGCACCAAATCTGCCGAATGTCGTCACGTACATCATCGTCAAAACACAGGTGCGTTTGGAAGCTTTTTGAGTGTGGCCTGGGACTCGATTCATGGCAGATATTTTGGCTTGGCACAAGATTTGGCTGTGTTACTCATCATCTTCATTCTAATCTTTGCCCATTTCAGGATCCAAACGAGGCGATCGCTTTGGAGGCTTGTGAGTTCTGGTTGGCGTTGGCAGAGAATGGGGAGATTTGCAAGTACGTGATGAAATAAGCATTCCGACTTTACTTGAAGGTTTACAACAGCTTCACATAATTTTTCTTTGTTTAGAGAAGTGCTCGCGCCGTATCTGGATCAATTGGTGCCAGTGTTGGTGCAATGCATGCGATACTCGGAGAGCGACATTCACCTTTTGAAGGTTTCTTTTTTAAAAATTGCATTAAGTTGAAGCTGTTTAAGAGCTAAAGTTTCAATTTCTATCTCGTCACAATGTAGCGGATCCTGCAAAAGTCTTTGCCAGAAAGATACTTTTATTTTGGAATATTGTAGTGAGATGAAATTGAGATTTTCGCTTCTTAATGAGTTTCGTGTTTAATCGTTTTTATTTTTATTTTTCCAATTTTCAGGGCTACGACGACGCCGAGGATTCTATGGTGCCAGATCGAGCCGAGGACATTCGACCGAGATTTCATCGAAGCAAAACACAGGGATATAGTCATGATGGAACGGTGAGTTGAAGGGGGGAAAGCTTTTGCGGTGGCTTTGTTGCGAGCAGGGATGTGCTTGACGGGAATTTCCTGGACTAGGCCAGACCAGGACCCAGACTCTGTCTCTTAGAGTCAAGCCAAACCAAATCTTGACCTACATAAACTCGGTCGGTCCACAGGCAAGCTCTGGGCTGGTTTAATCTCTGATCGTGTGAAACGATAATCTAAACGTGACTTTTTCGGGCTAGACTTGACTTAAAGCCAGGTCAGACCGGGTCTTGACCAAGTGCAAATCCAACCCCACACTTTTATGCGTTCGTTTAAGACGTTAAATAAAACCTAGTTTAAAGACGGGTCAAAGGCCAGGACAACTATACCTGAACTCTAGTTAGACCTGGTTAGACCAGGTCTAGGTCTGGTTAGACCCAAGTCTAACCCACCAAGATCACACTTTCCACCCGAACCACTCTTTTGTAGATTGTTAAACTAGACCCAGTTTGAGGCGAACCTCAGTGGCAAGAAGTTTTCAAATCACAAAACTTTCGATTATACTTTCTTATTCTAGGGTGATGGAAACGACGATGACGACGATGATGACAATGACACGAGCACCGAGTGGAATATTCGTAAGTTTTGCGACAAAATTTCGAAGCTTCGGTTTACGATTGTGTTTATAACTTGGAGTAAACGTTTTTACTTTGCAAATCTGTGATATTTTACAACTTTCTCTTCCATTTAACCGTCAAATTTTTAGGGAAATGCGCGGCCGCCTCGTTGGACGTGCTATCGTCGATATTCGGTGATCATCTGTTGCCGGTTTTGTTGCCCATTCTCCGTGAAGCACTTCAACATCAGGAATGGCAGGTACGGGGAAACAAATGCCTAACATTGCTTTACATTTTCTCATTCCAGGTCCGAGAATCCGGGATTTTGGCGCTCGGCGCAATCGCCGAGGGTTGCATGAAGGGAATCGAACCGCATTTGCCCGAATTGGTGCCCTTTTTGGTGAAAACATTGCAGGTGTGTCGTGTTTTGCTCGAAAAATTGATCTAAAGCTTAAACGCCTTTTTAGGATCGTAAATCAGAGTTGCTAGAAGAGATATTTTGCTCACTTTTTGCAGAAGTTAGAACTGTAAATGAGAAAAGAGTCCCCGGTGGACTTGATCATCTTAAAAAACCTTTAATGAAAGTGTTAGAATTGAAGAAAGGCGGTTGCAAATTTATCTTTGCTTGTTCATTTTTCCCTTTTCAGGATCGCAAGGCCCTCATCCGGTCGATCACCTGTTGGACGTTGTCTCGTTACTGCCATTTTGTCGTCTCACAACCTCACGAAGTCTACTTTCAGAGCCTGTTGAAAGAAGTGAGTGGAAAGAAAGCGTACCCTAGTCTAATTTCTTCTTTCAGCTCTTGGCACGGATTTTGGATGGAAACAAACGAGTGCAAGAGGCAGCGTGCTCGGGTGAGGGAATTGTGTTGAATTGAAGAGATTATAGACATGTCAGAGTTGTTCTTGCCAGAACTTAGGGCCCTGGGTCAAACCTGAGACAACCAGAGCTATAGGGCCTGCCTGCATCTGAATCGTGTTAGTTCCCCGATTGGAACAAACGGGCGACCAGGGCCCAGATCGAGTTCTAGGCACAAGCCTGTAGTCTGCAGGTCCTAGCGAAAGTACTGTTTGTGTCCTAGGCTGGAGTATGACGAACAAGACCTCTACGTTTCGATCTAACAATGACATCTCCCTAGAAATAATTTTCTTTTCAGCTTTTGCCACTCTGGAAGAGGAAGCGGCGAATGAGTTGGTGCCATATTTGAGCGACGTTTTGCGGACACTTGTCAGCGCTTTCAACATCTATCAGGTTTGTGTGTAGATCTCTTTGCAAGATTAACCATTTATCTTTAGGCGAAGAACCTGTTGATCCTCTACGACGCGGTCGGGACACTAGCGGACAGTGTCGGCCAGCATCTCGCGCAAGACGGCTTCGTGGAGATGCTAATGGAACCGCTGATGCACAAATGGAATCGCCTTGCCGATGATGATAAGGTGAATTCGTGAGAAAAGTGATGAACAACGTCAAAGTCCAGAGCCATTGTGGACTTTTACAGTTCGAGAGTCATTGTAGGGCTTTGTGGTGAGGTCGAATCTGTAGTCGTAAGCTATAGCATATTAATCCAATACTACGATGCCACAAATACAGTTGCATCATTGACCTTTAGCCCTTAACATTTAAAAAACTCGGTTCTGGTAAAAGCCAGAAAAACTGCGCTTGGGGCTAAATTTCTTCACCTGATATCTTCTAATTTTAAAGCCTTCTCAAAAATTGGTTACAGATTCGGCTTTCGTCAAGGAATCCTAGTATAGTCTGCTTTAAGTCTAGGTTAGACTTTAAATCAAAACGTTAAGCAAGACTTAAAAGTTCAGGAACATTTTCCGGGCACTTGAATTTTCATTTGATTTTGGGAAAACTTAGCGTTTCTTTATCTATTTCATTAATCAGAATCCGAAAATGGAGTTTTAGTAAATCCAATAATTGCCTTTTCCAGGAACTCTTCCCCCTTCTCGAATGTGTCTCGTCGGTGGCATCAGCTCTCGGGAATCGTTTCTTGCCCTACAGTCCCGCTGTGTTCAAAAGGTGATACTTCTACAACTTAGACAGCTAATATTCGTTCTGAACCTAATTCCACATTTGTCTTTTTGGCCTATAGATGGAAATCAGCACATTATAGACAAATGGAATCGAGCAAAGGGTGCAATTAGGTTCGGCGCGGAATTTCCCTATACCTAACAACAATCTCTTCATCTTTTCCCATTTCAGATGCATCGATTTGATCGTGAAATGTCTCAATCAGCAACAAGTTTATCTAAGCGATCCGGCCAATCACGATCCACCAGAAAAGGTGCAGCGTTCCTCCTTCTTACTCTAAATTTTCTTATTCTCTAGGATTTCCTCATTGTTTCCCTCGACTTGCTGTCCGGTCTCGCGGAATCCCTCCACTCACACATCGATCCACTTGTTGCCGCCAGTGAACCCTCGTTGATCCAGTTGATACACCTGTGTGCTGTTGTGAGTTTGACATGAGCAAAAGATTGACTCGTTTACCGGCAATCAAGTGTTCAGCTATTCAAAATTGAATACCATCGTTCTACGAAGGTTTTGCACGAATACTAGGTTATTTAGATGATAAACCCTAAAAAATAGTTACGGTTAAAGCTGGACGCAACTTTGGCTTGGCTAGGTATTAAGTAGTAGAACAGTCTAGTATTTGTTAATAAGACAATAGTACTTGATTTCCGGTAAAGGAGCCAAAGTTAACATCAATGTAACCGGTGAGATGTTACGGTGGTCGGGGCATGCTTTAGAGCAATAAAGTAGGCAGTAGTGGGTGTTTAAAGACCAAGATGGCTTAAAGTACTTAAGAAGTACTCACACTTGTACTAATTGTAAGATTTAATTGACTTAAATGCACTTAAACGATGTTCGGTCTTATGGCTGAATATTTTTAATCCTTGAATTCTGAGTAATTGCTACTCTTTGGACAGTATTTGATTTTAAGAGTTGGACAAAACGAAAAATTTATGCTAATTTTTACCGTTCTGAGGTAAAATTTAGCAATTCTATTCAATAACGTTAAAAAAAAGTGAACTAAGTGGAGGGCTTGCTCTAATCGGAAGGTCGGGGAACACCCCCATGCGACATGGCTCCCCTTCTCCTTCGGGGAGAGGTTTTCTGGAGGGCATCTGTGGTTTGGCCCCAGCTCTTTAAAGTGACAAGCCACTCCTTCGTCCCTTCCCTTCCCAAAAGTTTTAGTTCCCCATTGAGCTTAGGGTTAGGGGGCGGGTGGGTTAAGTATAGCTATATTGTGTGTGTCGTGTATTGTGATTGATATATTTCGTGTATGCGATAAATTCACCACTGGTAGCCCCAGTCGGTATTAATCAAATTTTTGTGTAGGATCCGACTCCCGAAGTGCGTCAAAGTTGTTTCGCGTTGCTGGGCGATCTGGCGAAATCGTGTTTCCATCATTTGAAATCGATGAGTTGTAAGTTTTCTTCATTTTCGGCGATTCTTTACCCATTTTTAGCCGTTTTCATCGACGTGCTCGCGCGGAATTTGGATCCTGAACAGGTGTCTGTTTGCAACAATGCCATTTGGGCGCTTGGAGAGGTGATGATTGTTTAGGGGGAAACTTTGAGGAAACATCAATTTTTAGATGGCTTTAAAGATGGGCGTCGAGATGAAACCGTTCGTGCACTTGTATTTGCAATACTTGGTGCTGGTGATGAATCGACAAAATGCACAGAGAACATTGTTAGAGAACACGGGTGAGTGTGGCGAAGGGTTTATGGTTTAAGTAAACATTCGGTGAGCATTTTAGGTAAACTTTCCTCAAGTATTAGCCTTTAAAGTAAAGTATTTGGATGATTTGTATTAAGTAACGATATCTAATATCGGGTTTATGTGGTACCACATCCGAGATATGGGACTCAGAGTTCGACCACAGTCTAATTCTATGCAGTGGCAGTAATAACAGAATGATAATTACTCTAGTAAAGCTGTTCAATCGATTCAAAGATTCATTTGTTAAAACCGTGCCATTCTCTGTATCGTTGAGTTGAGTGCAACTTTAAGAATACTAAATGTTAGATTCATACGTAGCAAACCTGTCGTTGAAAGCACTTTGCTAGATTGATTTGACTTGACTTTCCAAACTTAAATCCTTTTTCAGCGATCACGCTGGGCCGTTTGGGGATCTATTGCACAGATGAGGTGGCTCCATATCTACAGCATTTCATCCGAGCGTGTTGCTACGCGTTGAGAAACATTCGGTGAGCATTTTTCGAGGGATTAGATGCCGAAATGCTTGATCAAATTTGTAATTTTATGTTTAGGCTTGTTGAATTTGACATAAAAAGTCGGATTTGATGAGAATTTTGCTTAAATTTGTTAATTTGAAGCAAGAATTTTGAACTTATATGTGTCCCTGTGTTGATAAACGCGTTTTTTTTTTCCAGGGACAACAGCGAGAAGGAGAGCGCTTTCAACGGTTTATGCCATATGATCAACGCAAATCCGGCCGGCTGTATGCAGGTGAGGGAATTTCAGGAAGCTATTTAGGCATATTGTGGCTGCTCAAATCTGTTCATTTTTCTAGGATTTCATCTTCCTCTGCGACGCGATCGCCTCATGGAATCAACCGCCGCCGAATTTGAAGCAAATGTTTTATCGGGTAAGCGGGATTTTTGAGATTTTTGTGCTCTGCTATGCTTGATTGCAAAAAAAATGTAGTCCTAAGGCACACGCGAACGAGATTTGGGCTTTCACTATTGCAGAAACTGGGCACAACTTTGGTACTTTAGCATTTTACAGCTAAAATCAGTACATGTGCATCGGGCTGGCCGTTAAATAGTGTATAAATTGGCCATTAGCACGTTTGCACTTTACCTCAGAACGAAACTATGTTAAAATTTGAGCTTTAAGTTTCAGTCTGAATTGTTGCCTACGAGCTTTGCACGAGTAGCTTTGCAACTAAACCAAGAAAACCAAGAAATTTTAAAAGTAGTGCAACCTTTAGTTTCGTGACAAAAACACGAGTTTTAGCCGCAGCCGGGATCGAACCCGCGTCGTGGGTTAGCATTAAGAAAGTCTAGTCCATAGAATCAACAGTAAGGCGGCTTCTTTTAGATCAAATCAAATCAGAAATTTTGTAAATCAAAAGATAATCTTTTTCATTGTGACTTGGTTGAGGGCAAAGTTGAGGGTATGCAAAAACAGCGATTCCTCATCCGTAAAAGTTGTAATGATGCTATGTTTTGTTTGTCCCATTCTGAGTCACATGCACCGATAACCCTTATGCATCCAATTTTTTTTTCAATTTCAGATCCTCGCCGGCTTCAAGCAGAATGTCGGTGATCAGAACTGGACCCTCTTCACGAATCAATTCCCGCCGACGTTGCGCCAGAAGTTCGTCTCCCACTACGCGCTGTGATCGATGAGGATTCGTGATTTATTTTCCCAAAAAAAAAAACACCTCCAGTTTTGTGAAGATTTTACGATTTTTGTCGTGTTTTTAATGTGATTTTCCTCTAGATTACCCTAGGTATGAATTTGAGGAAATTTGCCCAACAATTCATCGATTTTCCCCATATTTATTCTAGGATATTTGCTTATTCTTAGAGATATTTATTTCATTTTTTTTTAATATTTTTCTATATTTTGTCATTTTCAAGGGACTCTCTCGATTTAAATGTGAATTGTCTAAATATTATCTTTTTCCATTTTGTCCATTTTTCTTGATCGGTGTGCCTTGTCCGTCTTTTTTTAGCCCCGTGTTTTCTAATGAGAAAGAGAAAAGTTTAAGCTTTTTTTTTTTTTTTTTATGATTTGAATTTTATCTTGGCTATTATTGGATAACGAATATCTAGAGATTTATTCCAAATAGGGGTAATTTTAGGGGTTGAATTTGTGTGATATATTTTTTTTTAGGGTACTGTAAATGGAACACACTTTAGAAAAGGGTTGCCACGTAACTTTCACGCGCGTAGTGGCCCATTTAATGGGATTTTGCTGGGAAAGTCGAAAATGTGTATCGTAGTGTGACCGGTTTTAGTGCGAAATAGTCGCCCGACTTGTTATGGGTACGGTAGCTGGAGCGCGCTTTAGGAAATCGCCCGTAAAGCAAAACGAATAAGCTTTGGAGTCTGGCTTCCCTGGTGTTGTGACCTAGGATTACCGGAAAATGAGTTGACAATTTGAATATAGGAAGTTTTGTGCCAGCTTTAGCGCCTATCAGCTTACCGCCTGGGGGTTGGCTCTTCAGAAATTGTTCCCTGTACAAAAGCAATAGCGTTAAAATCTAGGGTGCCATCCAGGATCGCCGAAAATCTCCTCTAGCTCGTTTTTCTCTTTCTCAAATTCCTGTGTTCATCTCCCAATCAATGTTGTGTGATCGATGTGTGTCTGTGTTGCAAAAAGGGGAAGCGTTGGGATTATCGATCAAGTAGGAAGCATTTTGAGGCCTTAAGCCGCGTTGTTACAAAGCCAATTTCGCTGACCTGGCCGATCTACAGGCTCTAAAAGTTGGGACAATTACCGTACACCGAGAAAGTTTCTCCTGCTTATTTGAGAATTTCCCAGGATTCAAAGCGATTCAGTCATCAGTCATTTACTCTTTTTTTCCCTAAAATGTGTCCTCTTTCCGTCAACAATACCGTATTTTTATCAAATCTATTCAATTTTTTGTCGGATTTTAAAGGAAAGGACAACAAAAGCTACAAAAAAAAATAGATAGATTTGATAAAAATATTGGCAAGGTTACGGTTACCTTTCGAGAAGTGACATGTTTTTAAAAAAAGCGGATTGAAACAAAACATTGCAACGTTTAAGGAGAACTTATGGTAATCTTTTGCATTTTTTTTTTAGAAAAAAACACTTCTATCACAAAGTACAGTATCCCAGAATCGATTCCCAGCTCTTCCCCTTCCTTAGTAGTTATTCAAATAGAATGACACCCTAGGCTAATCGAAATGATTGAAATCTCATGAACGCCTGCTCAGAGCTTGTTGATGAGTGGCCGGAAACTGTAGCTGACGATGAGATCTGTAGTTGACGATGAGATCTTGTAGTGAATGCAAGAGTCGAGGTTCTGGAGATCCTTGCTGACCGCCAGAACTTCTTGGGTGTCCGTCTATTCGAGTAAAAACGGTATCAGTGTCCTTTCGAATCGTGTGGTCGATCTATCTGTGGTGTCTCCGTTCCGTTCTCCTCATTTCCCTTATCTCTTCTCTTGCATGCGTGTATCCCCCTCCCCCCCTCCGCCCGGCCTCTCAGTTCGGATTACCTTTTTAAGGAAATGTCCCGTTTTTTGGTGTCTTTTCATGTTATGGGGGCACTTCTCGACTGTTTTTCTTTTGTGTATTATGGAGTTTTGGAAAAGATTAAGCTTGAGCCGACCTTTCTGGCGGTCGATTGTCGGCCTTTTCGGCCCTTTCGGCCCTTTCGGCCTTTCCAGCTGACGGAAACAGTTTTTGGCGGTAAAATGTGTTCAAAACATTCCGACGGAAAGTTCCCGGTAAACGAATCGGAAGGTTAGTGAAAGTTTTTGCCAGATTTTCTTTCCATCTTGTCAACAATTGATCTGACTCGAGAAAATAACTTTTACAGAAACTCTATCGGTCAACCATGACTTTTTTAAAGCAAGTCTGACCATGACAGTCTGGCTCTCAGCTCCAACACTGACCAACTAGGAAATCCGCGAAGTGTCCCCCGCCCCCTTTACCCGTCCCTCCAATCGTCTCTGTCTTTACGCGGGTCTTTTCGTTTCTCTTCCCCTTTGTCGTTCTGTTACTTGCATGTCTTTTCATTAGATATATCTAACATTTTTTTTTTCTTTCTTTGACTCTATTAAATGCTGAATAGCTTTTTAAAATTTTCAGTTAAACATTTTTTTTAAAACATTTTTTAAAACAATTTTTATTGAAACTAAAGAAATTCTCGAATTCTCGTAAAATCTCTTTAATAAAATAAGAATTTTTTTTTTTCTAGATATGGGCACCAAAAAAAATGCTTCTAATTTCCTTCAAATGTGCCGAATTGATGTAAATTTAAGCGCGAATAGGATAGCCGTTACGATAGCAATACTAGAAACGACTAGAAACAACTAGAAACAACTAGAAACGACTAGAAACGACTGGAAACGACTAGAAACGACTGGAAACGACTAGAAACGATTATAAATTTCTTTTAACGTTTCATTGTTTGTACTGGTGTACTTCAGAGTTCATTTAAAAGCCTTTGAGATAATCTTTTTCTTTTTTTTTTTTTTAAGATATTTACCGCATTTCAATTCGGCACATTTGAAAAGAAAGTTAGAAAGTTGGAAACGTTTCTACTATGAAAAGTTTTTGTTTGTCATTTTTGTGCTGCTCATGTAGTGCTCATGTCTATTTTATTTTTCCCATTCCTAAAATTTTTGTATATCGAATAAAATTTGGATATTTGCTTGAAAAATATTGACATTTATCTTATAAACCTTTATCGAAAGAGTACGAAAAACTCGAAAGTACATAGAGAAATTTGCGATTTTTTTTTGTTTTGACTTTGATTTTGATTTTGATTTTGATTTTGATTTTTGATTTTTGACTTTGACTTTGATTCATTTTAGAATCATTTAGAATCATTTAGAATCGTTTAGAATCGTTTAAAATCGTTTAGAATCGTTTAGAATCATTTAGAATCATTTAGAATCATTTTAGAATCATTTAGAATCATTTAGAATCGTTTAAAATCATTTTAGAATCATTTAGAATCATTTAGAATCATCTAGAATCATTTTAGAATCATTTTAGAATCATTTAGAATCATTTAGAATCGTTTAGAATCATTTAGAATCATTTAGAATCATTTAGAATCGTTTAGAATCATTTTAGAATCATTTTAGAATCATTTTAGAATCGTTTTAGAATCATTTAGAATCATTTTAGAATTTTGAAATGAGCGTCGAATCGTTTCAGCAAAAGCTCTTTTGATTCAAGCTTTTTTTTTATTAGCGTCTTCTTTTCTTCTTTCTTTGGTCTTCTCTTCTTCTTTCTTCTTCTTTTCTTTAGACTTTTCAATGTTTTTCAAATCATTTTTATTACTTTAAAGGTTTGCCTCTTTTCAGTAAAAAAAACATGGGTCTCTACGATGACGAGGAGGAAGACGAAGTGCCCGTGTCGGCGATGGGAAAAGAAAAAACGAAATCTCAGGTGAGTACCGGGTTTTTTTCTTTTTTTTTTGAAGTTTTCCGATCCTGTGACAGTCAGGAGGCGCAAAAATAATCGTAGAATTGATGAAATTTTAACGTGTTGTTTGTGTTTAACGGTGAATAACGTTTTTTTTTTAGCGCTAGACTCAAAAATTTTTCTTAACTAATTGGGGAAATTTTATATAGAATGATTGCTTTTTGATGTTCAGGATAAGTAAAAATTAGGATTATGTTGTAAAATTTCAAAAAAAAGTCCTAGATTTTTACGCTGCATTGAAAAATTTCACTTGTTTATCACTTTTTTTTGGTGCATTTTTTTTTTTTGAAAACCTGCTTATTCTTTAAGGCTTAACAACTTTTTTCTTATTGGCTCATTCAAATTTTATTTAATTCTCAGGCGATCCCGAGTGTTTCCCGTGAAAATGGCCTCGTCGATGGGGAACCGACGCTGAAAAGGAGTCGACAGCAGCTGGATGGTTCGTTTTTTTTTTTTTTTGAATGCTACTCGTAGAATCTAGCACTAAACTCAACAATTATTATTATATCTTGTGGTTTAGACGATGACTAGGGTTATGACTAGGATTTTGACGTTTTTTTTTGGGTGATTTACTTGCCGGTTTACTTACCGGCGTTAAAACCGTGACTTCTAGTGCTCTAGACGTGTTGTTGTGTCTAGAAAATCTATAAAATCTATAAATTGGTCTATAAAATCCTTTCTAGATCATGATTTCATCGAAATCTCGGGATTTTCTTAGAAATTTCTTTCAAAAACCTTAAAATCCTGAGCGTGGATAGCGAAAGTCCTTAAAAACTTGAGTTGACATCAAAAATAAAACCAAAAATCATTAGCACGGCCCACCAGTCGGTCGGATCATCATCGTGAATGTGTTAGGGTCTAGGACAAGATCGATTCCAAATCCATTTCGAGATTTGGACAAACCTAAGCTTTAATTCAAGTACCAGAGACACTAATGTTTGTCGAATTGTTTGTCCAATTCAACATTAGTGTCTCTGGTACTTGAATTAAAGGCTTAAGTTTGTCTCGAAATTTCGAAATTTCGATAAAATTTTTAAAGTTTAGCTTTGAAAATTTTGACGAGTGTCTTATAGAAAAGACTGATGAGGATTTGATAAACTCTCCCCTATCTGACACTTTTTTCTATATCTTCAAAAAAAAAAAGCTCTAAATTTGTTTGAATATCTTTTTAAAGCATAGATAGTACAAGTACATAGTACAAGAACGATCTAGGGATAAGTTGCATCCCCATTTTTACAATTTTTCCAATTTTAAAATTACATAAATTTTACATAAATTTAGACTGCAACTTATCCCTAGATCGTTCTTGTACTATGTACTTGTACTATCTATGCTTTAAAAAGATATTCAAACAAATTTAGAGCTTTTTTTTTTTTTGAAGATATTAGAAAAACTTTAGCAAGCTGAAGTGCAAAATTTTCAACAATTTTCATCAAATTTTCACCGTTAACTAAAGATTTTTCTATAGCTTTAAAGTTTTATTTATCTAAATCATTCATAAAATTTTTAAATTTAGATGATGGAGACGACATTTTCGCGGAAAACACCGGGGAATCGACGGAAAGCGAACGACGACGCAGCGCTCCTATCAACGCACAGAGCAAGTTTGGTAATTTCCCCGTTTTTGTGATTTCTAAAAAGTGAATAATTTCCTATGATATCCATAATTTTTAGCTACCACATCGCGGAATGGATTGGATGAGGAGAAAACAGAGAAATCTCCGCGTTTGCTGTGGACGATGAGAGCAAAGAAGGGGGAAAGAGACGAGATGCAAGACGGGCATCTCGTTGTCGAGAAGATGATCGAAGCGAGCAAGGATGTGTGAGTGTTTTTCGAGTGCAAAATACCGTTTACGGGGTATTGTCTCGTAGTGGTCACTTTGAACACTCCGCTCTCCGTACTTTGTTTATGATACAATGTCCATTTTGGGGGAAAATGATAGCCCTGACGTGAAAGCCGTGAATGCCCCGTGAATAGCCCCCCTTGACGTCTAGGATCTTTTTGAGATTAAAAGTTAAAACACAGAATAATGCGGAAGGGAAGAGTCTCTTATTACAGGTTTTACGGTACTCAACATACACTGGATTGACTCTGACCAGCGGACGCTCGGATAATTTTATCTTGACTTTGACCAAACCTGGTCTTACAGCTATCCTGGGACCAGGTTTTGCTAATGAGAAATCAACTAGGCACAGATAATTCTTATTTCGACTCGGACAGGGCCAGATTCAGCCTAGACGAGCTAGGTTAGACCCAGGATCAGCCCCCAGTTATTTTATTGTCGACCCTGTCTACGCTGAGACCCATAATCCAGCCGTTTCCTGGCTAATGGGGTGAACCTACTTACAAGAAAATGACACCAGCTTAAAGCTCAGAAACAAAATCAGAAGAGCAGAGTTTATAAATTCATGTTGCCAGTTCGAAAAATGTATATGAACTCTATGATGACTTTATAAACAAATTCTCAATCTTTAAAAGTTGTAAAATGATGCATAAAACATAAATATTTAATGCAAATACATCAAAAAAAAGCTATCATATTCGCACTAATTAATTGCTAGCTAGTCATTAAATAAAAATTTCTCACTTTTTAGATATCGTTGCGCTTTGTACGCGATCTTCGATGGGCATGGCGGCGCGCGAGCGGCGAAACATTGCGAGAAGAAGATCGGAGAGATTTTTGAGGCGAAATTGAAAGCCGGTTTGTTTATTTTTCACATATAAATGTCGTAAATTGTTTCGAAAATTTAAATCTCAAATAAAATCTTCTCTTTCAGCCGGCGACGTGACGACGATCGAAAAATCGCTGAAGAGAATCTTTGCCGACACTTACAAACACGTGGATGAGCTCTTTTTAATGGAAGCAAGAAAGAAGTGAGGCAGACATTAATGACATTACTTACTTTCAAGAATCGCGTCTTTAGTAAACCTGTTTGGAAAGACGGGACCACAGCGACGACCGTGCTTTTTCTCAATGGAGCCATCTATGCGGCGAATATCGGCGACAGTCGGGTGAGTGGGGGTTGCCGGTTGATGTAATGCTCATTGGTAAACAATTGGTAAACTTTTCAACTAGATCAGATCAATTTTCGTGAAAAACCTTTAAACAAAAATGGGGTAGCTATATTTGCATTACGTGTTCGTCCCCGATCAAAATTTTTGCTAAACTTGCGAACCCTTTCGAGGAGAAATCCTTTACGATTTCGTGGTCTGACTTCAATTCTAGATTTTTGAATTTTGAAATTGTTTAGAATTAAAGTTATAAGCATAAGGCTGGCTGACAGATGCCTAACTTTTAAAATTGTCCAATAGCGGAAGAAGCAGATATTTCTTTTAATTAAGATATTTTTGATGATAAGATAACGTTAAGGTACACTTTAGAAATTTGAGAAAAACCAGTTCGAGTTATGTGAATGTGAAAATGACAGTTTGTTTTTTTTTTTTTTGACAGGCGGTTGTGGCTCGAGAGAAAGACGATGGGACAAGCGAATTGTGCTCAATCCAAATGACAATCGATCACTCGCCATTGTTGCATGACGAACGAATGCGAATACAGAAAGCCGGTGGCACAGTAAAGTGGGTTGAAGAAAAAAAAATTTTTTGCCGAGATTTCTCTTGTTTCCTTGTTTCCTCAACGAAATGACGTTCGTTTTGGTGATCCTGGAATGCACTGAGGAAATTCAAATTGTTAAATTCAAGAATTTTGGACAGTTTTCCATCCTGTACCTTTGTCACTAGAAATTTTTGATCGAATTTTCAATTTTTTGACAAACCGATGCTCGTTTTGGTCATTCTGGGCAGCACTCTATAAAATGCAAAGTGTTAAATTTAAAGAATTAACAAAAGTTCTCTTGGTGGCCGAGTGGTTAGCCCGATTGATTGCGCCACTCCTAGGCTCTAGGGTTCGACTCTCCTGAGTGACCCGAATTTTTGCTAAAACCTATAAGCCAAATTTTAAGTGACTTTCTTTCATTTTCTAGAGACGGTCGCGTCAACGGTCTACTCGAGGTATCTCGGTCGATCGGCGACGGACAATTCAAGGGATTCGGCGTGATTGCACAACCGGATTTGAAAAAATTGACGATCACGGATAGGGATCGGTGGGTTTGAGTTGAATTTTTTAAGAAAAAGACATAAAAATAAAATAGTCAAATATTAGAAAAATGAAGCTTTTTGTCGTTTAAGCAGCGCTAGAAGCGCTCCCTCTTAAGCAGAATTATTCCTTTTCTTCGTTTTGTCAACTCGAAAAGAAAATGTTTAACTTTTAAAAAACTCCGAAATGCTTTAAATAATAGTTATAGGCTTAAAAAAGGTGAATGTTGTCAAAAGCTCGATGAAAATCTAGAAAAGATGATTATAAGCTCTTGAAAATTTGGGGATACTATAGTGGAGGCACGAGATAGAATGAAGAAAAAAAATAGACAGATTGGGTCTATCTATTAAAATGTTTTTGGTTACTTTGGTATTTGTCTTGTCTTGTATTTTATTTTATTCTTTTTATTGTCTCTCTTCTTTTTTAGATTCCTTGTGATCGCTTGCGACGGTTTGTGGAAATCTTTTGGAAATGATGAGGCGATAAATTACATCAGAAACGAGGTGGAAAAGGCGAAAAAGGTGGGGGGATTTTTTTTTTGGCAAATCAAAATGGCAAAAAATAGAATTTTATGAGAAATACATTAGGATTGCGTTTTTTTTTTGCTTAACATTCTGAATCTGATTCATTGAATCAATTTTGAATCATTTTGAATCTGAATTCTGCTGAGGTTGGGTAATTGAACCGGATTCGCGGAAGTCTTTTTTTGAAGCGAGAATTCTTAAAAATTGCTTCACTTACTGATTTTAAGCAATCATAGTGCTTTAAATTTTGAATTTGATTAAACGAACCAAGGGAAACGAATTTGGATGGATCCTGATCCTTGTCACTAGAAATTTTCATCTAATTTTCATCTAATCGAGCCGATGCTCCTCGTTTAGGCGATCCTGCAAAATGCACGGAATAATTTTGAATTGTTAAATTCAAAAATGAACATAAGTTCTCGGTGACCAAGTGACCAAGAGAGCTAGTGACTTGGGTAATTGAACCGGAGGCGGCATTTCCTTCGAATTCATTTCTTCATTATGAAAGTTTGAACAATTTCTGATGCTTTTACATGTCTTTACGTGTCAAAGCCTTATCTTAAAGTCCATTTTAAATATATTCTCATTTCTCGATTTTTCAGCTCGATTCTTTCCTCGCCACTTCTTCGCCTAATGTTGAACAATCGGCCTGGGATCACGCGGTTGAGAGCATTTGCGCTGAGGCGATACGCAGGAAGTGAGTTTATTTCGTTTCGTTTTTCTTTTTTCTGAGGAATTTCAAAAGTTTACAAAAGTATTAGCGAAAATTACGGATTTCTTTTCGTTTGTTTGTTTTTTCGTTACTCGTTTCGGCAATCCTGGAACGCACTCTATAAAGCGAGATTGTTAAATTCTCAAAAATTAGCGCATAACTTCTGGGTTGGCCGAATGGTTAGTGCGTTTGGTTGCGGCTCAAAAGGGTCGTTGGTTCGACTCCGCTGAGTGACCGGAATTTAATTTAATTTAATTTTCCTGGAAAATCTTTTAAAACTCAAAATTTCAATAAATAACAAGTTTTTTTTTTAGAGGAAAAAGAATTGTAATCTTAAGCAAAATATCAGTTTTTTTTCTTTCAGATGCGGCGACAATGTGAGCGTGCTGCTCGTCAAAATTGACAATTTCGTCAAAAAAGAGTGAAATTTTTGAGAGAAATTTTGCGATCTCGGGTTTTCAAGTGAATTTCTAGGAAATTTTAAGATTTTAAGTGCTTTAGGCGTTTTTTTTTCCTTTCGATACTCATCCTTTTTTTTTTTGTTTCTCTGAAAAATTCGTCTTTTTTGAATAAAATTTCATCCTCTCTTTAGTTATGCGAAAGGGAAAAAATTGCAGAAATTTGAAAAAAAATAGAAAAATTCGATTGACTTTGAATTTAAAAATCAAAAAAAAACACAATTTTAGACTGTAATTGACCCTCATCGCTATCGTATTAGCGAGTTATTGCAAGAATGCACTGAGGTGCATTCTTGCAATAACTCGATAATAGTGGTGCCAGCTTCTTAGAAATCACTAGGCAAAATGCCCAACATTTGTCGAGTCAACCATAAAGTTTCAAAATTACGCTTTTATTGCACAATGCGTTCCAGAGTCCACGAATAACTCATGAAAACAGAAAGTTTTTTTGGACAAAAGCTAGACACTCGGAGATCAGAGAGCATCTCGAAAATGATGACGTCACTTTGCGCTTATTCATCAAGAGCAAAATCAAAAGACTTTAAAAGATTGATTTCAGTTGCCAACAACTTTTTCAAACAAAAAAAAATCAAACAAAAAATCCTTGAGTAAATTTGAAACATTATTATCAAAAAAAAACCAAAAATTGTTCATTTTTCAAGAAAAACGGCGACCCGTCTTTTAAAAAACGAAAAAGTTTCCGATGATCACGGTGGCCGTTTAGACGAATGGTTAGTGAGATTGTGTGACGTTCGGGGAGGTCGAGGGTTCGACTCCGGGCTCTGCCAAAATTTTTCTTTCTTTAATCAAAATCGTTTAAAAAATGATGCTTTACTTGACAATGTTTTACGGATTTCAAAATAACCGCAACCATGTGATGCACCTTTCGACTTTTTCTGTTTTTTCTTCAGTCGTGCCAGTATCAATGAATGCCGCCTTTCCTCCTCCTTCCCCGGCCCCCATTCTATTGACTCACGTAGCACGTAAAAAAGGAAAAACGAAATGAACTCAAACATTTGCAAAAATGAAAGCATTTGAAAAAGCCGACTTTTCGCTTTTTTTTTTTTTGCTTTTAGTGCTCTGAAATTTTGAAATTTCTATCTTTTTAAAACCTTTTTTCTCATTTTCGGCGAATCTGGAACGCACTAGAGGGTTTCTCGAAGTTTTTCGGCCATTTCAACCATTTCTTTCATTTTTCACCACAACCTCGACGCTCACGACCCGCTGAACTTGGCTTAGATTTGATTTCCCCAAAATTCTCTCGCCATTTTTCGAAAAGCTGGACTGCACAGCAGCCTTTTCAATGATTCTGGAGTCAGCTTGCTGTTTTTGGCGATTTTAAAGCAACGGGTGGCTCGAACCATCCCACAGTACTTGGCTTTACATTGCCCATCCCTTAGATGATAATTTTTGGCTTTTCTGATATCCAGCTTCGAGTTTTTGTCAAAGATTTAGAGGTCTTTGATGCATAGATTTTCCTAAAATGACGCGATCCTCGAAAACGATGACGGACGTTGAGGGAAAGTTGGCGACGATTTTGACGAAATTACAGAGAACCTTCGACAAAGAGGTCTCCAGGGTGGGTCTGCCTTTTACTGAGGGGAAACGTATCCGAATTGTGCTTTTGATTGGTTGATTGATTGATTGATTTGCTTTCAGGTGGGCGCTGTTGAAGAGTGCACGTCGAGGGCGTTGCTCAGGTGAAGCTAAGGGAAATGCTAGAGAGCCGAAAAATGCTAGAGAGCTTGCAAAAGGAGGTTTAATTGTTGTAGTTTCGAAGTTTTGCATTCAAAAATGAGCCCCGCCTCAGCCTCAGCCTCAGCCCTGGCTTTGTCTCTTGGCTTTGCAAGACTCTGCTTTGCAAGACTCTGCTTTGCAAGACTCTGCAAGACTCTGCAAGACTCTGCAAGACTCTGCAAGACTCTGCAAGACTCTGCAAGACTCTGCAAGACTCTGCAAGACTCTGCAAGACTCTGCAAGACTCTGCAAGACTCTGCAAGACTTTGTCGACTAAGAACTCGAAATTTAAAACCGAATCTGCACAAGGAACTAAAAGAAATGTAAATTTAAAAAAAAAAACAAAAGAAACAAAAAGAAAAAACAAGAAATCGAGTTTTTCAGTTGCCTTGTTCGACACGCTTTAGACGATTTCGATCAAGAAACGCGTCGCTTCGAGCCAAGAGATCCGGTGATGATGGCCCGCGCAAAGCTCAGAGCATATTTACAGGTAAAAGTTGTCAACAAAGCTTTTAACTAGTACCCTGCAGCTCAGGGAAACGGATTACGGTAGAGCACGCTTTAGAAAACACTTTAGAAAACACTTTAGAAAGTATCTAGGCTTTTTTTCTTGAGCCCAAACCTTTCTAACATTCATTTAACTGCCTCTGAAACAAGGGAGATCATTGGCGTTGTGGTGTAATGGTTAACGCATGGGCTTGCGTAGGCGAAAGGTCCCGGGTTCGAATCCCTTGCAGAAACTTTTGTTCTCCTCCAGCTTCAACTATTCTCAAAAGTTGATGTGCATTCCAGGACTGCTAAAAAGTGAAAAATTTTCAGGGAACCGCCGAACGCGAGTCGCATATCCTACGCGATCGAATCGAGGCCGATAAAAAGAATCAACAACGAGAGAAAGTATAGGCGTTTACTAGGAACGATTGAATCTATCTAAAGATTAGATTAAAGATAAATTAAAGCTAAAATTTCAGATATTGGCCGCGGAGTTCATCCCGAAATTAGTCAAAGATGCGAGGAAGGGAAAAGTATAAAAACTTTTTAAAAAAGTTTTTTTTAAATTTTAGTTTTTAAACTTTTTACAATTGTGGCTATCCACTGTGACCTCCAGGATTTAGTTTTCTGAAAAGAAAAGATAAAGTTGATGCCGAAGAAATTGGCAGCTATCGAGGCAATCGTGTCGAGTCACTTGACTCTGGCTTTCTTGAAAAAACTCTAGATTTCAAATGGGTTTTCATGCTTTTTGCTCTTCAGGATTCAAATTCCAGGAGGCAAAGCTCGAATCGGAGCCACTGCACAGAAACCCAGCCGTAGACGCGCGTCAATCGGTACCGAAGCTGAGACAGTCGGAGCTGACCCCCCGCGGGCGTCCATTCTCGATGAAATCGAGCACAAACTCGAGTCTTCCGCAAGCAAGGCAAGCGAGACCAGCACAAATACAAACGTGAGTTGAATCGGGGTGGAAAAGTTGCTCAAATTTGGGGAGAAGTGGGTAATTGAGCCGAAAACTCGTTCGAAACTTGTTCTCGCAGAAAGCCAGCCTCCTGGGAAAGGTGGCTCGTTTCCGATAATCGAAATGGTAATCCTGGAACGCACAAGAGACGACCAGGCTCGAAAAGTCATCACTTAGCATTGAATTTGCCAACTTCATTTCACCGGCCGAACTCGTCTACCGTATGGCTTTCGATTGAAATGGGGAAACTTTTCAGCGAGCTAGATGGCTTTTCTGGAGCGCACACTAGGCGATCACGCTTGAATTCGCGCTATATGACGTCACTTTTTCAGTTTCAGATTATGAGTGATGAAAAGTGTTGAAAAGTGAAGAAAAGTGTTGAAAAGTGTCAAATTTTAGTGAAAAGCCATCGCTTCCGATGCAGAAAAAGATCTCCTCGTTCTCTCACAACGACAATGCTTTTGATGGATTCATTTCAAAAAGGAGACACGATGAATTCTTTAATGGAGGTCAGAAATGAAGAGAAACGTCAGAATTGTCGAATTGGTTGTGGAATTTTGACTCTGAATAGTTGTGATAAGGGTATTCGGAGACGCTGATTCCGAATCTGAAATTAGTTTTCGCCTAGCTATCACAAATCGCAAGGGAACCTGGGGAAACAAATTTTTGGTCGGTCTTTATAAGTGGCAGGTGAAGGGTTTGCAGACCTCCCCGTGGCTGATTGGTTAAGTGCGTTAGTTTACTAGTCGAATGCTCTTCGTTTTGTCTCGGGTTCGATTCCGGTCACTCGAAAAATTTTTTCTTTTTGTTACTTACTTTTTTAAAAACGATTTCTTGATTCAAATATCGTTTGGTTTCTATTCGGTTCGCATTTTCGTTCTTTTACGGCTTTCATTGGATTCTGAATCGATTTCTATTCTGGTTCTTATTTGGTTGCCATTTGGTTGCCATTTGGTTAGCATTCTGGTTCTCATTTGGCTCCTTTCCAGTTCCTATTCTGATTTCCATTGGATTCCGAATCGATTTCGATTCTGGTTCTTATTTAGTTGCCATTTTGGTTCTCATTTGGCCCCTATTCTGGTTCCTATTCTGGTCGCCATTTCGTTTATATTCTGGTTCTCATTTAGTTCCTATTCTAGTTCCCATTCGATACAAATATTCACGAAATTTCAGGAAATTGCAGGGAGGAAACCAAAAACGAAAACCAAACCAAATATTTAAAAAAAAAAAAAAATTCCCAGCCAAAATTCCACGCCCAATTCTGATCATCACTTTGTTAGAGCAGTTTTTGAAATTTTCAATCAAAAAGGGACAAATCTTAAAGCAAAATTCGGCATTTCAGCTCAACACTTTAACCATTTTCAATGAAAACTTGTGATTTCTTCGTTGAATTTGACGAAAATTGCGAACTAATCGAGTGAAAAAAGAGTTCGACTGATTACGCCAGTTTCCCCTGAAACATTGCCCCTTTTTGAGAAACGCGTTTTCCAAGCTGGAGCGCACGCTAGCATTTGCCTGATTCAAAATCGAAAATTCACGATTTTTTTCGACAAGTCAAATTTGGGTACGGTAGGTAGGGGGCACAAAATAGAATTTTCGGAGTCGATTAAGCGAATCGATCGCTTTAGTTGTGGCGAGGGGAATTGTGCAATTCCACAGTAGCCACAGTCAATACAGCAGCCGCTAGCGTAGCGCTAAGCCCTGGAGCACCGCAGTGCGATCGCTCGAGGCCGACTTGAGGTTAGAGCATTAGCCTGGTAGGCTTGAGGCCCATGGAATAGTTGGATTCCCGGAATTGAGCTCATAAATGGGAAAGCTGGGTGTCACGGGAAAGGATTACGGTGGAAAAGTCGCTAAGAACGCTGATTAGCCGATCGCTTTCAAAAATTGCAATTCATCCACCGTAATCGTTTCTCAATTTTGTCGGGAAACTTTTCCATAAAGATAGATCTCAATTCTGGATGTCAGTCTACAAGAAAAGCGATTTTAGAAGTGCTTCACGTGAACCCGGTGCATCGTCATTTGTATCCGCACGGATCGCAACAATTCGATAAGAAATGCGTTCGTATCGAGGCCAGCACAGCGAACGTGCAAGAGGCGTTGGCCAGAGAGGCACGAGACGCCAAGAATCGAGAAACAAGTCGGTTTTTGAGTCGCAAATCGTTCGCACATCGTTCGCGATCGCAAATCGCAAATTGCAAATCGTCTAAACGTAAATCGTCTAAACGTAAAATGGCGTAGTCGGAAAGTCGCGTAGTCGTTATGAAGCTTTTGACGCAAATTCCCCCGTTCAAAACTTGCAATTCTCCTTTTCGTTCACCTTTTCGGCAACTATGGAACGCACACTAATAAATGCAAATCAATCTTTATGCAAAACTCGAAAATCATTCGATCATCGAATTTCTTAGCCATCTTTTTTTGCACCAAAAAATTCAAGCAAAACCATTTTTTTTGGCCGTTATGGAAAACGCACACAGAAACGAAGAGCACCGAATTTCAGAGCTTAAACGCGACGTGATCAAATCGTCAGTGCTCGGGAAAGTCACCGGACAACAGGCGTCGACAAGCGCAACGAAAATCCGTTTGATATCCTCGTCGTTGAGTGGAACGAAAGCAAAAACGAGCTCGAATTCCCGTTCGATGGTTTCCACGAGGAGAAAATAGTCAAAAAGAAAAAGATTGCAAATTCTTGAAAATAAATTTTGCCTGTGAGTTGAGCACAAAAATTGCATTGTTGCCCGTTGAGCACAAGACATGGCAAAAAAAAAACTCCAATCAAACACACGAAAGAAAATTTGGCCCTCAGACGGTTTATTAACGTCTGGGGCCATGTCGCTTTTGAACCGCCCTTGTCAGAGAAGGTCCGGATAAAAGATGGGCAGTTTATCCGGTCCAAAAGATCGCACTGGAGCCTCTTTATCCAACTGAACCTTCAAAAAGCAATCAAATGCGCAAATTCCCCATCTTTATCACTATTTATTCTCAATTTAGACCTTCCAAAAAGAAAAAAGAATCAAGATAAGTACATATCAACTAAATACAAAAGAAACTAAACGCAAAAAGTACAAAAGTAATATTAAATCTTTAAAAAATCCATTTAACGATAAGTTCCATATTTCTCTCCGTGATGTCCCCAATATTCGGGATCGGACGAGGAGTCGGCTGGAATACCCAATTCCTCATCGCTGAACTCGCGCAAGTACGGCATGTACCAATGACCCTAGAAAGAAAGAAAATAATACAAATCTATTAGTTTTGATGGGCAAAATGGACTTGCTACTTTACTATTCAAAATGTTAGTGATCCTAGACGCTGTATTATTTTTTAATGCTATTGAGTAAACTTGCTAAACGGAAATCCCGTTAAAGCTTTATCGGGAATTAACGGGAAATGGGAAATCAACGAGCCAAAAGCCATTTCCACCGGCCAACCCGAATTGGTACTTGTTGATTCGATCTCGCAAAATTTGCAAATACCCGGCAAAGAAAGTTTTCAAATATGTAGAGACTTGTAAGTAAATGTTGCGTAAGAAATTTGTGATTATAAGCGCACTAAAGGCATGGGTTTGATCCTTCTTTTGCTTAGTATGGTAATTAAATGTAAATTTCATTGAATTTATGTGGGATATAGCCGAATAAGCAAATAATGCTTTTAACAATATCGCTTACTACTTTTAGTAACCAAATTCTCTTTAAAAACTCACAAACAAATGCCCGGAGTGATAGTACATGTGATAGGAAAACCAACACCACATCAGGCCCGAGATAAACAACGAGACGCAACGATCTATGTACGTTTGGCCCATCGTCGGACGGCGGTACCAATAACTGAAAAGATAAAAAATTAGTACAAATAGCTGCTGCAGCTAACAATTATTAAGCTGTTCAGTATCCGGATAACTAAAGCACAGTAGTTAGCTCTAAATTCAAAAATTTATATCCAAACATCGCTTTAAATGCTCCATGATCTACCGAACTATGAAATTTAACATTATGAATCGAAATTTTGCAAGTTATCGTGCAAAATCAAATAGCTCTAAACCTTCGATGAGTTGAACTCTTAGCTTAACACCTAACCAAATTTCTTCTCAAACACTCGAAATACCACAAAACTGACTCGGGAATGAGATTGTCTCCTTTCTCGGGCGATCCCGAATAGTGTCCGTCGTATGTGTGCGTCTCGGGGTCTTCCTAAACGAAAAAGGGTTAATCAAATGGAATTTCGTTTGATCTTGTGTTTAACTCCTGTTGAAAATCCGTATCGGCTTAAATCTAAACAATACTGAGCCTAAAAATCGCAAGTCTATAGCTAGGAAATTGATTCAGAATCAAACCAATACAATTCTTTATAGCTATACAGTCAGTGATGCCTCAACTAGGTTCAGGAATGGAATCTGACGGACCCCCGAGACTTTTTGTGAGTCAGCCCCACAGCAAAGCCACTCCAAGACTGGTCTAATTGTTTTTGGAACAACCTTGGCATGTTTAAAATTTAAGCTTTCAGCTGAACGGCTTCAAATCCCTCACCGGATGTCCCAATTTCGCTCCAACGGGCACCTCGGCTCCCCTCGCGTCTTCACCCCATGCCATTCGGTGCCGAATCTAAAGCACAAGCTTTTATTAGATAAAGGGTTTGATTTTATAAATTTTATTTTACGCCTATAAAGAGGCTAGGATTTCGTAAATTATAAAATACGGTTTTTGCTGACCCTTCTTTAAACAACTTCTCTTTGACTTTTGACAGAAAACGAATTATAAATAGTTTGGCTAGCTTGGCAAATAAAATATTCTTGCTGATTGCCAAAGGGCCATAGCAGCTAGTTAGTTCGAATAAGCAGCAAAACTTGCCGCAAAAGTGTTACAATGAAACGTAATCCCTTACCGGTCCTAAATGTGCACTTGTTGCTCGCACTCGCGCTAGTCGGGCGACCAACGATGCGGCTCGAAACGGCACGAGCATCTGAAATTTGAAAAATTAGCGTTCACTGAATTCCAGCCAATAAAATATGCCCGAAATTGGACTCCACAAGGGTAAATTGAGTACTTTGTAAGCATTATAACATTCCACGGGCGAAATTTTAGTAAGGAAATCGGTTGAAAGTCAAAAAACAAAAATGAAATTCATCGATTTTTAGCCATTTAGCAAAAAAGTATTCAAATTGCTCGAAAAATGCTTAAAATTGATGTTGGGTACGTTAAAAAAACTAACAAATGCATCAAACGGCTAAATTTTGCACAAATCCACAGATTTTGCCAATGTCAGAGTTGGATAGAGTTTGTAGTCTGGGAAATTTTGCGTCTCGCCATTGCAAAACGTAAAAAAAATGCACGTTTTCCCGGTTCAAATGCCCCAAATCGTTGAAACAAACCGAAGCAAAGATTTAAGGGATAAAGATTAAGGATACCACCTATTTTTATTGGGCTAGTTACCCAAAAAAAACGAAGAATTAAATATTCTAAGGTCTTCAACCATTGATAAAATCAAGTTTTTCGATTTGAAACCTTTATTTGAAACAATAAACAACTCGGAGATAACAATTCGCGTGGAAAGTCAACAATAAACTAGAACTGGATAGAATTTCAACAAAACAACAACAAAAAAAAGAAAGCCGTTTTTGCTTTTAGAGGAAGAACCGACGACGACTTGTCTCCATCTCGTGGCGCTGAAAAAGGACATTATCTTAGAGAAATTTGGCAATAGTTACATTTGGAAAGGTTTGAATTTACTATTTTCCTCATCCCCAACGTATTTTAAAACTTTTTAAGCGATCAAAACTCGAGATCAGAATTAGAGTTTTTCCGGGTCAGGGCAGAAGCCAGATCACTCTTTAAGAGTAAAAATATCCAGCCTTCCCTTATTTTCCCATTCTCCTCGCTTTTCCCCACCTTCAACACCCATTCGAACTCTCCGCATCGCGTGTCGAACGTTCCCTTTTGTAGCCATTTCAAGCGCAACGTGAATCGCGGTCCCAGCTCCAACAGTGCCGCCTTTTTGCCCTCTTTCTTGAACTCGTACCTGGAAAAAAAAGAATTGATTTGGCTTAACATTTAGCGCAACTAATTAACTATTTTTCCACGTGAATCTTCTTAAAATTTACATCAGCAAACATTTGATGGTTTTCAACTATAGTAAGCTTTCCTTCTAGCATTTTCAATTAAATTCTAGCATCAATTGGCTAACTGTCTTGCAACTTCCAACGAAGCCATTCCCTAAGCCTAAGCCTAAGCCTAAGCCGTTCTTGGCAAAATGGTCAACATGTCAACTTTAAAGAAACACTTGAACGCATTATTGAGTGCTTTAAAGTTTCTCTATTTTAAGTATACGCATTAAAGTCACAGCCCCTCTCACCTGTGATGCCGGAAGAAAATGTAGTCTCGTTGATTGTGAAGTGTGACCACACGCCGCCCCTTAAATTCCGGATTGTGCGGGAAAAGGCACGCAAACATTCGAGCGATCGAATGCCTAAATGAATGGCAAGTAATTTAAAACAACCACTTTCCTCACCCGAGTCTCGTATTGAAGTTGTTGAGAATCACCTCCGGATAATGATCTGTCGTGTCCCCGGTTTTCTAAAGCCAATGTAGGGTGGTAAATGAAATGTGAATCACCTTGATATCCTTTGTGAACGTCAAGTTATTAATCTTAAAGTAGGCGGTGGGACCCTCGGGTAAATGGCAAAAGACGATTCCATCTAAAGAAAAAGATTATATCTACGAATTCGTTAGCTTTTTTAAATTTAGGCTATAAAGTGCTAGATTGCTATTGTCCAAACTGGTCCATTAAACCCGGTTTGCGCTTAAAATCTGCAAAAGTTGTAAGAATTTGTGGAGTCTAACGTTTTTTCTTGACGATAAGCCTTCAGCTAAACGTACTCGGCATTTTCCCGTCCTCATGCACGACAATCAAGTCCGTGTACTCCTTTTCGGTGGCTTGCTTGACAACCTAAACCAATAACCAATAATCTTTAAAGTTCCAAGTAAATTGACGAACCTTCTTCAAAGCGACATTCTTGCGCGAAAAGATCTCGGCGCCAGGAATGCATTTCTGCAACTCATAGCAGAATTTCCAAGTCTTCTGCAAAGAAACAATAAAATGAGTCAAATTCAATCGGACCGACCACTTTGGCAAACGGAGACATCGTGATGAGCACTTTCGGTGTCGTTTCTTTGTGAAAGTACGAGGCGAACTCGTCGTGTTCCTCATCGTGTTCGACCTGGAAAAGAAAAAAAGTTGATGAACTGGCTAAAGGAAACACAGATTTAACCTTCAATTTTGTGAAGGGCTTGGTGAATCCATGGTTAAAATATGGTTAAACACAATAATACTTCTTAAGCGTTCCAAAACTCTCATTTTCCCCAGACTCAATGAAAGGATATGCACGTGATTCTTCAAGATTTCATTTAAAGTTTTGTTTTATTGTTTTTGGTCCTAGGATTAAAGCACGAGAAACGTGTTCTACGAAAGCCATTGTTGTTTCTGGCTACAACTTTGGCACTGTAGTTAATCCACCGCAACTCCATCACCAATCTCCTACCCCGTTTTCTTCTTCAACTCACCTCTTCATCCTCCTCGGCAACCATTGTCACATCATACTCCCTCGTGCTCTCAATAGTTCTCGGTTGTTCCTTTGGCGGCGCCTTGTCGCCCAATTTCTCGCGAACTTTCTTCCGTTCATCTTGACGAACTCGTTTAGCCTAAAATGAAATTGTTGACAAATTTTTGGATTACTTTATCCGCAAAACCAACAACAAAATCAACGAACCGCGGATTTCTGTAGTCGAATACTTCTCGCATTGTCCACGCGATTTCCTCGACTCAAACGACGACTCGTCTTCGGTTGGATCTCTTTCTTCGTCGTTTTCCCCTTGCTGACCTAAATGAGAAAGTTGAATGGATATTGAAAGTCTATAATTTATCAAAGTGATAAGGTACGTTAATAGGTCTAAAAATTTCAAGGCCAAATCAGGCCACGCTTAAATATTGATAGTGGCATTTTAAGCATGGTTTTTTGACACTGACTGGTTCCTTTGAGCAGATAATTAAGAAATTACACTAATTAAGTCATTTTTGAAAAAAGCCAGGTGGCAAAGGTGTGCATTTTTCATTTATCAAATTTAATATTAATAGACATGGGCATTTTCATTTATCAAATTAAATCACGCGTCGATTCATAACTCGAAAATTATGAGGCGAGTCAAAAGGGCGAATTCTCAAATTGTTACTGGACCAAGTCAAACCAAAATCAAAGGAGCTATGGTCCAAAATAGCCTAGTCGACAAATCAGAGCTTTAACAAGGCGGCCGACTCTTTGCCCATGTCTACAATGCAATTCTAAGGCTGCGTTTTGTCAAAAACGTTAAACCGAGCTCTTTTAACCGCCAAAACCTCAATTCACCCGACGCACTGCCCCGTTTCACCCAAAACAGACCTCTTTCGACGCACGTGGTGCCGATTCGTCGTCCGACATCCCGCCTAAACAATAAACAATTTAAAACTTGAGCTTTTCAACAAGTTCCACTGAAATATAATGGCTAACAACCAAAGTCACCTTTAAGACGATCAAATCGATAAATTTCTTTACTCAAAATGATTAAACTTCAATGAAAAGGCACTAACGCAATCAAAACATGAACAAGCATAAGAAACTTCCCGTTTTTCGCTCAATAAAAAGCAAAATACGGAGAAAATAGCAATAAATGACAAAAACTCGTAATATTTGGCCAATAAATGACAATGAATAGACTTTAAATTAAATAAAGTCCGTAAAAATGAGCATTTTTGATTTGTTTTGATCAATTTGAAGAAATCTCAATTCAAATTTTTGAGAAAAACAAATCAAACAAGTTAATGTTTGATCTGTTGATCGATTCTCACACATCTAAACTCCAATTTTTAAAGAAAAACAAATCGTACAAGCCCATTTTTTACACTAAGACAATCAAAGTCAACAACAAATACGAGAGTTTATAGAAAAATTTCAACCTTAAATCATTTGAGCCTTAAAAAGTGCTTTATAAAGCATTTCCTAACAAAATTTTTCATTTTTAGAGTCATTGCAATCCTGAAAAGTGCCAAAGAATTTCCTAGTCATTTTTCCAGTCAAAGACGGGAAGATTCCGTTTTTTAACGTTTTTTCTTTTCGCATCACATGTATTTGTTGTTGATTTGAAAAACAAACAAAAAAAACTACCGGTAGACAAAGAAGATCAGGCAAAAGAGAAACCTGTAAGCAATGAAATCACAAAATGAACCGATCGTTTCACTTTCTTTTACAACTCATCGTTCTGATCGTGTCCCTCGTGTTTCTCCCGTCGTTGTTGATTGCTCGCGATGATCAAATCGGCCTTCATCGCCACACGTTTACACCCAGATGACGAGTAGATTGGGTTGTCATTTGGGAAATACTAAATAAATGAAAATTAGGTTAGAATATGGTATTTAGACTTAGTAATTTAGCTATTCGCATCTTTATTGGGTTAAATGCCTATTAAATTTAAGAATTTGTCATGTCCGTAAAATTCTTAGAATTTGCAAGATCAAAATCTTTTAAATTATAATCGTACCAGCAGTTTCCAGCTGCTAACGCAGCTGAAAAATGCTGCTATGATGTTGTCTTTACCGTTGTTTTTGAATACTTTTGGAAGCAACCCAAAATTAGGTCATAGGCCATACCTGACATGTCTCTCTATTTTAACTCCAAAAATCTATTACGAACACCTCATGAAAAAGAAAGTTAACGATACTTTTGAGGACGGATCAAAGTCTCTATAGAGCATTCACAACTAGCTTCATTGCATTTAAAAGAATGGCTTTCCTAGCAAGATTAACCGAAATCAAATTATCCGAGTGGCTCTGATAGATCTACATTAGTAGAATTTATAAAAGATAAGGAATAAAAATCTTGCGAATTTTATGGACAGCCTTAGTGAGTGTATAATAAAATTAAAATAAATTTTGCATCAATTAGGTTTATCTAAAAAATGGAAGGTTGTATTGCTCGTAGGCATACTGAAGGGTTGAAATGACAGTGCAAAATTTGCGGCAACCGCTATTCTTTTTCAGTATCATCACCTATTCAACCTATTCAACCAAAATATAACATAGAAAAAAAATGTGTATTTAAGACTAACTTTTAGAAGCATTAGCTTTAGATGGGTTAAAACAAAAAGCTTTTTCCATTTTTCGTCATTTTCTCTAATGGGGCACAAAACCGACCCCCTACTGCAAAAATGAACAGAAAAATATGTGGGCTTTAAGCTCAAAAGTTCTCCCCGAACGATTATATTCTCTGGAAATTGCCTCAAGTTATTTGACTCTTTTCAAGCTTTTGGTTTGGCGAGCCAATGATCGAGGACTAACAAATTTTCTTGCCTACTTCAACGAGGTCCAGTCTTCCGTTTTTAAGAAAAGATTACACGCTCTGCACAATAATTAGAAAGATATCCTACTTGCAAATAGTGCATACCTTTGATAAATAAGTGGTTTTTAAGAAATTACAACGCAAAAAGGGCGACAAGACTTTCTCAACATCCTGATAATTTCAAATTTTTACCTTCAACTGATCAGCCACCAGTTTCACTTTGTCCTTTTGTCGGGCCAGCTCCGGTCGATGTTGCAGCTCGAAATAAGCGCCAATGCATTGTTCCTGAATGTGACACGGTGAAAATGTAAAATGTCCAATAAACCAACCACATGTGATCGTTCCAGGGGTAAAAATGGCAAATAGTGATCGATGAGATGATTTGAGATGATTTCCGACATCTTGAGACCACCTAAAAGTTGAACTATAGAATTAGATGCCGCTTATTTTAGGGTTATGAGGTTAACTCGTAGTTTAAAGATACAAATTTTCTCATTACATCTGAAAGCCGTGCTTTAGCTTTTAAATTCTCATGGTCAAATATAAATATTAAAACGAACCTTCTCGATTGAATGAGTCGTGCGCAACTTTCCCCTCAAAATCGTTCAACCGAAGCGCTGCCCTTTCTTTGCCGGCCTCGTGTTGAGCGATCGTGATTCCGAGAATGTCCGACGCACCTTTGTTACTAAAAATGATAGATACACATACTTTGTCACTTTTAATTTCTTTATTTGGAACTATTACTTTGTTTTGATATTCTGCTGAATATCAAATGTCTCTCACTTTGTGTTATTTTACAACAGAAACTGATGATTCAAGTAAGTTTCATTCAGCTTATAGTGCTAATTCAAGTCTGCACTAGCTGGATAAGCTATAGAACAGAACAGAAGCCCATAATTTGACGGCAAGCATTATTCGCAACTGTAGTTAGCCCTTTTAAACCGCAGAGCCAAATCCATAATTAAAATTTGTCCGTTCTGGTTATCCTTTCCCTCTCACCTCAACAAGAGGAAGATCGATTTGCGAAAATCGACGCCTTTCACACTTTGATAGTAGTCCATGTAAGATTTAATCGCCGACAACAATCGTTCGGGCATCTTGTCGACCTAAAGAAGGTTTGTTGTCAGTGCTAGCACACTAGCTTTAAAGCCATTAAGCCCCAAAAATCGTACCTCATCTATGATGAACAACGATTGTGCACATGATTGGGCCGCATCATGGATTTGTTTTCTCAACTTCTCCTGAAATAAAGAATTATTTCGTGCATGTAAATTTGTGCTCACCTCGTATTCATAAATGCGGCTGATGTCGGGAAATTCAGCCGAGGCAACAATGTGATGAACGAAGCTGGATTTCATCCCATTTCTGAACAAAAGTGTTAGATGGTTTGATATTTGATACTTCTATAATAGTCCATCCATTTAAACCGTACTTGTAGAGATTCTCAGCGATTAAGCTCGCCACATAGTTCTTCCCGCAACCGGTGTACCCGTGAAAAGACATCACAAGCGGTTTTCTGAAGGACTTAAATGAATAGTGTTAGTTTTTCTCATACTAAACCTAGTAACAATACACTAAAAATATTCCACCAAAGCTTGATCGTCGAATTCTGGCGTTCAACAGCTGCAATTACAACATCCTATACGCAAAACTCACACAGGTTGACCATTCCAATGCGTTTCTATCGCGGCGACGACATTTTGCAGCACAATGTGCTGACCAAACACCTTCGTTCGTAGCTCATTTCGTAGTACTAAAGTTTAAGTGGTTTGGATAATTTTGAAAAATATTTTACTTTCAAAATTTGGATTGATATACGGCGCATCGCAACACTCAAAAAGTTTGCATCGGAGAGTGCCCTTGAACGCGACGAGCAAGCCGCCACCTGGAAAAAAGTTGAGTTGTAGACACGTTTAGCATGCCAACAACGACCAAATTTAAACTTTTTAGCAATAAGTAATGTTTTAAAAGCCGGGAAAGGACGGGACAGTTTTGAAGGGTTTCAAAGAGCCAAAAAGAACACCAACAATTAGGAAACCTTGTCGCAAGGCGCCCATGATGCTGTCAGTGAAGTGTTTCTTCTCGCCAACCTCATGATGTGTCACACCATGGACGCCTCCTAGATATTGATTTCTTGTAAGCGAATTACGAGGGGAGATTTAAAGTATGAGTATCAGCTGGTGGCTTTGGCTCTAAAGTCAGGATGCAATGTTGTGTCTAGACCTAAAATTTTAAGCAAAGTCAAAGTCAAAGCCAAAGCCAAAGCAAAGTTAACCTTCCCTGTTTTTCGACTTTTCGTATCGAAAGTCAAAGAATTAGTTTCAGAGTCGACTATCGACTCGTATAATAATAATAATAATGACGAATGGATCGTCTAAAACAGCTTTGTGCTGATCTAGTCTGACTTTCTAGGGATCAGCCTTGCCAGGGTTTGTAGCAAAGTCGAAGAAAAACGTTTGTGTTTACCCGTTTTGCAGATGCACAAACTTTCTAACACTTTATGCAAAGCGGTTTTGCTTAAAGATAAGCCATTAAGCGTCAAGTGAACCCAATGATAATCCCGTGCAAGCAGGAATGTTCACCCACCGAAAACCGACGCCACTCCAACGATGAGACTCAACGGTTCGGCGCCGACGCACAGAAACGATACGCACACGAGGGTAGAGACGACGAAGAAACGAGAAGATTTCATCCACCACTGAAAAGTCAACTTTTAAATCAAGACTTAAGTTCAAAAGAAAAAAAAGAAAACGAATGGGAAATGAGCATTTTATAACTAATGTCCATTTTTTGAGTCTTGGCTTGCAACAACAAGCGTAACACTAAAAAAAATTAGCGCATTTTCTTTAGCTTTCAAGTCTGGCGCTTTAAAATTGCATCTTTTTAGCCTAATAACTAGTCCGACTCATCAAAAAATATCCAAAGCAGAAAGATAACTTAAAATAGCCTTCTACCAGTTCCAATCCAATACACAAATGTGGCAAATTTTTCACAATTTTCGATACTTAACGACGAAACCATCATCGGTAGCAAAAAAAAAAACGAAAGTTGAATTGAAAGTTTATCTAAAAAATGGCTAAACAACAAAAAAACGCAATCGCAAAATACCAGTATAATGACAAACAAAGAGATCAAAAAAAAGAGCAACGTAAGCACAACAGTTGCTATTTTGTTAAAAAAAGTGATTCAAATTTGGAGGAACGAGAAGAAACCTGTTATGTACCAAAGAAATAAGTTATCAAGATAAAACAAAACAAAACAACGGATACTTGTTTGAAAAAGTTTTTGATAGAGTGGATCCAGTTCACTAATCATCACCAGCTAACGCTTCAGCGATCGGCAGATAGGCGAAGGCTTTATTGAGAGACGTTCGTTCACCTAAAATAGGCAAATTATGTCTCGATTTTAAACAAAAGATTTCATTTGGACATTAGTAAGCAAAATTGGCTCTAAAATATTGAAACAAGCTGTAATTTGTCAATTTGTTTGTTAACACGAAGCTTTGCACAAAATTGGAAAGTCTTCAGGCTACGGCTGGAGGCAGCTAAGACTCGTGAACACACGACAAAGTCACCCACCTACAGATCTATCCCATTCCCAAACATGTATGCGAGTTGTCGTTTGTTCGACGTCATAAGTGGAACCTGGAATAAAAGATGAAACTTTAATGAATTGACTTAAGCTGTCTGCCCCTGACTACATAAATGAGCTCAAAGCAAGTTCAAAAATCGAACTATAATGACTCGCATCAAATCAAATAGTGCAAACTTTATGTATCTTTTGAAAGGTTGAGGTAAGAGTCTAACTTCTAGAGTTCTTACGACTTAATGATGCTAACACACTTAGCAAAGAGTGCATCAGAGTCATTTGAGAAGCAAGAAGCTGAGAAATCAATTCACTATAGCCTTTCACACAATCCACTCCTCCACATACCTTGTACTCCTCGTGGCTTCAGAACGACGAACTCATATCCGCTTGGTGATTGAATCAGTCCACCGTCTAGTCCTCGCCCGCGCAGTGCTGCCTTCAGGACATTTGTTTCCGGGCACACATCATGGAAGAAGTAACTAAACAAAAAACTTTAGCAATAGCAATTGAACAACTTAAAAGTTATAAGGTTTATTGGAAGTTATCTAGCTAAAAATGTACAAAAACAATTTTACCAAGCATCTCAACTTTACTTGGAAGCTTTAGCGATGCAGCACGTTAGCCAAAAACTCAAACATTCTGAAGCTTGCCTCATCTTCTACTAACGCCACATACCGTTTGATAAAAACCGCGTAAACAGCTAATAGACTTTAGTGACGTTTTCACGATTGTTTTCTCAAAATTCCACACCCAAACACACCAAGTCAGCTCACCTTTGCACGGCAGCCGGTCCCGTATAATCCATCGAGCAGGGTATTGAGTGAATTTCCTTAGAATTCCCATCTTTCGCTATCGTTGAGGTCGTCGAAGCGATTGGCTCGATTGCGCTCATTTTACCTGGAATCAAAACATTAATCGACGTTTAGGATAAAGAAATTAAGTCGAAAAAAGTATAAAAAGTATAAAAAGTAATAAAGTAGTGTTCGAGTGTCCCCCTCTCTGAATTTTCAGTTTTTAGCGCCCCTTTCTAGAAAACTAGTAGATGTGTCTGGGAGTTCAAAATACCATTCGATAGCAAATTTTTTTTTGCATCTTTTGAAGCCTAAGCAATTGCGAATGGCTTATTGTGTGGCGAGAAAATCTACAAAGTGTAAAGGGGTAGAGAGTACTTCTCGTAAAGTGTTCCCCTAGATTTCCGTTGAAATATGCTGGGATTCCTTCGAGCAATCTATTCTCCAAATAAAAATAGTGAAACTAAAGTTGAATGCGCATATTTTACAAAAAATAAAGTAATTCAAAAGGCTAAAATGTGGCCGAGATATGAGGGTGAGAAGAAAAAAAGGGGACACTTTTCGAAAGTGTTCCCCCTTTTTTCTCTTCCCCTTTACACTTTGTAGATTTTCGCATTCGCAATGACCTCTACTTCAAAAGATGCGAAAAAAAAGAAATTTGCTATCAAATGGTATTTTGAACTCCCAGAACCATCCATCTTTGAGAAATGGGCTAAAAACTGAAAATTCAGAGAGGGGGACACTCGAAAACTATATAATAAAGTGAAAAATGAGAACAATTGAGGAATGGGAAGAGTTTTTTTGAAGGGGATTTAACGAATTTGGGAACATAAATGGCTAGATTTCAAAGTGAAAACAGTTGGAAAATAATCAATTTTATAAAAAAGTAAGCTTTCCGGCATAGAATTGGTCCGTAGAAGTGTAAAATTCGTAAACCCGTAAGAAAGAGCGTTCAAAATGCGATTTTGGGCAGAATGATGACAGAATGATGACAAAATGACAACAAATTGATCAATTCCAACAGAACCGGGTCGTAATTTAGGGAAAAATAATGAGGGAAACAGCTTGAGGATTGGACTGGCGAGACGTTTCGACCCTCTCATTTTGCACTTGCATAGTCTGCCAGCCTCGCCAGTCCAAACAACCCTTATATAGCAAGTTTCTTGAACAAAAAGATATTCAGTTGATTAGTTGAATATTTTAGAATGGAATTTTGCGAATATTTAACAATTTTTTCGACCTCAATATTTTAATAAAGTTTGGTGAGCTGTTTTTATTTAAAAATTGTTTAATCACATAGCGATTCAGCTAGGAGTACGGTGAAATGAGTATAAAGCGATTGCTGTATAGCTTTAGCTTTGTGGGAAAACCTTAATTGTGTAATTTCTCCATAAAATTGAAGATATTCAGCTAAATCCGGAAAGAGCTACGGTAGAATGGACACTTTTTCGAAAGCCCGTTGATCAGCTTCTCTCAAAATATTCTCCAAATTAAATAGCAATGGCTCGTCGACATTCCAATCGTACTGAAGCCCGCGAAAGCGATCTGGAATCGACGAGGACAAGCGACAGGGAAAAGAATTCGGGTCGAGAGGGTCGATGAGAAGCTGCAGAACCTGGAAGCTGGCTTGTTAAAGTTTCGTGCAAATTGGAAAACGGTTACGGTAGGAAAAGGGGCACATTTTGGGTCCCTGTTTCCTATTTGCCAAAATAATTTTTCCACGAACCTCTCCAGTTTCTTTGACGATGAGTGTTGCGGCGATTGCATTCGTCTCCTCGTCGTCCAAGTCGAATCTGGAAGAGAATTCGAGTTAGTATAGGTGTAGGATTACTATATAGGAAACAGCCCTAAAACGTTCCCTTTCTACTGTAACCGTTTTCCATTTTTGCACTAGCAGCCATCTTCCCCGGCTCTTTTCCCGAACCAGATTCTGGCCTTATTTCTTTAGAATTTAGGCAGCTAGAAGCCATCTCCAAGACTTTTTGTGGATTAAGCCTGAAGTAAAGCCAACCTGGACTATACCAGAAGTCAGGCTGGTTTACTGTGATTCTGGTTCAGAAAAAGTCCTTGTGTTCACCAAAAGTCAAGCCTGGAACCGGTTACAGCCCAGGCTTGCCATTGTGAGCTAGGTTCCTGCAAAAAACAGTAAACCAAGTGTCAGGATTAGGCTAGATCGTGCTAGACAAAGCTAGGTCTCGGCTGGACTGAATTCACTGCAGGTCTGACCCGAAAAAGGCCTGGACCTGGCTTAAAAGCCGATCAACCCTGACCACTTACTCCTTTAGTTCAAAGTCGAATCCATCGCAAGCTTGCAGGGAGTTGACGACAAAATCGATCCGTTTCACGTAATCGGCGAAAGATTCGAGGAGTGAAGACAAGGAATGTTCTGAAATTTCATGTGAGATTATCTGATTATTTAGGATTTCAAGGCTTCCCAGGGGCACTAGATAATGCAATGGATCAATGCTTAAAATTTATAAAAAAACCAACCAAAGTACGATAGCTTTTTGCTCTCGCGCATCTCTTAGAGAATAATATGAATTCAGCTTTTTCGACCTTTTAGAAAATAATCCCAAGCTTAAATTTAAAAAGTCGGGGTACAGTTACTTTTTCACTTTATGGAAAATGCTTGATCAAACGAAAACCCACCCATATCCGGCCAATTAAAGTCGAAGCCCGCCTGAAAATCACAGGAAATCTCTGGCGGAGTTGTGGGAAAATCGTCGGTCGGCAAAATTTCGATCGAATATCGCTTATTCGTTGGGCAAATCGAGGCAATCAGGTGGTGATCGTCGATTTCGTCAAGGGAAATCGATCTATTTTGCCTCAATTTGCTAACCGCCGCCAACCAGCGCCAATCACTGTCGGCACACACGCGCTCGGCACTGGAAATCGATTAGTTAATTTACCCGACAACGTTTTTTGATCGCCTAACATGCTTTATGCTGTGATGGTGAAAAAAAGGTCTTAATTACCGTTTTGCTCGCAAAACGTACCGAAGGATCGTTTCCAAATGCTTTTCCACGCCATCCCCGTTCGTTGATTCGAAGAAATAGTCCCACGGTGAAGCATTCATCGAGACAAAGCTGAAATTCTTTGGTTCAGTATTAATCAGTGTCAAATCTCATGAATATTTGCCAAAACGGTCATCAAAGGATTTCACTAGCCTAGTTTCAAGTTTCAAAAAAGAAAACTACAAGTTTCCTTAGCAAAATCGCTTCGTTCGGGCCGGTTAAATTATCCAAATCAGCTTTGGAATGAATGTCGAAAATCGCAAAACAAACAAATAAATTTCTAGATCAAAAACTCGTAAAGCAACGATTTCTTTCACAAAACTCAAATCTTTTAAAGTAAACTTTATTTGATAACAATAAAAGTAACAAAAACAACAAAAATGTAACAATAGCAATAACAAATAACAATTTGACATAAAAAAAAACATCAATCTATAGATCTATATGATAATTTTGTTGAGATTCTTAAAACCGACGCCAACTCCGGTGAGAAGAGCCTATAAAAAAGGATGAAATCGAGTGAAACGGCTATTTTTAAAATGGTAAAACTTTAGATCCATTTAAATATTAAGTTTTTAAGGGAATAGCGAAAAATACCCGAATTTTTGTTTGGTTTTGTTGAAAATACAACTTCAAAACTCTAAACTACATTTGTCTCTACTTTTGACAGCACTTACATCTTGTAATATAATTTAGATAACAATTTCTACCTTATGCGGATCCCCGATTCTCATATCTGCCTCAAGCGCTTTTTTGCCCGCATCCAGTGCGGCAAAGTCGTCGATTTTAAACGTGGTCAAGAAGAATTGTTGCAAGTGGCGAAGTGAATGAATTCTGAAAATGAAAAATTATATTCTAATGCACTGAGACTTTGAAAAACTTTAGCAACAAAGGATTCCTCCTATTATAATGAACTTCATGATTGGCACTAGTTGTCCGTGCAAAAAAAGCTACTTTACACGATTCACAATAAGTCTAAATCACTTACGTATAGGTTGAGAGCGGTCCCATGAGGAATTTGCTTACATCTTTCTCGCCTAACGCCATAAAAGTCGAGGCGAGCACCTGGGATGACGAATCGCAACAACCGCCCTGAATTTGGAAATATTCAGCTGATGATCAAAAATGGATTTACCCTTGCGATCTCCTCCAGAAGCGCCACCCCGGCGGCCGTTCCGACATCTTCGGGCACAATAGGATCGCCGTTTTCGCCTTTCGGCCGGGAAATCGCCTCAGCTGTGTAGAAAACACCTTCCGTTGTTTCGGCGTAGAGAAAAAGACCGTAGCCCGGGGAACTAAACGTGAAATTTTTAAAACTGTAAAAATTAATTATTTTGGTTTACCATGGCTATTCATTGTCTTGAAAAACTGACTAGATTTAAGGAAAAACACGATAAAGTGCTCATTGAAAAATGTTTTAGCTCTAGAACTTATGATCAGGGATGTTCTAACTGGGTCTGTTGTAAATCCGACAAGAGCCCGACCAGAAGCTAAGTCTAAAGCTGCAGCTGCAGTAAAGTTAAGTGAGGCCAGAAGCCAGGTCAGCCTTGCCCTTGATTTTGGAACAGCCCTGATTCTTTACCAGCTGATACAGGTGTTGCAAGTCTGATCCTTTCAGCGTAAGCTCCATTCAACTGTTATCCACTTTGCTTCACCCACTTTCCACCGGCGTCGCCTTTTCGTTGATCAACAGTGATATAAACGTCGGAGATGTAATCGCGCAGCGTTTTCTTGGCCGCATCAATGGCCCGATGAGCGAGCGAGGGAGACACCTAAAATTAAAGGTTCATCATTCTTCAACGATATTGGCTAAATTACCCACTTTTGTCACGAAAGCTTGTCCGCGAATCTTGCACACTTTTCCCGGCTTTTCTCTCTGAAAAAAAAGTTTTATACCTATCAAGAATGAGCAATTAACGCTTATAAGTAGATTTTCTCAAGTCAATTCTGAAACTTACAATGAGTGGTCGCAAATTCCGCACAACAGGCGCCGAAAAGATCACCACCCCGCCACCACCCGGCTTTAAACCGCGTCGTTCAATCTAAAAAAAGAGAAAGTTTTAAAACATCTCTCCCACGAAGCTGTTTAAAGATTTAAGACTTTAAGCAATTAAAATCATTGCTTAATCTTGATTCGTACTAAACTCTACAAAGCACTTATGCTTCAGCAGTTCAAAATAAACCTTTTACCTTTAAATCCAGCGCCTCGTCGTTTAAAATGAAACGATTGTAGACGTTCAGCCATCCAGTTTTGATTTGGTCAACGGAGAGCTCGTTCGGGGCATTTGTCACCTGAACTGTCACAATTTGTTCAGTTTGTATGGAAAATAAGATGAATTTTAAGCAAAAACGTCAATTCGTTAATTGAAAACGTGGAAAAACCCTTAAATCGCTAAAATTCTTAATAAATATGCTGGATTTGTCAAGGATCTGATAGATTTTACGTGGACTAGAAGCTAATAAGAGGTGCAAACATGTAAAAACTATCAATTTTTGCATAGTTCGATTAGAATTTGCTCAAACTACGCTAGCTTTTAAAAAAATGCTATTCAATTGATTGAATTATTCAAAAAAAACTTCACTAACACTCAATGAAACTTCTAATAAGCCAAGTTGATAGGTCAAAAAATTGTCTGAAACTTACCCCCAATAACTTTATCCGCATTGCTTGTTTGCAGAATGGTGAGATGAGTATCAACGGCTCGAGGAAATAGCTCAAACAACGATCATTTCCGCAATTCAACGTCACACATCCACCAGTGATCATCCCAGGTCGAAGGGTGACCCTTGTGCCTGAAAAAGAGAGAAGTTGTAATGTTAAACTGAAGCTTGTCGTAGAAATTTGGATTTTGGATAATTACACGAAAAACTTGATAACTTTCGTACCTGTACTGTTGATTTCGATCTTTGTCCCATTAGTGATCTTTTCGATGAGCGAGAGAAGTTTCGATTCACAGTCTAAAGAAGAAAAATTAGACTACTAGATCGAAAATTTTTCTGCCACTGACTAATTGCCAAATATTTTTCGCAATTGCTAGCAGTTCCAGACAATTATTTGACTCGGATACGTTTTGCGCAAACAAGAGACTAAGGTTTTTTGGCTTTTGCAATTTTAAGGGTTAAGATAAAGGAATTTGCCATGTTTCCGCAGTTCAAAAGTAGATAAAGGAGCGTTTAAACTTGATTTTAAAAAAGTCAGGATTGATCAAATTCGGCTTGGTCTTGCACATTGACTCGAGGAACTGCTCTCGAGCACCACTGTACGGAAAATGTATCACCTACCTCGTATCCCGGGGTTATCCTCGTCTTCGCGAATCGCCGAGACGACAATCGGTCGCCCACTCAGCACCGCGTAGCAGACACGCAAACGAAAGAAATTCGGTCCCTCAAATGGCAATTCCTCGGCGACATTGTTGGGAGCATTGGCACGAGGCATCTCCCTAAAAATGAATAAATTGTTAGGTGTTAAAGTTCTTAAGACGAAGGAAACTTCAAAAATCGGATGCAAGAAGGAAAAAACATGACTTGAAAAGAGAACTTTACTAAATTTCACTTAGAAAAACGTCATTAGCGATGGAAACGGAAAGCTGCGTAGTTGCTGCCAAACTGCCAACGTCTTCTAAAACTTTTGCGCGGTTAAAGATATTCAGCTAATGAGCCAAATAGCCACTAGAAAAATAATAGTATAAATAAAAGATGCAAAGCAAAGAAATTGTGCAAAATGTCATTCTTTCAAACTAAAGCTAAAGCTTTCAAGCGATCTAAGGCATCTAAGGCCTTTTAGCGATCTAAGGCAAAAATGCAGCATTTCCCCTCCGATTTCATGTAGTATTAGGGTCTAGCGCGGGTTAAAAAAACGAAACCCTCCACAGTGCTCCTGTGCACATCGGTAAATCTCCAAGGAAAAGCGCAAATTAGGCGATGGGGTAGGGTTGGTTTGAAAAATTCAACAAGCCGTAATGCAAAATTCGCTGTGTTTGACTAGTTTTTGATAAGTTTTTTTTGATGTTTTACGTTCTCGAATGCGCAAAAACGTAGCTAAACGCGAGGTTACGTTTGGTTTTCAGAGCTTTGTCAAAATTTTGTTAGAAATTAGATAAAGTTTCTTGCGCTAGCATTTCGAAAAGCTTCCACCCATCGATGTTTGAGCGATTTTATTGAAAAAAAAACTTTGCGTTTTCTTTCTTCATTTCAATGAATTTGTCACAAATTTTCTCATTTTTCTAGATGAGCGACATCGACTATCCGCAAGGATGCGGACCGATCTTGCCCGAAATGAAAGACAGCGAATTGCTGAAGAAACTAAAGGTTTGGATTTGATTTTTACAGCGTTAACGTGATAAAACTTGAAATTTGATGATAATGACAAGAAAATTACGATGTTTTCATTTTTAAACATTTTTAAAAATGGGTAAAACCGGTTGTGACTCAACGCTTTTCACCCTTACGCTCTTTTGCCTTTTTAACACTTTCGTCCTGCGTTTTCTTCATTTCTTCAAGAGTTTCTTCATTTCGTTTTCTTCAAGAGTCTCTCTGATATCAGTTAGGTATTTGAAAAACGGAGCAAGGAACAATGCCGAACAATAAAATTACTAAAACTTGAAAGACAATGGAAACGTTTGCAACTCTTAGTGTTCGTTTTAAGTTAAAATGCAATAGTCTTACATCGACACGTAAATATAGTCTTTTCAATATCTTTTTTCAGGTTATGGTCGATACTTTTGCAAAGATCGACACAGGAAAAGGAACGACCACGCACTTTCGATCGCTTGCTTTGCATTTGATTCAAGACGGCTTTCTCAACAACAATAATCGGGAGATACAGGTGAGGAATTGGAAATTAGTGAACTACCTTAGAGACAAATTGTTGAGTTAAAACCTAAAACCTGTGAAATGTCTATCTCTTTCTTTTAGATCTATTTGGCTAACGTGTTGGCTGAAATTTTCCGCATCAACTCGCCGAACAATCCATATTTTCGACCTGATGACATTGAGGTTAAAAGGAAATCGATTCGGCTTTCAATTTCTTTTGTTTAGAAAGCGCTCTCGTTTATGGTCAACGGCTTGCGCGGACTTGAGAATCCCGATTCGACAATGTATCGACGGCATGTTTACTTATTGGAGGTGAAGTTTCCCCACAGTCATACCAGAACTTAATATGCTTTTTAGAATCTTCTTGCTATGGACACACTACGTGTGATTGCTGAATTGCCGGAAGATCCACAACAACGGACTCTTCGACATGTGCTGAAGACAAGCTTTGAAGTGGCCGCTAAAATGAAGGTGTGCTTTTGAAGCAGTGAAATCGGGATTGGATTAGACATCCACAATTGTTGATTTTGATTCTTTTGTACGCGAACTATTCCAATTTTTTCTTCGGAGTCCGAATTTCCGCTCTTGTCAAACAATGTCCAAAATGAGAAAAACTAATTGCATTGTTTTTAGAACACAAGGAAGGAATCACCGGATGAGAATGAAGAAGAAATGAAAGAGGAAAATTCGGATATCGATGGTGAATTGCCTGATGAGCAAGATGAAACACAAAGGGTAAATAAAAGAAAGATTATTTTAGGGCCTAAAAAACTGAAACAGTTCAATTCAAAATTTTTTTTATACGAATAAGGAGGCTTTTCAATAAACCATGTTAAAAGTAGAATTTAGTCAACGAGTTTCATGTACACAATACGGCGAATAAATTTAACAGGAATATTCAAATGGGAGAAAACTTATTGTAAATTGTGATATAAAGACTATGTTCTTTTAGATTCTCGGAATCTTCATTCGTCTACTTTCAAATGCCCTCGCGGAAGTACCATTCATTTCTGATAAAGCGATGGATGTCCTTTTCTTCTACTTGATCGGCCCTCAAAGGGTATTTGCTCACTTTCCGGTTGTTCAATTTTAAAGTTTTAGCTCAACTATCCACTGGCATATCAGCTATCGAAGAAAGTCGTCATCATCTCGGCGACGGCTCTTGAATCTCCATTTCAGACAGTGAGTTTAGTAAGATGATGGTTAGACTTGAGTGCTAGTGAACAGATAATATAAACATCAAACGAATAATATTAACCCGAGTAGATTGACGTCTTCCTAGTCATCAAATGAACAATATTAATCTAGATGTGTACACAAGCTGGCGCACTGGATCGTTTGCCTGATGACTTTGAATTGGTTGGCACGAAGTTGGCAAAGCTTTTTGAGGTATTTTATTCAAATTCTACATGATTAGCAATCAGTTTTTAGATAATTTGTGAGCTCTACGACATTTCGAGCAAACTGGTCTACCCAGTTCTTTCACTGTTTATGCGATATCTAATGGTCAGTTTTTTTCTCTCATTGGATAGTTAGGAAGCATCCTCATAAAAGTATTTAATCAACATTCTTCATTTTAGTCGGATGATTACGATGCGCGCTATAAAGCGGTCAAATTAATCGGTGTTCTTGCCGTCAACGACAAAGGAAATCTTGCTGAGGAACGCGTCGAGCTATGGAATCAGTACTTGAAGAGGCATTTTGTGCTCTTTCACCTTAAAGTGTTTTCATTTCTAGATACACGGACATTAGCCCGACGATTCGATCACTTTGTGCCACACAAGGCGGCGCGATTCTTCTCAAACATCCCGCACAAAGAGGAGTCATTTCAAGTACGTGAAAGGATTTCAAGAATTGTGCTTGTGAATCTGGCAAATATTAGGCCGCTTCTAGCAAATTTGCCTTACGCATTCACAATTCATCATTCATTCTGATGCACGAGTACTCTAAATCAAAGGGTAAATTGACCTTAGGCTGAAAATACTGACTCAGTCGTTAAGTTCATTTTGGGCTGAAGCTGAGAAGCTTGCAAAGTTCACATTATGGGATTACAAAGACTACATATTTGTAATGTTCTCATTTTAGAGTTACTCACTCGTTTGTTGACTGATGAAGACGAGAATGTGCGAATTGCGGCCGTTTCAAGCACCGCTCAAGCAGCAAAAAAGAAAATCGAATCGGTGTCGGATGACCTGATTAATGCAGCAGCTGGACGAATTCTTGACAAAAAGGTGAGGAATCGGAGAATGTTGATGGAAGAATGATAAGCTAAATATCTCATTTAGGCAAAAGTACGCGATGAGGCGATCAGGCAACTGGTGCAAGTGCATGCAAAGCTTTACAAGGAAGATAGGTGAAGCACTAGTTCTTGGAGCAAATTCAAAGTTTATTCTTTAGATACTCACAAAGCGATCGACTGAGTGTTGCGATCATTGCGCAGAAGATTTTTCACATCTACTCGATTGAGGACATGAGGGACGAGAGGTAAATGGGGGTTATTGCAAGCACTGAAAGCCGGTTAACTGGATCCTATTCAGGAAATCACACTTTTGAATCAATTCACATCCATTTAATCAAACATTAATTAACAAAGCTTTGGAAGCACATGACAATTTTTTCAGATTGCTCATCGAGAAGTTATTCGTTGGATCAATTGTCCCATATCGTCTGTCACCCGAACGACGTGTTTCCACCGTTGTTCATGTTTACTCGAATTTGCCGCCCTATGAAGCGGAGTGAGTCTAACTTTATTATTGACCTTACTAAAGTCTCATTTAGGTATTTTGCTCTCCTACTCAGCACGCAGGCCAAGTATCGTCGCGCCATACTCGATATTCTACTACTTGCGGCTCAAAGTAACAAATCGGAGGTAGGCTTTCTTGCTTTGCTTTGTTTACGAGATCAAATTTTTTAGAGTCCTGAAACGCTGCGCAACGAGATTGAGAAACGAATTGCGCTTACTTGTCACGGACAGAATTCACAAGCAAAGGTAAGAGTGAAAGTGGAGCAGAGAAATGTAAAATCAATGACTGCGATGCCTCATGCAAGTTAAAACCTGAAAATATTCAGTTGAGGTTTAAGAAGCTTAATTGAGGGGAAACGGGTCTGCTCCACTTTTTAGGAGATATTAGCTTTAGGTCTAGACGACTCGTTCTTACCCAAAACAGAGGATGAAACTTGAATAAAGCGCATCTTTTAGTATATGAATGCACTTCGACAATTCACCAATTTCATCTCCAAGGATCAGCATGCTTTTGAGTTGGTCGAGTACATGGTTCGACCCGGCTACACCTGTGAACAAGTGGAAGAGAATACGGTAAGCTTTAAAACATCAAGAGCATCAAGCAATGTGTTTCATTTTAGAAAGAATTCCTTGTTCGTGCCGCTGCGAAACAAGCTGGTGAACGGGCGTTGACTGAAGAAGCGGTGGCGATCGTCAAAGCTCTCTTTGAACGCTCGATGCCTTTGCAATTCGACTCGGCAACAGCTAAGGTATGAAATAAGGAGGCATTAGATATTTGACGTCTAATTGGTCTTCTATGAAAGACTAATCTTGTCACTTACAAATTAGCATTTATTTAGGAGTTGTGTTCATACGTTCACCAACAAGTTCGCCTGGCCGAGTGCAGTGACCAAATTCTCTCCGAAAAACTTCCACCATTGCTTCAGTTATGGAAAGTACGTGTCGATTTGAAGTGAATAGCAATGTCGATCGTTTAGTTATATGCTCAACATTATGCGCACTGCTTTGCGGCCGAATCGGTGGCCCCGTTGATATTGGATGTGGCGAGAAGAGTGCACTGTCCGCCAGCAGGTACGGGCAAAAGACAATTCGTGTAATTGGTGATTTTAGTTGAGGCGGCAATGCACGTCCTGCAAAGCACGTGCAATCAAAATTCGGTGAAAGTCGGCGAGCAGAGTTGGTGTCAAGAGTGAGTGCTTTTGCTTTTTTGTGCACTTGATTAATTTTCTCTTTTTAGTGCTGTCAATGTGTGCACCGAGATCACTCGCAATGGAGCTGGACGAGCTGCAAAAAGAGCCGTTCTCTGCATTTGTCGCCTGTTGGGACAGGAGAATGCACGGGATGTCGTCCTTGATATTGCAAATGTGAGTAAAAATAGCGCTAAATTAATCCCATCTTTGGAAACGATGACTGTTTTTGCATTAAAAGAAAAATTGTGATCTCTGTTTTAGTTGAAAATTTTCTCTTTGATCTTCATTTTTTCATTTAGTCAGCTCTCACTCATCTCTCAATCGCCGATCCGCTATGTGTGACCGCACTACAGACGTTGGGTCGAACAGTTCAAGCGTATCCAAATGAAATGCGCGAAGTGCTGCGGGAGAAAATTCGAGTGGATATTGTGCAAGATGTGAGTCCTTTGAAATACTAGTAAGCCTAGTAGAGATTCGCTAAAATTTCATCAATCCTCGCAAGTTTAGGTTCTTCTAACGGAAGTCAGCGAAGATGACGAGAATCCGGAGGCAGAACTCGTCTTCGACAAATGCCCACCACTCATTCAGCGCAAGATCTCAGCGATCAAATATTTGGTAACACCAGTTTTCAGCAAGTTTATTTCTTTTGAAGGTCCGTTTCCTGCTCTTCACTCAAAATGATGATTACGATAAACCGCTCGTCACGAAAGTCGTTAATTGTCTGGTCACTTTCCTTGAGCATCAAGGCGATCTGCATATGAGTAACACAAGGTCGGTTTATTGGAAGTCATTTTTGATCCGAATAAATCGAAACAAAAAGAGCGTATAAATTGTTCTGTTTTTGGGTTATATTTATGCGATTCTGTAATGGATTTTTGTTCTAATTGCCTGATTCTTCCGTTTTATTAATTCAAAGCCTTTATTAAACTTAAACTTGTTAAACTTATAATATTGTCATATTTTAGTTCACTGGAACAGGCGTGGTCGCGTGCTATCGCTGGATCGGGTCTACTGCGTTTATGCTACTCGGACAAATATGGCAGACAAATTCCGGTGTCGGGACTTCACCTGGTGGCTCGGCTCTTGTTGGTGAGTTTTGTTAGGCAAATAGTAAAGTTCCGGTGCTTTTTTGGGTTTAAGTTTGTTGTGAAATCGCACCGAGATTCCCACCGATTAACGGTAACAGCCACAAAGCAATTGAGAAGTTTAACAAATGTACAAAGCTTAAGCAAAAGTCCTATTAATCTTCACACAAGCTCAATAATCCTCCGAAAATTTAGGATAAAGATTCGTGCGTTCGCTACTACATTGCCCGAAAAATCAAGAAAGCTATCTTCCGACGAGCTCTCGGCGTCGAATTCATTGGCATGTACATAGTGACACCGTTGGTTTCCGATGATGAACGAGTAAAACAAATGTGAGGGGTTTATGCAATCATTGGCAGACCTACAAGATTTTGTAGTTCTTGCTTTGTTAAGCTAATCTTGATCAAATAATGAAGATAGTACATGATGCTGCATAGCCTAGATAAAAACATGTTGGGTACTTTGGTTACGCTCTGTTACAATTTTTATTTCAGCTATGAGAAAGCGGTTCAAGGCAAATTGGATGCATGCCTTTACTACTACAAACAGTTATCACTTCAGAAGATTGTTCAAGGTATGGTCAATGTTTCGAGCTTTTTTAAATTATCATTTTCAGATAAACTCTCGTTTTTTCAACCGGAATTGAGTTTGCCATACGCGATTCATTTCCTTTCCCACTCCGGCTACTTCAACAACACTGAATCATTAGAAAATTTAGAGGAGATGATCCGGTGAGGGTTTGGATGAATTATTAAATTGGAGAGATTGTGGCGGTGTCGGACTTTACAGTATCTTCGAAGTCTGATGCAATATTATTCGTTTTGTACCTTTAGCTGCCTATCTTTTCTCATCGATAGTTTCTTCCGGCCAAATCAGAAATACGATCTCGATTTGGCGCTGGGCTTGTTACAAGTGAGAAAACGCACGTTTATAAATAACTACTCGGCTTTAGTCGGTGAAAGATTCGGTCGACGCGTCGCATGTGCTTCATTCCGATGCCGACAAAGCTAAACCGGATGCACCCACGAAGCTACAACAAATTGAGAGCCGGGTGAGTGTTTTGGAAGAGTTAACGGCGAATCGAGTTATCAGCGTGCTTTAAATTTGCAAGCACCGTTGTCAACGTGGCTATAATTGTATGGGAGTACATTTTAACAATCATATTATACTTTTTTATTGCAGAAGATGTGGATTCTGGCAGATTTCTCGATGGCAATGCTTGCGGCAAAATCAAAGCAACAACTCTCAGCTCGTCCTCATTGTTTGAAACTTTCGAAGCGCTACTTTCGTCCGCATGAACAAAATGACAACGTGAGTTTCTTATGAGAGACGTGGTTAGATTATTGTCTCCATACTAAAAGTTGCTTTTAGCTATGGGCTCCGGCTCAACTCGTCGAACAACTTCGCACTGGTAAATGGAAGCGCGGTCGCAAGGGAAAAGGACAAAATGGATCATCACTTCAATCGGACAGAACTAGCAAGTATGGGGTTTTGAGAGGAGATATACACTAGACCCTCGATTGAATGCTTCGCACGGGATTCGTAATATGGCACTTATGTGGATTTCAGGATGAATGGCACAAAAAGAGGAGGCAAAAAGCGCAAGGCACCCAAATCAGAAGAGGAATCTTCTGAAGAAGAAGAAGAGAATAATGAAGATTTGGCGGACCAATTTGGGGTTGGTTTTAGAGGTTCAAGAAAATAATTGAAGCACGAAGTCTACCAATTATAAAGTGTAGCAAGATTATAATATTTTTAGAGTACTTCCCTGAACAACATTGTGCCGAGAGGAGTCGTCGCGCCATCGCCGATTCAGCCAAGAACCAACACAAAACCTGCTCGTACCACGAGAGATTCAAAAACCGCCGAATTCTTCAGTTCAACTCCGCTGATTCCAAAAGTTGTGGGTTTATTAAAGTTGTTTATTGGTCTGATATTGTTTTAGAAGAGAAACTCTCGAAAAGCACCCAAAATGGAAGTGGACGAGGAAAATGAGATTAGTGAAGAAGATGCAGAGAAAGAGCAACCATCGACATCAAAAGAAATGCCAACAATGGCAAAGATGCGTGCGAAGAAAAATGTGAAGAGGTTGTGAGTTTGTTAAAGTTAAAAAGCATGAGATCTAAGCATAGATTTAATGAGATTTATGAATAGTTTGGAAATGTTTCAATTGGCAAAGAATGTATGGATTACTGTTACATAAAATAAAGAATAAATTCTTTTTTCAGTCCCTCAATGTCGCCGGTGAAACCCTCAAAGAATACTGCTGTCATCGCAGAAGAGACGGTGGAAAGAAGGGGGAGAGGAAGACCAAAAAAAGAAGAGGCCAAGAATGATGATGATGATGATGATGATAAGAAAAAGTTGAAGACGAGAGTGAAAGAAATGCCGAAGAAGACGACAAAGATTGAGAAGGGACGAGAGAGGAAAGGAAATGAGGAGAAAGGCGCTGAGGAAACGATCAGGAGAAGGTTGGGGTTCAGGGTGTCGGTGATTATGGGACAAGCAACGGGAGTATTCCAGTTTGAAAACAGCGTGCCAATGGGGGAATGGTTTAAGTGCAAGTGACAGAAATAGGCAGTAAGAAAGCTGAGTAAACTAAAGATTAGCCAGCAGGGAATGATGATTTCAGGGATTTTCTAGGCCTAGGAATAGCTTGAAGTAAGGGTACTTTCAGCAAAACTAAAATAGGATTACGGTAGCTTTAGTTTTCCTTTCAACTTAAACTCAAACTTTCATTTCAGCTCTCGAATCTCAACTGGCGTCACTTCTATTGTCACTCCAAGATCTTCTTCAGCATCAACGAAAGATTCATCACCAAAGAAAGGAAAAAAGCGACGCTAACTTGCGTATTCTGCATTTCTATTGTATTAGTGTTACCAATAAAATTTGAAGTTTGATGATGGATGCTCAGTGATCAAAAGAAAAAAATGCGTTAGTGCGTATGCGTATATCTAAGATCGTATATCTAAAATGCGTATATCTAAGATCTTAGTAGCAAATTTTGAAAATTCTTGAAATATAGGTTGGGCTATTCTAAAACGGATGTCGGATATTGGAACCGATTCAAAAGCGGACATCCTATTCTGAAACAGACGTCCGATATTGAATAGATTCAATAACGAGATTAGAAATTAGAAAACAACAAAGATAAAAACAAAGGTTGTATAATGCCACCCTAATACGCCGTTTCGCGCGTCTTTCTCTTTCTTTCGCACGGCTTTTCGACACTCCGCCTCTGCTAGGGCACCGGTTTGCACCGAGAAAAGAGAAATCTCGATTTGGCACGAAGTCTTGGTGCTGATGACACCGAGTCGGCTGGGGGCGGGTTTGCTTGAAAATTTCCGCACAAAACAGTCCATTTACAAAACGAAACGCTAATCTGGAGCGCACTTGAGCATTAGAAAAAGAGAAAACTCAATTCTGAAACGATTTGCGAAAGTCTCAATACCCTGGCGCTAAGAATTGGTAGTTTCTGCAAGTCTTTTGGGACACCTTTTTTGGGGAAACGGATTAGCCGAGAGTGGGGCACACGTTAAGTTTAAAATGTGCTGAAAAATTTTACAGTATTAGAGTCGTTTTAAAGAAAAAGGGCACTTTTTAGAAAAGAGTGCCATTTAAGGGATCCGATAAGTTTGCACCAATTTTTAAAAATCCACAAAAAGCTCTGCCATTTGCTGACGTCAAAATCTTATTAGCGATTTCTGCCTGGAAGTTAAATCATTGACTGAAAATTGACTGAAAAATTTTCAAAAGAAAAGCCTTCCTTCTTATTTCGTTTGATCGTCGAGAGGATTTTTGGGGGTAAATCAAATTTCTTTCAAGTTTCATCGTTTTCGGGGAAATCGTTTTCGTTTGTTCGATTAGTTGCCAAGAAATTGAGTTGGATTTTCAGAGAGAATCGAAAAAAGAATCGAAGAGATTTCCCGAAATTTGACGAAAAGAAAGAAGGAAACTCGATTTTTGAAAAAATTCTACCGAGAAAATTCTTGGATTCTTGGTTTTTTTTTGAAATTTTCTCGAATCGAGCATTTCTTTTCACCAAACGCCATGCTGACATCCAGCATTTATCGCAATTATAACGATTTTTAAGAATTCCAAATTTTTCCCTACTTTTCTCCATCGAACTCTTTCGACTTCAAAAAATGACTTTCTTGAAATTGTCGAAAATGCGTTTCCGTTTTTGTCAATCTCTTTCCTGACATCCAGAACTGGGTTTAGTTGAGGAAAATCGGGTTGGAAGCAAGCTGGCTTGGCTGATCGGCCGGCGTTCAGCTTCAAGCCATTGCCTGAAGGCTTCAGGCCATCTGGATCCGGATGCACGATCTCTACGAAAGCATTCAAAGAACAAAGAGCACTACGCGACACTACTAAACGCCTACGCAACAGTGCTATGGACTGTCGATTGTTTGTTCGTTCTTTGTATGTTTTTGTAGAATCCGGAAATCCCTGAGCTCAACGTCCGTCGGCGGCAACATCAAAAAAAATCCATCAAAGCAACCCCTCTAAAAACTTTTCCGATTTGTCAAGTGCGCTCCAGGATTATGTTTAGTGGTGAAATTTCCGCAAAATTCACTAAATATCTTGATGTTTTGTGGGCGAAATCGCAAACAACCAAAAAATTTTTCATTTCAAAAAATCCCCAAAAACTCCCGCCCGAAAACCCCCGGTGACATCCAGGATTCCCTTTGGTGCGAGAATTACGCGAGGATCCCCTTGAAAATCCTCGCAAATTCAACGCAACTCATTTGCGCATACGGTGTCGCCGAAGGAGGGGATTATTGAGAAATGAAAAACGGAAAGAAAATTGAAAAACTCCCTCTCGATGAACTCATTACTTTTTTTTTCGAAAAACGACCATTTCCAAAGATTTCCAATCATTTTTCCAATAACAAAATTTCATTTTTTTAAATTTTTCACAAGATTTTTACGATTTACGATTTACGAATTCACAATTTTTTAACCCATTCGAAACCGCAGCGTTTTTCTTTTTCTTTTTTTTTTTCTCAGCTCATTGAACGCTGTCCATTTTAGAGTTCATTGTAGAGCACAGATTTACTATTTCTAATGGTAAAAACTCGACTAAACTCGACTAAACTCGACTAAGGACTAATTTTAAAAGCTTTGTTCTCTCTTGAGAAAAACTCACGTTCAATCAAATCCGACAATCAAATAAGAAGAGAGGTTTTAAAATGAGAATTAAAATGAAAGAATGAAGGGATATTGGATAGGAGAACCGTTATTTTCTTAGGAATTTGCATAGGATTTGTTCATCACTCTGTCCTTACAAATTGGAGACACCACTCCTAGCGCACTCAATTCCTCAATTTTCTCACTCTGCAATTTTGCATTTAACCCATTCGAAACCGCAGCGTTTTTTTTTCTTTTGTTTTTCGTCAGCAACCAGCGTCAGCAACCAGCGTCAGCAACCAGCGTCAGCAACCAGCGTCAGCAACCAGCGTCAGCAACCAACCAACCAATAAAGCATAAAGCATATGTAGCATAAAGCAGCGCGGAGAACGGGAAATTCAAAGTTCGACTACGCGATTGACGCTTGCTCGTCTGCTCGCGATTTGCCCGTGCGCGGCGAAGTGACGCACATCGGCGCGAAATAAGGCAAAAATGCGTTTTCTATAGCCCTTCTTGGACCAAGCCCTTTTTTTTCTTTTGACATTTTTGACACTTTTTATTTTTGATGAAGAACGATTTCGATTTCACTTCGATGAACTCATTACTCTTTTTTTTAATTCAGAACTCTTCTCTCTTCAATTTCAACTTTTCTTCAATGATGCCAGTCTTTACAATTCTTTTACTCAGGATTCGCAATCAGGATTCGGCTTTGTTAACAGCCAGGATTCGGCTTGGTTAACAGCCAAGATTTGGCTTTGTTAACAGCCAAGATTCGGCTTTGTCATCAGTCAGGATTCGGCTTCGTTAACAGCCAAGATTCGGCTTTGTCATCAGTCAGGATTCGCAATCATTTCCAATCATCTCCAATCATTTCCAATCATTTTTCCAATAACAAAATTTCATTTTTAAAAATTTTCACAAAATTTTTTATGAATTCACAATTTTTTAAACAATAAAAGAGGGAATTCGAGAAAAAATTGCGAATTTTCAAAAAAATTCCCATTTTCTTCTAAAATCTTTCATTTTTTCCGCATTTTAAACAATTTCTAATCAAAAAATGGAAAGGAAATTGTATTTTGCAAAGTTTTGTAAAAGTTTTGCAGAAATTTCCCATTCAAAGCTCCAATTAAAGGTGCAAGTCTTGTGCTTTTGCTTTTTCAACTCGACTTTTCTCGGCATTGCTTTTGAGATTTTGAGAACCTTCCAAAACAAAAGTTTCAAGCTGGCACGCAACTGAGAGTTTGCGTGAAAGAAAAATTGGATTTTTGAAAAATTGAAAATTTTGAAATTTTGAAATTTGAAAAATTGAAATTTGCATTTATTTTTTTGTGAGTGCAATTTGCATTTATGATTTAAAGCGTTTTAAAGTGATGGTTCGTCGTGGCTCGTCGCAATACCCGCAATCCGTTTGCTCGACACCGACGCATATTCGTTTGTCGATCACGCCAAGTGATCCCGCGTTGAAAGTGAGTCGCTTTTTTGACCTAGCGAAAATCTCTCGTTTTCTCGAGCTAAGCGACCTTTTTTTTCAGACCATAGCTCAAGCTGGATAGCACAGTACTTAGCCAGTACTTGCACAGCACCGTAACCAGTACACCGCAGTACTTAACCAGCACAGTACTTGACCTAGCGAAAATCTCTCGTTTTCTCGAGCTAAGCGACCTTTTTTTTCAGACCATAGCTCAAGCTGGATGGCACAGCGCCTAAAAATCACCATTCCGTATTCCAAAAATGAAAACATTCTGCGGTCGAAAAAGTGAAAAATGAACGCCCTCAAATTTCTCCTTGTTTTCTTCGAGTTGTGCGCAATTTTTTTTGCGCCAAAGTTTAAGCTGGAGAGCACAGTGCACGAAAAAGCAATTTTTCGATTAATTCCATGCCTCCATAAATTCGTCGCTTTCAACTTTTTTTGAAGTAACGAAAAAAAAAAATTCACCGAAATAAATCACAACTTCTTTCAACTAAGCTTTTCAATCTCTAAGCTTTCATTTATTTTCTAGCGTTCATGGCCATGGTTGTACAAAACGACGCCAAATGCGATGCATCCGATGCATCATCGGTCGAATTCGCCGCTTCGACGCGCTTCGACCTTCTACGAGGGCGGTTCGCAATATTTGCAGGTGATTGGAAAAGGGAAAATGGAAATTTTTGAAACTATCGCCTAAGCTGGAAATCACAGTAGGCGAAAATGAAATTTTCATCGGGTTTTGTGAAGAAATTTACAGACCACTCAAGTCGTTTCGGACTCGCAACGTAAATATGAAGATTTTCAAAAGAACTTTGCGGATTTCTCATTTTTAGCTTTCTATCTGGATGTCACAGCGCGTGAAAATCAGATTTTTTTTTCGCCAGCGTTTTCACAAAAATTTTCCTTTTTTCGACACTTTTCTACCGTAATTTGTATTGAGGTGTACCTTAAAAATTGAAATGTTTAAAATATGCAAATTTTAATCTTATTCTTTAAAGAATTGCTCTTTTTGGGATGCTAGAAATGATTGTTTAGATGTTTAGATTGTTTAGATTGTTTAGATTGTTTAGATTGTTTAGAAAAAAGGAATTGTTAGGTACCAGACGCGATGGGACGTAAACGTCGCCTCTCCGACTTCATCATCGAGACCCTCGGCAAAACGTGAGTCTCCGCTTGAGAAATCTTTTTGAAAACCTAAAAAATGAGCGATCTGGATGTCACAGCAGATGGGAAATTCGAAAAATAGAAAAATTAACGTATTTGAAGAAATTCGAATTTTCTACCGTAATCCCGTAGATGGACTACTGTAGTCTAGTTGAACTACCGTAGTCTATGAACTAAAACGTTCTGCGAGACGCTATTAACCTATAGTGCGCTCCAGGATTACGGTATATTTGTTTAAAATTCGAATATCACAAGAGAAAAAGGGCTAAAATAAGAATTGAACGACTCGGTGATTACGGCAACTTTTTCTAAATGATAGAAAAGTCGATTTTTCTGCAGTCATTACCTATAGTGCGCTCCAGGATGACGGGTTTGCGCTGAAATCTCCGCTCGATCCAATGCCGAATCGGAAAAAAAGGCGATATTGAAAAATAATGAAAATGAAAGCAGAAAAAGCTTTTTTTTGAGAAGATTACGGCTAAATTAAACCTTTTTTACGCAACTTTTCTTGCTTCCTTTCGTTCTTCCTCTCTTTCTTTCCTTCTTTCTTTCTTCCTTCGTTTCTCTCTTCCTTCCTTCCTTGCTTTCTTTCTCTTTCTCTTTCTCCCTTCCTTCTTTTTCTTATAGACTACAATTTCCTGCATTACTTCCCTCATAAGCTTAAGCTTTTCTTAATTTAAAGCTCAACTCTCACAACAATTAGCAACCTTTCCCCACTAGTATATCGGAATGTTTCTTTCTTCCTTTCCTTCTTTCTTCCTTCCCTTCTTTCTTTCTTCCTTCGTTTCTCTCTTCCTTCCCTTCTTTCTCTCCTCCTTCCCCTCCTTCTTTCTTCCTTTCTTCGATTCTCCCTTCCTTCCCTTCTTTCTCTCTCCCTTCCTCTCTTTCTCTTTCTCTTTCTCCCTTCTCCCCGTCTACGACCAAAAATTAGCTCAAATTTGTGGCATTTTCCACTCTCTTTTTAGGGTTTTAAACCAAATTTCCTTCTTTTTTTTCTGTCAAAATCAATTTGCATTAAGGACCAAAATTTGCATTTTAAAAGACGAAATTTCGTCTCGGAATTTTCAAATTTTATTTTATTATAAAATTTATAAAATAAAAACCGAAATTTAAAATTTTATCACAATTTTTAAAATTTGAATTTTCAAATTTCTTCAAAACCTAACGCTTTTTCTTTGCCAAACGCCACATTGCGTTCCAGATTGAAGCTTTTGTTTTGGTCATTTCCCTCAACATTCAATCAATGTCGGGAAAAATCGAGTTGAAATTTCAAAGCGACTTTTACTTGTCACCGGTTCAAGATTGAGAAAATGTTAAAAAAAAAAGTTTCAAGCTGGAATGCAACTAAGAAGTTTTAATGTTAAAATTTTGAAAATTTGAATTTTAAAAAAAATTTTTAAATTTTTCAATTTTCAAAATTTCAAAATTTCGTAATTTTTAATGAAAATTTCCATTCCATTTTGAAAATTTTATCAAAAAATTGTCTATTTTAAAACATCAAGAAGTTTCCTTTCCCCCTTTTTTCCTATTTTTTCAACCCCTGAAGGTTTCTCGTTACACCAGAGTCAAATTTGCAGCGCTTGCACGAGAATGCATCAATTTCTCTTCGGCTAGCCGAGTTTCCCCAAATTCTCCCAGTCCATCAATCAATCTGGAAGTCACAAGAAGCGCTGGGAAATTTGTAGCCAAAAATATCGCAGTGCACCAATGGCGCAGTGGGTAGAAAGGGGTGCCACTAGTGCTCGGATGGTCGAGGGTTCGATCCCGGTAGGAGCCGGGGGGAATTTTTAGCGGTCTAAACGCTGCAAAAGTTTGCTTTTAGCTCTGCTGCGTTATAAAATAAACTTTAGTGACCTTTTTTGCAAAGGTTTACTCTGAGAAATTCGAAAAAAAGCTCGATTTTCCATTTTTTTTCTTTCAAGTAATTTACGGTCGATTAACTCCTCGATTTACGCGCATTTCCCATTCACCGAATCCCTTATTTGGCTTTCATTTCGCGATTTTCCCCATTGAAAAGCGATATTCTCGATGAAAATCTTTAAAAAGAAAAAGAAAATCGAAAAAATCGAATCAAAATCGATTCCCTTGCAAAAATCGCTTTCAAATGTTTTTTTTTCGAATTTTTCCGAATTTTTTGCTTATCCTGGATGTCAGTTAAGAAGTTTTTAAAAAAAAAAAATCAATTTTTCGATCTCTAAAAATTTTTGTTCACCGCAAACGAGTTACCCCAATTTTCATGTCTTTCTAAACAACATTTAGCTAATTTAAAAAATGATTCCCTCCATCTGGAACGCACACTACGCACACAAATGCAAAAATTCAAGTTTTTCACCATTTGAAATTTTTTTTTTCGTTTCTCAGTATATTAACCTCGAAGACGACCGAGGAGAATTGCTGAAATTCTCATAAATTTCGCGAAATCCCTAAAAAAGACGTGAATTCTCGTGAATTCTCGTGAATTCTCCCCATTTTACATCATTAAACGCGCAAAAAAGCGAGAAAAACACGCAATTTTCATATGAAAAGCCATCTTGGTGAGCGAAAATCGGCATCGACGCTGTTTCTTCGGCTTTTTAAAGGCAAAACGAAAGAATTTTCGGATTTTTGACGATTCTGGAACGCACGCAGGAAGATTTCTTTGAATTTGGATAAATTTTAAGAAAAATTTTTGAATTTTCAAGTTGAGCGATTTTTCTAATGAATGAATAGAAGAAAATTCGATTTTTGACACTTTTTGGCCGATCTGGAAGTCACACGAAAAAAAAAGCGAAAATTTACTTCAAAAAATTCACTTTCCCGAAATTCCCCCATAGCGCACCTGGTTAGTGCCGCCAGCGCCGTGCCGAACCACCCGGGTTCGATCCCGCCCGCCGACATTTTCGATTTCATATCGATTTCACATGCTTTTCCTTTCCAATAGACATCGTGTGTTCCAGTTTGCTTCTCGGACTTCTTCAAATAAGTCTTTCTCTCGGGTTTAGCCTCGAAAATTCGTTTGAAAGCTTACATTTCAAAAACAGACATCTCTTTTTGGTGGTTTTTCTCTTTTCTTTCAGATTTCATTCCTTTTTTTTCATTCCAGCTTTTTTAAAAGCTCTTTGATCAGCGATTTTTTGGAATTTTAAAGAAATTTTGATGATTTTTTATGATTTTTCACTGATTTTAGCCTTTGATGCGAAAACTCGCGAAATTTTTGAAATTTTTCGTTTTCTATCAAAAAATTTATACTAGCTGGAAGTCACACTTTAAAATGCGATATTTAGCAGATTCGATTTCCATATAGTATACTTTAGTCGAATGGTAAAGTGCGCGATTTCCAGGCGAACGCCTGCCAATAGAGGCCCGAGTTCGATTCCGGGAGCGGTCAAAAATTTTTTTCATTTTTTAAAATTAACATTTAATTGCTGGATTTGAAATTTCATGTCTAACTTGTGTTTTTAAATGTTTTTCTGAGGCTCTGGCGATCTTTGGTAAAAGAATTCGCTTGAGTTCACATGTAAGGAAAAGTCTCACGTGTGCCTTTTCCCAAAAAAGTCCCAAAAAAAGTCAATTTTCTGTTTGTTTCTTGAAGTGTTGATGGCAAAAAAGGAAAATGGAAAAAGGAAAGAAATAAAGAAAACCCTGAAAAGACACTTCTTCTGTCACTAATTTCTCTGGGAACATTTCCGAGCGCATTTTGCACATTCAAGAGTTTTTACAGCTCTCAGCGCTTGAGATTAGCGAAATTTGGACATTTTTCGCTTTTCGCTTGACATTTAACGGATCGGCTTGGGGTTTTTTTGAGTCTCGAGCTTGATTTGAGGCTTGGTTCTCTAGCTGCCTCGCTTAGAATTTGTGTGAATCTTTTTCTGAGCTGGTTCTGAGCTGGTTCTGATTCCAGATCTTTGATTTCTCAAGTAATCCAAAGCATCGAAAGCATCTCAAGTAATCATAACATTCTATTGTCTACAAAACTGGTCTAAGTCTTTTAGAAAAGGTTTTGATATCTAGAAATGTAAAGCTTTTTTTGTTTTATTGTTTTATAATGATCTTGGGATGTAAAAAGGAGATCCGGGATCAAGTCTCGACTTTATTAAAGGCTTGGTTGTCTAACTGTCTAGCTATTTAGCTGTCTAGCTGTCTAGTTATTTAGCTGTCTAGCTGTCTAGCTATTTAGCTGTCTAGCTGTTTAACTGTCTAGCTGTCTAGCTGTTTAACTGTCTAGCTGTCTAGCTGTCTAGCTATTTAGCTGTTTAGCTGTCTAGCTGTCGGGCTTAGATTTCATTTGAATCGGTTTCTAATTTGTCGGGTTTCTTTTGAAGAAAGTGCTCAAACTGGGTTTTTGCGCGTACTTTCAAAGGATACCCCTATCCCGGAAAGTTACATCATCTGGCACACGGTGAATACATAACCCCCACGTTTTGGACTATTGTTTGGTTGAAAAAAAAGAATCCATTTTTGTCCTCCATTTTTGAGTCCTCCATTTTTTAGTCCTCTATTCTTGAGTCCTCCATTATCCTCCAGAAATTGTGGAGTCGAGTTCGCGTAGGCCAGAGGGCATGCGTTCGCAAAAGCCCTATGGATTGTGGTGATATTTGTGCAAGCTGGCTGTCAGCTTGCAGTCAGCTGGCTCCGTTTTTTGAGTCTCACACTTTTCTCACACACAAATCAAAATCCTACTACGAAGCTGAACGAAAGAGGAATCAGAAACTTTAGAGTGAATCGATTCACCCAACTGATCCGATTCGAGAGCTTTTCTAGCTTCTAACTCTTTCTAGAATGAAAATTTTTCATATTTTTCACGAATCTGGAACGCACATGACTTTTTGGGATTGAATTTTTTTGAAAATAATAATTTCAACTCGGTTCAATAGAAGCATTTCTCCTCGAACTCGTTTTCTCAATGTTTCCCTCACTTTTTCGTCATCAGCTTTCGATTTTTGACCAAACTGGATGTCATTTTCGATTTTGTAGTCGATTTTGTCGATTTTTGATGCTATCAGCTTTTCTGGTCCTATC